TCAACTGACCGTGGGCGCCAAAGTCCTGTCGTTCAGGAGTGGACCTATCAAATTCATTGACTCGTTATGTTTCTTGCCTATGCCGCTGGCCTCCTTTCCCAGCACCTTCAATTTAACCGAATTGAAGAAGGGCTTCTTTCCTCATTTGTTCAATACCCCCGACCACCAACAGTATGTGGGCCGCATCCCCGATTTGGAGTTTTATGATCCTGACGGCATGATGGCTAAAAAGAAAGACGAACTGACTCGTTGGCACGCCGATCAAGTCCGTCGAAACGTGCCCTTCCCTTTCCCACAAGAAATGATCGATTATTGCAAATCCGATGTGGCTCTATTGAAAGCAGGGTGTGAAGCTTTTCAAGAAGAATTTGAACAACAGGCTGGCTTCAATCCCATGGCCAAGTGTATCACCATCGCCAGTGCTTGCAATCTGTATTGGCGCAAGCATCATTTGACCCCTGACACCATTGCGGTGGAACCTCTCGGAGGGTGGCGAGGGGCCCAAGTCAATCAATCCCTCAAAGCCCTCCAGTGGCTCTACTACCAGGAACACCTCCTTCCCAAAGAGGGGGCCAGTGCTGACCGCATTCGTCACGTTCGTAACGGGGGCGAACAGTCTATCCGAACCAGTGCCCATAGTCATTTCGTCGATGGCTACGATCCTGTGACTCGCACCGTCTACGAGTTTCACGGATGTCTCTACCATGGCTGTCCCCGCTGTTATCCCATGAGAAACGTCAAACATTATGCCACGCCGGATCGAACTGTGGAGGAACTCTATCAAGCCACGCTCTCCAAACGCATGGCCTTGCTCCGAGCAGGCTATACGGTCATTGAAATGTGGGAATGTGAATGGGACACATTGGTAGACGCGGATGAAGCCGTCCAACGTTTCCTGACGTCCTTTGATCTGGTGGCACCCCTGGAACCCCGTGAAGCCTTCTTTGGGGGTCGAACCGGTGCCGTCGCTCTGCATGCTGTGGCTGGAGAAGGTGAGGAAATACGTTATGTGGATGTGACCTCCCTGTACCCATGGGTGAATAAGAACTGTCCCTATCCCGTCGGGCATCCGCGGATCATCACGCAGCCCGCTGACCAGTCCTTGGAATCCTATTTTGGTGTCGCCACCGTGGACATTCTTCCTCCCACTGGTTTGTTCCACCCTGTTCTGCCCGTGCGTAGCGGCAACAAGCTCACCTTTCCTCTCTGTCGTGCTTGTGTTCAGACCGAGCAAGCCCAACCCATGTTGACTACAACCCATTATTGCCCTCATTCCGATGCGGATCGCATGCTACGCGGCACCTGGTGCACACCTGAACTGGTCAAAGCCGTCGAAAAGGGGTACACACTGATCAAGATCCACGAAGTCTGGCATTTTCCCCCTGAGCAACACCAAACGGGTCTTTTTGCTGATTACGTGAACACGTGGCTCAAGTTGAAACAAGAATCCGCGGGGTGGCCCGGTTGGTGTCAGACCCTCGAGCAGAAACGCAATTACATTCTTCGTTACCAGGAACGGGAAGGCATCCGACTGGACATTGCCAGCATTGTCAAAAATCCCGGTCGCAAAGCCACGGCCAAGCTCATGCTGAACAGCTTCTGGGGCAAATTCGGGGAGCGGATCAACAAACCCACCACCGTCACTGTCAAAGACCCCGCCCATTTGTTCGGTCTCATCTCCGATGCTGCCCTCGATCTCAGCACACTCCGCCTTTGTACCGACGACATTTTGGAAGCTGTCTACACCAGTGTCCAAGACAATGCTGTCAAAGGCACCAAGACCAACATCTTTGTAGCCGCTTTCACCACCTGTCATGCTCGATTGAAGCTGTATGAGTCCCTGGACACCCTTCAACAGCAAGTCCTCTATTATGACACAGACAGTGTGGTGTACAAGTGGCGTCCCGGTCAACCCAGCATTGCCACCGGGGATTTTTTGGGGGACATGACCGACGAATTAGACGGAGACGTCATCACCGAGTTTGTTTCGGGGGGCGCCAAGAATTATGGGTACCAGACCCGTGGAGGCAAAGTGGTGTGCAAGGTACGCGGTTTCACCTTAAACGTCCGTGGATCCGCCATTCTCAATTTTCAGACCATGAAAGAGAACATTCTCTCCGAATTAGACTCGCCCCAAGACTCTCGACGCAATTTGAACATCACCACCCCCTATTATTTCAAACGAGATTTAGAACAGAAACAAATTCAAGTGGTTCCGCGCGTGAAGCAGTATGGGTTGGTGTTTGACAAGCGCGTGATCAATGTCGCCACTCGTTCCAGTTATCCCTATGGCTACGAGAGAATTGGGGATGAACTCGACCTTCTGTTAGATTTGTAATGGGCGTGACGTCACTAGGGCGTCACATACGTCCCGCTTGTACCCAGGGCTTTACGCGGTCATTAAAACTATGCCAAGAATGTGGATTCAACTCTTATGTGTGAGTGTTCTTTATTCTATGGGGTCACGTGTAAAACCATGCCCATATATGGGCATTTGTGACGTCAATAAGTCACATGGGCGAAATGCGCGATTCTGATTGGTCGAGAGAAATTTTGCTGCGCTCTGATTGGTTACTCCTTATTGTAGCCTCTATGACTACTGCCGTCTTTGAAAACGCAAGTGATTTAATCAAAAACTATCACCCCCTTTAAATTATTTGCATCATATCGTTGCCATATAATTTTTAGGGGAGCTTTGCCTAAACTTAAAGAGTGCTTTTTAAAGCGCATCTTAAAAGATGTAGTGGAGGGTCAATCAACATAGAACAGATCTAAAACTTGAAAAAATCGTATTGCTAGTTATTCTTAACAGTTTAGTTAAAACAACAAAAAATAACAAAATAGAAAAAAATAAAAGGGTGCAAACATCTGAACAAAATTTTCAGGATCGACCAGAGTCGGTTTCTTTGAAATTAGGTTCGCATCAACAGTAATTGAATTCAACTGTGGACCCGGCGGACATTTGGTGTTGTTGTCATCTTGGAAAAAATTTTGCGTCCCGGGTAAGATACACCGAAACAGGTTCGTACGGTTTCTAGAAATTATGTTTGAATGGATTGCGCAAAATGAGATTAATTTTCTTGTCCTTTCAGGTATTGTATCATTTTAAGTGTGTTTACAGTGTTTCAAAAATTGCTTATTTCACTATCGATACTTATTTTTTGCTTACACGTATTTTCTTTTGAACCGGCCAAGTTAACCCCGAAATTCGAAAATAGTAGAGAATATTGCTCGCAAACATCCGCTCACACAATGCACTCTCGCTTTACTAACTTGCTCTATCCCGTCAGTGCAAAAACGTTCACCAGATTAATCGAAATTCGATATATAATTTAGAACATAGAAAAATGTTTTCAAAACGGTTGCAGTTTTGTGGAATCTGTGTAATTTTCATGAATCGGAAAGGATATATTTTTGTAGACATCAGATTCCAGAATATGCGAACAAAGTCCCGTTTACAATGATGTTTGTTAACGATGGCGTGTAGACATAAAATAAAAGAGGGCGGGCGAATCAGAATGATGTACTGTTGCTCTTATTCTTAAGACGAAAGGGGCTTTGATATGTGGTGCGCACTATCAAAAGTACATTCACTTATATAAGGAGTCCAAAATTGAACACCTTAAGGAGTCCTAAAGTGAACACTTTAAGGAGTCCTAAAGGGAACACTTAAAGGAGTCCTAAAGGGAACACTTTAAGGAGTCCTAAAGGGAACACTTAAAGGAGTCCTAAAGGGAACACTTTAAGGAGTCCTAAAGTGAACACTTTAAGGAGTCCTAAAGTGAACACTTTAAGGAGTCCTAAAGGAAACACTTTAAGGAGTCCTAAAGTGAACACTTTAAGGAGTCCTAAAGGGAACACTTTAAGGAGTCCTAAAGTGAACACTTCAAGGAGTCTTAAAGTGAACACTTCAAGGAGTCCTAAAGTGAACACTTCAAGGAGTCTTAAAGTGAACACTTCAAGGAGTCCTAAAGTGAACACTTCAAGGAGTCCTAAAGTGAACACTTTAAGGAGTCCTAAAGTGAACACTTTAAGGAGTCCCAAAGTGAACACATCAAGGAGTCCTAAAGTGAGCACTTTAAGGAGTCCTCAAGTGAACACTTAAAGGCGTCCTAAAGTGAACACTTCAAGGAGTCCTAAAGTGAACACTTTAAGGAGTCCTCAAGTGAACACTTTAAAGGGGTCCTAAAGTGAACACTTCAAGGAGTCCTAAAGTGAACACTTTAAGGAGTCCTAAAGTGAACACTTCAAGGCGTCTTAACGTGAACACTTCAAGGAGTCCTAAAGTGAACACTTCAAGGAGTCCTAAAGTGAACACTTTAAGGAGTCCTAAAGTGAACACTTTAAGGAGTCCCAAAGTGAAAACTTCAAGGAGTCCTAAAGTGAACACTTTAAGGAGTCCTCAAGTGAACACTTAAAGGCGTCCTAAAGTGAACACTTCAAGGAGTCCTAAAGTGAACACTTTAAGGAGTCCTCAAGTGAACACTTAAAGGCGTCCTAAAGTGAACACTTTAAGGAGTCCTCAAGTGAACACTTAAAGGCGTCCTAAAGTGAACACTTTAATGAGTCCTCAAGTGAACACTTTAAGGAGTCCCAAAGTGAACACTTCAAGGAGTCCTAAAGTGAACACTTTAAGGAGTCCCTAAAGTGAACACTTTAAGGAGTCCTCAAGTGAACACTTTAAAGGGGTCCTAAAGTGAACACTTTAAGGAGTCCTCAAGTGAACACTTAAAGGCGTCCTAAAGTGAACACTTTAAGGAGTCCTCAAGTGAACACTTTAAGGAGTCCCAAAGTGAACACTTTAAGGAGTCCTCAACTGAACACTTTAAAGGGGTCCTAAAGTGAACACTTTAAAGGGGTCCTAAAGAGAACACTTTAAAGGGGTCTTAAAGTGAACACTTTAAGGATTAAGTTATATAAGGCAATTTTTAGCTGAAGTGTTTGACCACTCACTGATCGATAGCTACTGACCAGCTACTTGTCTAATGTTTCTTTCCAAACTAAGTAAAACAGAACATGAGTGAGCATAAGTTACCTTCACAGGTAAGACCATCACCATCGTAACCATCATTACATTGGCATTCAAACGATCCATCTTTGTTAATGCAGGTGGCATGCTGTGCGCAGTTATCTTGGTGAGTTTTACACTCATCAAAATCATCAACTGTACATAAAGACAGATTAAATAACGGTTAACCATTTGCTCTGGAAAGAAATATTCTTGAAGTTCAAGACGATACGAAACAAAATTGTGCAATTGACATAGTACAATTTGCAGGCATACACCTAGTTGCAATGACATTGTCATATAAAATGGAAAATATTAGAAACAAAGAGAGATTAAGAAGCTTGGCTTAACCAATTCATGGCTTTCAGCAGTGCATGGAATTTTAAAAAGCAATACTGACGTCTCCAGATTCACCTATTAACCATCATTATTATTCATTCAAAATATTTCCCCAATTCTGATTGGCTAAAAGCACAGGTATAATTCACCATAACCAGCTACTGATGAACAAATTTCGAAAAATGTTGTGTTTAACGAGGAAAAGACGTCAAAAATGCAGCGTTCTTGCAGGTTAATGCACCGTTAACCGAAAAGACCTGGGGACAAGGCTGACTTGTTTTGGTTGTGCAAACAAAAAATGGCGGACATTACCCGTTTCAAGAGTAAGAACTAGGCGAAATTATAGCTAAAACATGGCAAGAACAGCAAGAACACAACTCGAAGGGCGACATCTGCCATTTGGAGGATATTTGCGGAGCTGAACAACCCTAAACGTGCACTATCGAAGGTGAACTTAACATGGATGGAGGTAAGCACGTTTTTGCTTTGTTTTTAAACTAGAAATTAGTTTGAATGAATAATAAAACAATATTTGAATTCGGCTTTCGTATCGTATGAAGAATTATGGAGATCTCGGAGGGTGTTATCACCCTCCAAGATCTCCATAATTCTTCATAAGATACTCAGCCTCATTCATTAATTGTTAAATAACACCTAGAAGACCATTTTTCGCTTCAGTCATTTTTAGAAACAGTTAATATTTGAGCGCTTTTGTTAGGCTTTTGATTTTTCTTTTTTTTTCATTGTTCTTTTTTGATAAAATTGTTATTGCAATTAAGTATAGTTTCAAACAAAAAACGGCTTAGTTACCGATAGTATGAAACGAACCTACCTGAAATCTTTGCAACAGAGACTTCAAAAGGACCAAGGAATGAATTGTTTACAACACTTGCAAGCGCGTCCTGTAAATCCTGTAACGTGCCAGTGAAGTCACGACTCGTGTAGATCAAGAAATCTACAACAACACTTCCGTTACTGTAAACAAAAAAGCGATACAGTTTTCATATGGCAAAATCTTCAAATACTCCGAAAGAGAAGGTCAAAAGTACTTCCAATTTCCTACGCACAGACAACACCTTTTCGTTACGTAAAGTCTTCCGCTAATCTGTTTTAAAAGAGGTCAACCAGTTTCCTGTTGATTCATTAAAACCTACAACTCCTCTTTAACGCTAGCCGGATCAGACAAGCTCTTCCAAGTACTCGTCGTTATGGCCGAATCGTAAAAAAAAAACAGTTGGTAATCTCCACGTGTAAAAGCATAAACTGCGTTACCTAAAATCCTGGACACGACATCCATAGTAGTATTGCCTGACTGAAGATTCTTTGAATTTTCCATTCACCTAAAATTACATAGGGATCAACGAACATGCACACAAAAACATTATACAATAAGGAGACTGAAACACCCTTGAAACTTTAACTGACACTTGACCGTGTTATGCATTTACATCGCTAACTGAACTTCTTTCGTTTTCATTATAAGTGGCTGGATTCAACCGTTTCTTAAAACGGACAATAATTGCAATTTTTAGTTAGTTTTAATCTATTAACCTGTTATGTAACTTTCAGCTGAGGTTATTTTGCGGCGCATCCTGGCTTTCTATCGAGTGAGCTTTGCAATATAATCCTCTGGTTTCGGCATCCATCGTCTAAATATTTTTCACTAATTTTGAGCCTACTTTCGAAACTAAATAATTAATAAAGTTAAAGTTACTGCGAACTAGCAAAGGAATGGACCTTTGCTTCTCAGTATTAACTGCAAGGACTTAAACTTTTAATCAATAACGTGGAGAGGATCGCAAAAAAATCGTTATTTCAAGGTGATTAGAAGTTCTTCTTTAGGTGTTATGGAGAAAAGGCAACAAAAGAAACGTTATTTTGGAACTTATCTGCAGCTTACCGTTTCTTCGAACATTTCTTTCAAATCATAGAAATCTCCAGCTGATTTTAGCTTGTAACTTGATTGATATACCAAGTTTTCAACGGTTATTTTACCCGCAAAAGTCTTGCTAGCTGAAGACAAAGGCAAAATATCCAATTAAGAGTTGTCCGAGCATTGTGGCCTATCTTATTTAAAGCGAAGAAACGGACTTTCAGGATTACAAAGAACGCACTCAAATGTACATTTCCGTTACTACTCAAGTTAAAGATATTAATGCCTGCAGAGGCAACTCCAAAGCCATTTAACAATCTCTTCCGCCCTTCACTGAATGGCGTAAGAGCGCGATCCTGATTTTCATTCACAACATGCAAACTGATCTCTGCAATTTTTTGAAAACGAATACAGCGTATGCAGATAACATCAAGCATAATAATAGAGCGCATGGAAACAACGTATCTCCCATCTGGTGTTTCACACCTAGCGACTCTGTAAGTGTAAAGATATCGACTTTAGAATCTCGCGGTATGGAGACTTAACTATAAAACTGTTGTAACAATAATGGGAACTTAAATTAACGATGAAAAGCGGTTGCATTTTTAAAACAGTCATAAAATGTTTTTTCCATTGATACGTTGCCCAGATTTAAAAGATTCAGAATAAAGCAAAAAGCACTTTTTGCAATCTATCTTTAGGAATCCTCCACCTATCTTAAATGTGTTTTTCAAAAAAACCTTACGTTTACACTCTCCTTTGTTATTGACTTTATAGTAACCAATGGCATTGCATTCACAGTCGTATCCACCATGGTAGTTCTGGCACAAGCTGTCATCACCGCATTTATTCGTAGCACAATCATCTACATCTGCGTATTTAGAAGGCAAATTAGATATGGGTTAACTAAGTTCATAACTTTTAATCTCTGTGGTTGTAGTCCAAACTTTTTCCATCAAAAATTATGTGCTTCAGCAACCACGAGGACGCCAACAACGAAAACATCAAAAAAGCAAAAGAACAACACTGCAAGTGCAACTCACTTTTCGGCTCATTTGTTTGGCGTCAATGAACATCCGCCAAGTGAACTATTTTAACGTGAAGTTTCACGTTGGAGGTAAATACAGAGCAACGAACTCTTCCTCCACTTTCTCGACTTAGATGCGATCCTTAGGGACTTACCTCGAAGAGAATTTGCCTGAATTGACAGGTTTAGCGTGTTGGAGTGAAAGTTTGAAAAAACGCGTACTGATCATCAAATCTAAGTCACAGATGTCATGACGTTTGGAGAGTACGTGTGCTGGCCTTAGTCCTCTGCGGCACGTGAGATTGGAATATGTAGTAATTTTCTACTTCAGATAAAAACACAAAAGAGTGTTTTACCTGAGCAATTTCGGTCATTTCCCGACCTGACTGTTCCTCTTTTGCACGGGAGAAGTGTTGGTGGTGCGACTGTACGTGGGGTAAATGATTGCTGTATAGTAAATTCCACTAAGGAAAGCGGTCTTTCACTACAGAGGTCCTGAAGGGATACTCCCTTGTAGTAGGATAAATCATCTAGTGTGTAGTTCTTCAACTTGGCCTGCTGTTCAGTAGTCCAGTTGAAAATGAATGAAGCATTCTGTGCAGATATGTTGAGTATTACATCGATGACAATGAATATACTTTCATTGTACAGAGCTGCCAAATTCAAGCCTTTAGCCGCAACAAGGTCTAACAACAGAGAATTGTTCAAAGCACTTTTGGCGGCGATCAAGGGTTGGATAGACTGAGTAAAAACAGCTTGGTATTGGTGTAATGTCATATTTTCTACAATCTCAGTTGAAGTTCGCAAAAAACTTGACAATCGATCGCGATCCATACCAAGAGCTACAGTGGCCCTTAAGTACGCATCCCTCACTATGTGCTGTACCATTACAGACCAATGAGACGGGACAGTTAGGTTAAACTCATAATGGGAGACATTAAGCTGATTCGGAAGCATTTGAGGGTCGAAGTCGATGAACTGATTAAGTTGTCTGAGGGAATTCCAAAGAATGTCTACTACGTCACAGTCATCACATATTCGGGAGGAGTTGACTCTGAAGAGTTCGCCCGCTTTACTAACGATCTGTGCCCGATATTCATTTAACAACTGCGAGTATGAGTTTTTGGAGACACTTAACAGCTGCATCGTTATATCTCTGAATGACTCCTGACTTTTCATTACTGCTGTGGTTTTCGACACCAACTGACCGACATCATTTAAATTTATCGCACCTAAAATGGGCCAATCTGGTAAAGAGGCATTTACCGCCCATGCAATCTTCGGCCACGGAAGCTTTAATAGGTCTTCAAACATCGTTAGCAAGCTGACATTGTCTGCCACTTCAAGGCTGAATTTGGCTGCAAAATCGTTCACAGTCAAAGTCGATGCAGCAACAACTAGTGCTATCTTTCTACATGACATGTCGTTGTCGAGCCCAAGTAATGACTCTATAAAATCTTTCGGCCGCTTACTCAGGAAATTGTTTTCAGACAGGTTACAAAATCCTCGAGTTTCCAAAATTGTGTAGTTGCCTAAAACGTCAATTCCGGTAGAACTGTAGTTGTAGAGTAGTAGAACCTCTGATATAGTGATGTTGATCCTCTCTTCAATAAATTCTAAGAAAGTAACCTCGTCTAATGAGCCACTCGGCGTTATCCCAATAGCCGTTATAATCTGCAGTAGTGTTTCCGTCTCAATAGCTTCCTTACCTCTGACTAGCCTGGAAAACATACTGTCCCATTTTGATTCAAGTTGTGCAAGCGATAAGTTCTGAAGGTTCTCAGGTATCTCTTGTAAGAGTTGAGCGAAATTGTTTATCGTTACGCCCAGCTGATGCTGACCACTTCGAATGATCTCGTTCTTTACAAATGGTATCATCTCGCGCCACTCAGTGGGAGAAAGCTTTTCAAGTTCCCCAGGATTCAAATCTAATGACACTCCGATCCTGCTAACGGACACATTGAATTTGTTAACTAAGTACTGTATCGTTAACGCAAACACTTCAATAGGAAACAGCACATCATACTGCGCTTTGGATTTACTCCCAAAATGCATCAGCTCTGCTTCATTCGTATTAAACACATCATAAAGAAAATTCAGAGTACCGGCCCGGTGTTGAATTATCTTGGTCCGGATATCTACATTGCCTGCGTCCTTTAGCTCTACTGATTTATTGAGTATTTGCAGAAGGGCCGTCGATAGGTATGGATCTAACCGTAGCCTAGAAGTAACTTCCTTGTACGAGTCTTCGTTTAGAACGTACAGTACCGTCCAGTCTTCCATCTTTAATCCAAAGGCCCAAACGTTTCGTCGCCATGGAAGACCTGTCACCTTCTCAACAAGAGTCACAAAAGAAACGCTGGAGTTCGTGAAAAGGCTGAATTCAGACTTCAACTGAGACATGTTTTTGGTTCGGGCTGAGACATAAAAATTCGTACTTGTACACACGGGTGCGGCTTCCCTAGTCCCAACGATTTCAGCGGTAATGTTAAACGGTGTTTTGTGCTTGACAGTAGACGTGTTGAGGGTACAATAAAGTGGCAAATCATTAATACGCAAGGACTGAAGGATGAAAAGTTGATCTGAATTGTATCCATATAACAGTTTGAGTTCATTGGAATTAAATCCACTTGCTGACAAAACCAGAGAGAGAACAGGTGAATTAAGGTAAGTATCGTCAGAGACAACATTCTGAGACAAATACATGATTATAGGCACGGTTTCAAACTTTGTCTTGTGGCGTTTAGCGTATAAGATTTGATTTTCTATCAGCTCCTTTAACTTTGCAATCGACAGTTCCACAGATTGGACACCCAAAAATGTCAGTAAGTTTTCCGTTGATATCTGAAGAACGCTAGCCTCGGATTGCACAACGGAATCAACAATACTAGCAATTACCCTTTTCCATTCTTGTCTTGGTAGGTTATAGAGTTCTTCTTCAGACAATTGCAAAGAGAAAACGATATCACTTAAATTCAATCTAAAGTTTGCGATGGTTGCGTTCAGAAATCGTCTGAAAAGCAATGGAGATGGGGCACCTTGAAGAGACACTTCACTTAAAGCAGTCAGGTTTGCCACGTCACTTAAAGAGAGGTTGAATTTTTCTCTAAGAAGAGCTCTAATAAATAAACGATGGTTTTCAGTCTTGTTATTGAGAGACCCATCTGCTCGCAGCTTCAAAAGAAGAACCACGGCCTCACTAACAGAGTCGGTGAGTAACGTTTCCAGGGAAACCTCACCGATTTCTGACAGCTGTGGCAACGTTACGGAATCCAGAAACTCCCAATCTGGCAGAGATACATTCACAGACTCGTAGACTTGACGCCATGTAAGATTCGACACGTCTGTGAGGATTTCCAACACACTTGCGTTTAGCGTGTCAACACTGCTTTTGAACGACTCGATGGATTTTCGTTTAATGCTGATCAAAACAGGACATGGCGGCGATGTGTACAGAGATCCAACAACCTTCCACGAGACCTCAGGCAAGGTCATGCTCAAAAGAGTTTCTGTTGAAATACCACACATGCGAAAGATTTGATAGAATGTAGACCTGCCTATTGCCTTGGCTTGCTCTCTTGTGAGATTGTACAGAATGCCGAATTCTCGGGTGGAAAGTGATATATTCTCGTAGTGTTGCAGTATCCTTGCCAAAGTCACATCATTGTAGGATTCTCCGGGCAAGATCCCAGAGCAGTTTATGAGAGAAGAAGTACTGTTCTTGTCAAGTATCGCCTTCTTGGGGAGGAAAGGAAACACCATTTCCTCGAATCTACTAAGGTTTACGTGAAGAAAATCTTGCACTTCCATGTCCATCAATTCGGCCAAGGCAGTAACATTGGGAAGTTCAAGCAGTCTGGAAAATGCAGAGGAACTCTCACTAACCATTGCATGAACAACGGTCTCCCAGTTGGCCGGGTCGTAAGAACTCGACAGATTTATGGTTGGAATTCCTAAAATAGACGCCACTTTGTCTAGGTCAAAAACGAATTTGTGACTGACAAATGTTAAAAGTTCCTTTTGATAGTCAGCTGGTGTCTTCGTTGCAGCAATTAAAGGATCAGAGTAGTTGCTGTCCAACTCGTCAAAAGGAACACTATAAGACCAATAGTAATCAAGGTTTTCCAAGTCCGCAGCGGTGAATGATGAAGAAGAAGCAAATGAAAAAACTGTAATTTTAATTTCGTTTAGGTTTTCAGAGTATGTGAAATCTAAAGTCCACCTTTTTGCAGTCTTCACGTGATGTGTAGTAACTTTGTCGTATTTTGGTTGCGGCCCAAACTCACCAGTAAATATGCGCTTAAGCGGCATATAAAGGAAAGGTAATATGAACTGTCCCATGACTGGAATAGGGGTAATTATCAGAAGAAAAAGCCAAACTCCCCTCATCTTCTTTCTTGTAACAAGTTCGGGCGAGAGTGGAGACGTCAACAAGATGAATCCCTATAACTGAAACAGAAGACCAAAAAAATTAATCCATCACAATTTCAACAAAATTATATTAGACAATACGGAAAAATATCTCCATCATGAGACGAGACACACCCCGTAACTGCAAAACCCAGAATATATCAGTTAAATAAAAACAGGGATTTATTTCAAAACACTGCCATTTTCGGAAGCTTGATTTTCTATGAGCATAATCTTTAAAGTTACGTTCCGCATCCGTAACTTCAGGTGGAGGATAGTTTAGCTGGTGGTGTCTTTTGGTATCAGCGAATTACATCACACGTTTTTAGGGCCGAAAATAAACATGATAATAAGTAATTAGGTTTCTGTTACCCCGTGTTTATTGCATAAAAGACAAAGAAATCAAAAAATGCAATAAAAGGACGTCATCCTGGCCCCCTTTTTAGTTCAACTTTGTAAATGGTTTTTAAGCCAGAAGCTAACTGTATTAATCTCACGGCAACTTAATCGAGGGAGGCATACAACAAATGAAAGACATTGACAAACGAGAAAAAGATTGTTTCTCTAAGAGAGAAACAATCAACTTTGTCAAGACTTCAGAGAGGGAGTGTTTTGATATGTAAATACGTTTATTAAACACAGGTTGCCCACCAAAAGGAAAGCACTGTCACAGGTTACCAAGCAAAAAGCAGGTGGTGGTATTCAGGTCAATGTTATCTTCGTGCGCACAATGATTGACGATATCAAAGCAGAAGATAACGAGTCGAGATGACACCTGACTCACATAGTCTCATAACCATAACATAACTCCTGCTCTTGAACAAAACACTTTCGATGCAGAGCAGTATCATCTTAATTAGCTTTATCTAAAACAAAAAACGTAAGCAGCAGCTATAAGGATGAACGCTTAGATTCACCACTGTCCGTGAATGTTTCATCTCTGCGGGTTATTAGTAAATCATCATGGCGTGAAACTTAGAGTATTTTTATTGAGAAATACACAACCCGTTTCCAATGATAAATTGTGTAAAATATCTTACCAACAGATTCAGCGCGTTTTTGTTATATGATAAAAATTTGAAACTAAAAGCGTCGATTATGTTTCAGTACAACTGACCTATGCAAGGCTTCTACAACTTTAAATAAATACAACAGAGTGCAAGGAATGAAAGGCCAACTAAACTGAAATGTTCACAAGGTGGTAGAAATGAAGTCAGAAGTTCAGCCTTTGTGATGGTAGCGGTTTTCTGGTTAGGCGACAATTTAGTTCATGACGGGCGTTTTAAAGCTCGGTCGAAAATCTGCTATCTATCTGTTTCTACTTGTTATTACGGGCAGTTTTACACTGAAGAATGTGGATAAACATGACGGGTACATTCTATCTGATGTTTCGGAGCTATTCGTAGCTCGTGCTCATTTCGGAGCTATTCGTTGCTCGTGCTCATTTCGGAGCTATTCGTAGCTCGTGCTCATTTCGGAGCTATTCGTAACTCGTGCTCATTTCGGAGCTATTCGTAGCTCGTGCTCATTTCGGAGCTATTCGTAGCTCGTGCTCATTTCGGAGCTATTCGTAGCTCGTGCTCATTTCGGAGCTATTCGTAACTCGTGCTCATTTCGGAGCTATTCGTAGCTCGTGCTCATTTCGGAGCTATTCGTAGCTCGTGCTCATTTCAGAGCTATTCGTAGCTCGTGCTCATTTCGGAGCTATTCGTAACTCGTGCTCATTAAGACGATTTTGGAGCCATACCCTTTAAAAGTTTTAAACTGACTGCCAACTTTTTTTATTACTAGTCAAGGGAAGCGTTCAGGCTTCTAAGGACTAATCCCTCGCAGATCACATTTGAGAGGAATATCAGAAATTTTCACAATCGCCTGTTAGAAAGAGGCTACCCTGCCGCTATTTTAAGAAAGTACCTCTCTGAGGTAAAATTTGCCGACAGGAAAACAGCCATACAACAGAGAAACAAATCCGCACGCAAAAGACTTCTACCTTTTCTTACACGATACCACCCGGCTTTACCTAGCCTAAAGAAAATGCTTATCGGGAAGTGGCACTTTATACAAAACCAGCAACGACTAAGAGAAATCTTTAAGGAGCCTCCCCTCATATCTTATCGCAAGGGAAAATCTCTTAAGGACCTAGTAGTTAGAGAGAAGCTCTGAAGGTCATATTACTTCCAATACGACTTACTGCAGGAGTCGTGTGATGCCCGTCGCTTATTTTTAACTACTTAAAAGGTAGAAGCTTCGTGCCAAGTGGCCCATACTGCCGGAGCTTATCGCGGTTTCCGTAGCATTAAGCAGCTTGGAATATTTCTACTCCCCCCTGGATGGGATGCTAGTCCATCGAAGAGTTACCCCCAGCATTATTTCGCAGGTACCCATTTATACACCTGGGTGGAGAGAGGCACTGTGAGAGTAAAGTGTCTTGCCCAAGAACCCAACGCAGTGCCCCGGCCAGGGCTCGAACTCGGACCGTCCGATCCAGAGTCCAGCGCACTAACCATTAGCCCACAGCGCCTCCCACATTCATTTCGTAAGATGAGAGTTATTTTCCGTAATCACATCCGCTGGACTGTTATACTGAATTTTTGGGCCCTCACATTTAATGCTAGAATTGACGATCATTGAGTACAAAACAAACTACGAGTAAATGAAACTCTGTATCTGCACCCGAAAATAAATGCAGTTTGCCGTGGCTAACCCTTTCACCCGTCTGTTGCCAAGTGGGAACATGTTTATGTGAAAAAGATTATGGTCTCAAGACTTCCAAGATGAACCATGGAAAATATTGACCGGTAAGCAAATTACCATGAAGTTGAGTTCTGCCTCTTCCGAATTTTGCGGCTCGACTAGAAGCATGTCCAAAGTGATGTCAGTAAGTAAATTTATTGCAAATCCGCCGAACCGTGGTATTTTTAGGCCCGATCCGTCGATCCGACTTAATTTTTGTTCAAATCCGAATCCGTGTTACTTTAAAACTTTTTCGTGGTATATAGAAAGTAGCGTTGTAGCAGGAAAAAATTACTTAATATAGTTGTTCTGTAATCGGAACAGATGCGGGACTTCATGTTTAAAAAGTTTTCGTTACAACTTCAAAACATTAAGCATAAAGGACAGAGCTTATAATGTTTCTTCCAGCAATACAGATTTGACTAATCAAATAGTCTGCAAGCTTGGAAAATGAAAGTATCTGGTATTGCGTAAAAGATTGTTCAATAAATTTACATTTCAGTCATTACGTGCAATAGTGAAAGTTTAAAATTTAAGTTCAACCTTTTTTACGAATACTAATAGAAGCTTAGGCACATACAGAAAACTTTTCTTTTGATATGCAATACAATTTACCTTGTTTCGTTGTTACTGGAACTGAATCTAACTTCTTGCTTTCCGCCTTTGAGGAAATAAGATCAGTAACAAACCAAGAGCAACCGTGCAAACCACTTTCGAGAGAAGTATTTTTCTCTTACGTGGTTAAAACGATACCAAGCAAAAATACGCGTACTTTTGCGATCCCAGATAAGGAATAAACCCTCCAAAAATAAGAAAAGGAATTCAAGTTTCCTTCATTATGACTGACGCACTTAAGACAAGTTATGGCCGACTGAAGATCGTCAATTATACCCCAAAAAAAGAATTTGCATATTTTGTTTAATTTTCAACACCAATGGGTAGCCTCAGGGTTAGTTCAGATGATTGACAGGGTGTTATTACAGCTAGACTTTACAAAACACTTTCTCCCCCGCAACCACCAGTGAGTCACTGAGAACATGCAGTCTGTGAAAGTATTTCAGGAAGCTTCAATTCAATACAAGCCACCGGGGAGTAATTTCCAGTAGGGTTTCTATTTAAGATGCAAAAGAGAGCTCTGAAGTGCGATTACTCACATAAACTCTTTCAACTCACACGTATCTTTAGTAACCTCTGTTGAACCGGCAGCTTGTTTGACCATTTTGGACAACCATTTTTTACAAACGCACTAACCAAGGTTTGCGGTTAAACTGTTCTAAGAATGCATGCCAGGATAAACATCTCTTCCTCCCCTCAAGATATCATTAATAATCAGTGACCTCGCATCTTTTCCACTTGATTTCCCGGGCCAGCCAGAAAGTTCTTTCGTGACATTCATGGCCATTTAAACCTCAAACCGTTTGAACCGTTGTCTTACTGAAAATAGGGAAAGTCACATGACCATGCAAAGCGCTCGGAATGGTCACGTGAGCTATTTTGATAATTACGTGTAGCGTAAGGAACAAGTCAAAACGACAACTGTCGTATATTGTTCCCGTTCCGCGATCGCGATGTGCTGATTTTGTACATTTCACAGGAGTCACAGGACGATTGTCTTTATGTGGACTTTGAATGTTTCAAATTAGCACTATGGCCAACTTTGAGTAAGAAGTTTATGAAATTTTGAAGCTTTTTCACTTGTCCAGGCGATAAACATGACGAAACAGATCAGCAATTGCCCACAAGTAGCCCAAGCTCACTATGAGAGCCTGAACAACATTATCCTACTTAGCTAATTAATTATTCATACGACAATAGTTATAAGACGTTGTATGAGAATCATCCTATTTCTCCATAATTGGGCGAAACGTACATTAAATTTTTCCTTTTAGTATTTTGTTATGTTTATTTGTGTGTTGACTGCATTTCAGGCCTCTTAGGATGCTAAGAACCCGAGAACAACACTACCCATCTAAGCTAATTAATTATTCATACAGCAAGAAAATTATAAGACGTTGTATGGAGAAATATTGTTTGCGCACTAAATTAGCAAAATGTACATTGAATATCGCTTTGAAGCTTACCTTTGGGGTTTTCTTGTTTTTCTTTGTCTTCTGACTGCATTTCAGACCTCCTAGGCACTGTTTAATGCCTTTTTTTGAGCAACAGTTTTTCACCCAGATGGGTGAAAAAGAAAAATAAGAAGACGCTAATTCGAAATTCAGGGAAAGATCTTGTTAACGACAGCACCAACTCAAAGAATAGTCTATTCCAGTCCATCTTATAGACACAAATCTTGCAAAGTCTTAACGGGAAACTTTCATAGAACGCCTGCATAACAGCAAAAAATAGCATTATTTTGTCAGTACAAACCCCGTTAACACGGAAACTTAAGGGGCCATAAAAAGTGTCCGTATTAACGGGGTGCCCGTATTAAGCGGGTTCAATTTTGGAGAAAATGTGAGGGCTTTACTTCGGCAGGGACAAAGAGAACTGTCTGTAATAACGAGGTGTCTGTAAAGCAGGGTTCGACTGCATATTCCCAGCTCATTTTCACATTCCACAGGTCACAAGGAAAGTAAGTAGCTGTGGCTCTGTGTTTGGCCTTATCCCGACTTCCTAGAGTGGTATACCAAATGTTGTTACCCACAATACAGTAGTTGTGGTAGCGGTTTCTTGAAGTTGGTTTATAGCTAGATTGCTTTGTGGCAAGTGTGGATATTGTTCACTGCGGTCTGTTCAATGTTATGTTATGCGTCTCGTCCGCAACACCAACATTCTTATGGAAGTGAATGAGACCATCGGCAACTGGTGCGCAAAAACCCAACTCAGTTAAAACTGATAAATATTAAATTTGCTCTCATATATTTGACAATCTCCAGTACCATTGGAGTGTGCCTACTCTCCCGCAATTCAAGGCAACCGACGCTACAAGAAACGTACGTTATGCCTATACTCAACAAACCTGTTGTGTTCCAGCCACATAAGTCGTTTTCGGTCAATGTATTCCTGATCTATGCGGGATTCGTCCCCAAAGTATGGAAGCTGATGAGAAACAAATATATTTCGGTTATCAGCGTAATAACGGATCTCAATTTAGCCTTACGCATTTTACCCTACTTCCCTCCGAAAAGTTGAAATAAATTTATTTCGAATTTTTAAAAAACAACAACAACAACAACATCTTCTTGCACTCATGAAAAAAAGGTCACCGTAATCTTAGTGTGTGGGCTAAGCGAAAGAACTTTACAGTTTGTGGACAAATCATCTCTATTTCATTTTGGACTTTTTATTTCACTCATTTCATCTTCCATGTAGGACATGTAGCCTTTTCGAGACGTTCGGCGAAAAGAGATGTGAGCAGAAAAAACAGCAAGGTGACAGGTATATACCTTCCCTGTAAATCTTTGTGTTCCTTTCTGCCTCTGTCCCAGGCCACCACCTAGTCTGCGCGGCAGCCAGGAAGGTATTACACCACCTCGCATTCGATCAACAAGAACCTTGAAAGAAGGAAGAGTGAATATCGCTGCTGTGACAACCACTATGTTGAATCTAACTTCACATAAGAAACAAAATGTAACTTAACTGAGACAGGTAACAAAAACAAAAACTGGCATACTTTGTTCTTCTGAAATACCTTTCTTCCATCAACTATCAATCGTTCGTCTTTGGTTTCTCTTAGAGCCTTCTCAGCATGACTCTCTTCTGAGAACTAAAGGATTAGGAGTTAAGCAAAATTACCCGTTTTTCCTGCATAAAACAAGAATTCTTTACTTATATCACTGGATAATTTTTGACTGATCTGAATAATCAGCAATTATTGAACGAGGCTGATTATCATCTCTCCCGAGTTTTTCAAACGTTGGACAGCGCTTTCCAATGGATAAATCATTATCCAGCAGATAACTATTAGGGAACCCAATTGCACTATCCCGTGGATAGTGATTTATCCAAAGGATAGCTTTATTCAACTGTTAAACTTCCAGGGCCCGAAGAATAAACTTACGCAGATCAAGAAGGAGGCAGAAAACATCCCCCCCCTCCCCCCCGATCTGTATAATGTTTCATATCTCACGAAAGCCAAATCCAATAATAATTATTGTTTTATGATTCATTCAAAATAGTCCTTTCTTTAAAAACCTGCCTTGATCGATGTTAGGTTCCCGTCTTCAACTGTGTTTTCTTCGGCAAATTCAGGATATAAAGGGAAGTTCAGTCTAGCAGTTGTTATCCGTCGGGTTGCAGTGTTTTTAGGCAGAAGATCGGCTATTTTTTCGTCGCAAAACGTGAGAAATTTTTCCCCATTTTCTCCAGCTCCACCAAAAAAATTGAGTTAACACAACCTCACCCCCGGAACATCTCCGTTGCCATGCATTTTCTACTGATAGCCTGCATTATTGACGTCATTTGATCGGATATCGCAAACTTCTTCCAAACCCTAGCGGGCTATCAGGAAGTGGCCAGGGAATTTGAGCCAATCAAACACGGAGAAATGTTTTGAATGAACTACAGACATTACACGTCATACCTCAAGAAAAGCATATCCTTTGGACTTCCCAGATTCTGTGTCCTTGACAAGTCGAAGGCTTTTAATTGCTCCATACCTGCTTTACATGTAAAAAAGTAAAATATCAGTTCTATTTTTCAGACTTGGTCAGTACTGATCGAAGTAATCTTTGCTGTGAATACGGAATTTGACTTCAGCACAAGGAAGTATAAAAAAAGGACTTCAGGGAAGGATGTAAAGTAAATGAAACAAACTCCAAGTTAGAAGTAGTTGGGACCACTGTTATTCTGTTTTTCTCTTACTGATATTCTATGTCCATGTTCTTGCATTTAAGAGTGCTTTCATTTTCGTTACAATCAGCATGCTCCAAACTTAAGCTCAGTCATCTACTATAACTAGAGACTAGCTAAGCACAAAAAAATTATTCTGCATACCTCCCTAAATGTTCAGATATCGCGTCTTCGGTGATGTTATAGTCCTTGGAAAATTTCATATAAAATCACATAAGCAAAAAATTACAAATAAAGACGAGACAAACACATACCACAGGAAAACAAGCTAGAATTCTTTATATAACTCTTATATCAGCTAGACAGTCATTTTCTTCTTGTCCACGCTATTTTGTGTCATTTCTTGTATAGCCAACAAACTTTTTACATATTCAGTCCTCAAAAATTTATACAGCATATTCTACATTCTTAGGAAGCCTATAGTTCATAAGTTCCCAGCTTCAATATAGGCTTCTTTGCCTTAGCCATGGAAAAAATCTAACATTAGCTACTTTTACTAATAGCAATTAGTTTTTACATATTCCAACTTGGGACTAAATGTATATGCCATAGTAACTGTATCTTTCTAATGTGGTGTATGGCAAAAATATATGAACAAATGAATGAATAAATAAATAAATGAAGGAATAAATGAATCCTAGTCAAGTGTATTGTATCAAGTATAAATAAAACCCTTTCACTTTCAGAGTGAATCAACAATTAGGAGCAAAGTACATCAGTTAACATCACTTACAAGTCTTGCTATGAAGATAGTTTTGTGAGGATCTCCTTTTATTTTTTCATCAGAGTAAGGATCATCTATCAAAATTTAAAATGCATATCACATATTTCTTTCATGTCAGTATAGAAAAAATTCAGTTGTTTGGCATCAGTTTCTTTATTGCTTTTACATGCAAATTATTTTATTTATTTTTTTTTTATTTGCCACACTAATTACAAAAAATATAGGAAAAGAAGAAGAAGAAAAAAAAAAAAAGAAGTGGCGCGGAGACCTAACAGAAACTATAGGAGCTTATGAGAGTTTAGGCCTCCTCGAACTATGAGCTAGAGCTGTTTGACATCAATTGAAGAGAAGAAGGCGAAAAGTCGAAGATGGAAAGATTTATAAACTGTTTTCATACTTACTCAATAATTTAATCTTCAGTTTTTTTCTTAAAAGAGGAGAGGGATTGAGAGTTGATGATCTTGTTGTCAAGTGAATTAAAAACTTAGGCCCTTGGAAAAAGGGCGAGAACTTCTTCGTGTTTGTGCGACAATACGGTAGACGGTAGGCCTGGGAATTTCTTGTATTGTAAGAGTGGAATTGATTGCTTTGAGAGAAATTGTTATTAAACTTTGGAGGTAAGAATGAATTTTTGCAAGAATACATAAATTGGCCCAGTTGAAGCAAATGGATATCATTAAATTTTAGTATACCGAGGTCCTTAAAGATGGGGTCAGTATGAGCATTAAAATGTGATTTATTAATAATTCTAATAATGCGCTTTTGCAGGATAACAAGGCGGCGGAGATTAGTTTTATAGGTCGAAGCCCAAACGATATTGCAGTAGTAAAAATAAGGATAAATTGAGGAATAGTAGAGCATACGTAAAGACGATTTAGGAAGAAAGAAGCTGCATCTAGATATTATACCGATTGACTTCGCAACTTTACTTGCAACGTGAGATATTTCTGACTTCCAATTTAGGTTTTCATCCAAAATTACGCCTAGAAAATTTGTCTCCTTTACTTTAACAATATTTTGATTATCTATACTTATTTGAATATTACAAATTGAACGCTTTTGTCTTGGTTTGAAGACCATAAATTTAGTCTTTTTAAGATTTAGAGAAAGCTTGTTTGCTTTAAACCAGATTGACAGTTTGTCCATCTCCAAGTTTAACATATCTCGTAGATAGTTCAGATCTTTATGTGACATGAATACATTGGTATCGTCAGCGAACAATATCAGATTTAATAGATTAGAAGCATTGTTGATGTCGTTAATGTACAGTAAGAAAAATAGAGGTCCGAGGATAGAACCCTGAGGGACCCCACAAGAGATTTCATTTCTTAACGAACGGTGGCCATTATATTCAACATATTGCTTTCTGTTTGAAAAGTAACTTCTTATCCAGTCCAGCGCTAAGCCACGAATACCATAATGTTCGAGTTTATCAAAAAGGATGATATGATTTACAGTGTCAAAGGCTTTTGAGAGGTCAAGAAAAATACCTACGGAAAATTCACCTCGGTCAAAGGCAGTAGAGATCTTATCATGCAAGTCGATTAGCGCGAGTGCAGCGGAATGATTTTTCCTGAAGCCGTATTGGTTACTACAGAGGATGTTGAAGTTCATCAGATATTGCATTAAACGATTGTAGATAACTCTTTCAAAGAATTTTGAAAAACTGGGAAGCACCGAGATAGGTCGGTAGTTGGTGAAAAGCGACTGATCATCAGATTTAAAAATAGGTATCACGCGAGCGATTTTCATTTCAAATAGACCTCTTTAGCTTGTATATTCTGTTCTCCCAATACAGGTCATGTGATGATACTCTAGAGAATTATTTCTTTCAAACTTCATCTTATTCATGTGCATACCAACGCATAATTTATGAAAAGAAAAAGGAGCAAATTCCCCTGAGTCCTCTACTGGGAAAACAAAACATACAAACTAAAGAGGCCTATTGGATTAACAGAAAACAATCAGCTATAAGGTAAATAAAATGTTGACTATGAGTGATACACTGGGTGATATTGTTTACCCATCCCCCTTCAATCAACTACTTCCCCCAAAGGGAGAAAATGTGGATCCATCACTGCTGTTTATAAGCTCTGCTGCCACTTATAAGCTCCACCAATTATAGGCCCATCTAGCTGTAAACCAGAAAAAATATCAGATTGTAAGCACCCCCCCGCCCCCCACCCCACAACCAGGCTGAAGGGCTTTTTCTATAGAGTCTGTGTGTGGCGGCCATGATAGAGAAGTAAACAATACAAAAATATTTGTATGAAATTGAAATTATTTCCCAAAGGAAAATGGTTCTATTGTTTTACTCCTTCAACATGGCCATCACGACTTACTCTATTCCTATTATAAGCCCCTCCATTTACACCTCCCCCCCCCAGAAACCTCTACAAAGATGTATAAGCCCACTGTTTATAAAAGGTGTTTTATGGTTTTTTCCCTTAAGGCATTATGAAACTGCTTACTCACATCTTAAATTGTTGCCTTCATTGATCCTCTTGCTCTTCCTCTTTCTTTTATGCTGGTGTTTTGGCCTCACAATCAGCCCCTAAGAGATCACCTTCTACAGTTAAATTTAAATAACTATCGTCTAGTGCTAATTCAGCTGATTAAGAAAGCTCATTACTAAACCACTGATTATCTCTTAAGAAAAGAAGCATTTATATTCTGTCTCTAATGGATGTGCTTATTACTCATGATAAAAAAGAGTCAGCATCTGATAAAGAACCCAGAACCAACAAGAAATTTATAAGGTTACCATAAATCCCCTATTAAAATTAAAGCCCTCTCACTCAAATAAGCTCCCCTCTTCCCCTCTCTAATAAGTCCCCCACCCTTTCCAGGGGAACAAAGTTAATAAGCCCCCCCTCTTTTTTAAGCCCACCCCTCTTCCCTTCCCCCGATTATTCTTCACTAATTCATGACAGCCTGTATAAATCAATCTCGACTGTAAAACTTGATTGGGACTGATCCAGGATAGTTTATTCATGTGTTGGAAGTTTGTTTTTTTTTTATCCTTGGCTGCATGACCTCGAACTTCTTGTACTTGAGCTTTTCCACTTTGCACTCTAGTTCTCTATGGAGAGCTGATACCACCATCTTCACTAAATTAACTAAGCCCCCCTTTCCAATAGGCCCCCTGTCTCTATTAACCCCCAACCCCTCAAATGTGTTTGAAATATATAAATCTCTCCAGGCGGGTTAATAGAGGATTTATGGTATCTGAACCTCCAAGTCTATATCATTGCCTTAAACAACATGGGACATTGCCAACAATACTTTGGCTTGAAACCCACTAACCATGAGAGACGTTTGTTTTACATCACTCAAAGGCATCCACAGTTTTACTACAAGCCCGCTCAGTAAACTCACAAGATCCTTTGATCAAGACCAGCAGAATGCTGTCAAAATGTCACCATCAATACCTAATTGTGTCTATCTTGAGACAAAGGATAAAAGAGCTGTATCATATGCACATAAACATATGCCAAGTTTAATGTTTGTCTCTCAAACACTCCTAATTGATTCTTGCATTCAAATACTGATTTAAAAGAATTTTAAACCCAGGATAAGGGGAAATCATTACAATTCAAAACACCAAATAAAGGGAACAACTGGAGTCCTTTTACAACGGGAACTTAGCAAAAAAAAACAGAACTACTGCATTGCTCAAAAGCAGGAAATATCAGAGGATATCTGGCTTTGCCCTTTTCAGTTTTCTCTTTACCCTGTACCCTAAAAGAGAGTCTGTTCACAGGCTAAGGTAGTGCAGCCAGATACACCTCTCAGCTATATCCATTAGCTGTTCTCCCAGCCATAAACTACACGATAAGAATCCTTCCAAGCCACAGTCACATTGTGAATAACAGGCCATTGCCTGTCATCTCAGCTGATGCTTTGATAGATGATGCTGCGTCTCAGCTGATAACTTGCTTTTGATTTTAGAAATGTTGCCTGAGCTCTCAGATGACATTTCAACAAGCAAATCACATGTTCGGGGAATACAGTGTATGACTCAGACCTGGGAATTTCTGGTGTAAGTTGCGATCCCTACTTCGTTATTTCTTTCACTTTCTTCACTGCTGGAGCGAGCATTGCTGCTTTCAGACCTTTCAAAATGTGATATCCTGAAAGTTTGCAGAGTTTCAGAGAATAACGACGACATGTTAAACAACAACAACATTAGGGAACAGGGCCAGTGAAAGGATTATAAGCATCGTTATAAAACAGCAATGTAAAAAAAACAGGGTCAAATTGTTCAACCTCAAAGGACGAAACTGGGCACAGTAACTGATTTTTCACTTCTCACATTTCTCCTCGCTCTTCGCCACCGGGGACGTTTCGCTTGTTGAAAAAGGGAGGAGGAACGTCTGCGATTCTCAAAGCGGCAACGGGACAAATTCCATACTGATGTACGCTAAACCAATGTTTAATTTTCTTGCTGTATGAATAATTAATAAATCCAGTAGTCATGGGGATCCAAATACAAATTTGTCCAATGTTTTTAAACAGTGTGTTCTGGTCGATTTTGGTAAAGTGTTGTGTTCATCTGCCAACGAGCTCCAGCAAAACTCAAATGCTTCTTCAAGAGAAGACTATATTCCACAAATATTGACTGTTTTGTTAGAGATTCTTCGCGTTTACATTTGACCTTTGTGGCCTTTTGTCTTTTGTCTGTCATTCGTAAACAAATTATAGCTAAAACAATGTAACTGCTCCGTCGACCAATCAGCGCTTCTGACCGGATTCCGGACAGATTTTAAGTCATCAGTATGGAATTTCTGTCGCTGAGTCGCAGACGTTCCTCCGCGCGAAACGTCCCCATCGGCGAAGAGCGAGGAGAAACGGATGTTTTCGCAGGCTAAAAAAAACGTCAAAAGCAAAACAATTTCACAAACCATGGCCCAACACTCCTTCGTAAGACATCAAACTGAACACTTCTATCAGCGTTCATAATGAGGAAATATTACCGACTGTCATCCTTGGTCATTCTTCGTCTGCCGCCATTTTGGATTAACACTAGTTACCAGTTTTAGTGGCTCAGACTAGTAGTTTGATATTTCATGTATGAGCTCACACAGTGTACTCAATAGACGACCTCGTCACCAGTGTTCTATCCAAAAAGGTCACTCTGTTACAATGGAACAATGGAACCCGGAAACAACAACAACAAAAACAACAATACTACTACTACTACTACTACTACTACTACTACTACTAATAATAATAATAATAATAATAATAATGGTTTACTTAACACATCCGCGGGGTTGCTTTCCTGTTCAAATACATTATTTGCAATTAAAAATAAACAAGAACGCTCTTAGTACCTTAGTCTCGCTTGCTTGGAGATAATGTCAAAACTACCTTTTTCATTTGGAATACAAAACGAGTGTTATATTTCATAATGTAAATACTCAAAAAGTAAAAATTGCAAGGAGAGACAGGCCGAACATCCTAGCCTCAAACCGGTGTGAAACCTTTGAAAACCTTCTACATATTGATATCGCTCCATTGAGGAGTACTCTTTCAGGGATTTTACGCTGAAAAAATTGAACGATGATTGTTATCAGTATCAGGGGCCCATGAATCTGTCAGTATAAATATACATAGCTTCTTTTTACCGGACCAAGATACGGTTCGGCACAGTATATGTTCAGCACAGGAAAAATGTGTAAGTTTTACAGAACCTTATACACATAGTTAATTCAGTTCGTGCGTATTCCTTCTGAATTTGTCGTCCGTTTTATAAGATATCAATATCGCGTCAAAGTAATTACACTTTCCACAGCTGCTTAGAATCTACTTTTAATATCTCCGTACAGTCTCAGAGTACAAAGTTTAGAGTTGTACACAGCATGCATTTTAGATAGATAGATAAATAAGAACTTTATTTTAGCACGATAAAAAGATCAGCATTGCTGGTGGGGTCCTGCATACAACACTAAAAAATTACAAGAAATATAACGAGTACTGAAAGCAAATTTACAATTAAAAATTAAAAACTCTTAAAGTTTTTTTCTTTTATTACAGTATCACTGGCATAAAGCATTACATTTTCCAGGAAAATTTCACTTTCTCGTCCAAACAATCACTGACTCAGACAGTCTCGAATTACTTTACTTGAATTTAGTGTTCAGTACAGCGAACGGGGTTATGTTCTGTCAAATTTATCTACAGTCTGCGGCCCACATTACCATTGATCCACGATTTATTTATTTATTTTATTTTCAAGTTTTTTTTAACCGATCCTCGATCCCCTAGTCCTCGATCCTCGATCCTCGATCCTGATTTTCCAGTAAACCTTGAAGTTTTGCTCATTAAGATTATTCTTTTTTTTCGACCAATGAAGTGATCAGTTGTTCCAAAATAATCAACACTTTCAAGCGATAGAATTCATCGACCAACCAGTTCTGGAAAAGCTCGATATGGGATTTCTATTCTATGGACATGAAGTGCTGCAAGTAGAGTGCGCGGATAGTCAAGTTCAAAGCTACCCGTATAAACACATCCGTGACACACACGTAACGTTAGGGTGGATTTGCACTGACGCGTTTTTGGCTCCGCACGTTAACGCACGTAAATTTTAATCACGTGAATAAAATAGAGGTAAGATATAAAGTGTTGAGATTAAACGTCAAGTTGAGCGAGTTTCTTCTTTTACTCTTACATAATTGTACGTGCGACCTTTCATATATTGCCTCTATTTTATTTGGGAACGAAAATTTTAAGCACATACGCACGTAAAAATTACGTGAAAGTGGATACTTGATATCTCGAGTATTTATAAAGTGCAACACGACTTCACATCTTAACAACTGCGAAAATCTATCAATTAAATACATAAAACAAAGTGAATCTATTTAACCGTAGATTTCCAGTAATTGCGACAATATTCTGAGAAACGTAACGCCTTAAAACACCACAAAATAGGATTTCCCCGCTACAATATTTTCTCATCCTACTGGGAAATATTTCCTTTTTAATCAGTGCCTGCATGTCGTGCATAATTACACGAAAAGGGCCTCCATTCGAGGAAAATTACATCATTGCCAAACTTACACGCCTCATTTCAGTCAATTCATCGCCGAAAATATACCACTTGCTCATCACGAGTCTCATTTGCATACAGTGAAAGTCGCCACGATTCTTATCCCCAGTTTCCACGGTCTTCGCTAGGAACGCGTGGCCTACAAACTAGGTCAAAAAAGAAACGACTGCATTTTTAGAGTCTCGTCTTGCTAAAGCAAGCTTGACAAATGAAATTACGTTAAATACAGTTTTAAAAAAACTTGTTAGTCCAATAGAGGTAACTCACACACAATCAAACTCAAACTTAGGCCCCCGGCTTACATCGATAACAGTTACATGCGTCAAAGGTCATGTTTTGTTATTTTTGTGACAAACTTTCAACTCGTCATTCAGGGAGATAAGATTTTTGGCCCATAGTACGTACGGTTCTGTCACCTGGGATCAGTGTTTAGACCCAACTATGTAGTGCTGACTTTTGGTTGGGAAAAGGAAATTTTGGTGTTGAAGAATGGTATGATGCATATTCTGAGTCTGGAATGTTGCAATGAAGAAAATGTACGAGAAGGAATTATGAAATCTCTTGCGAACAAACGCTCCATTATTTTACTTCGATGCACCCTCGACCAAAATTACCACCCCATTGGCTGGAAAATCCAAGTGAACACCAGAGTTTACACCACTTAATAAATTATTGTATATGAAAAAAACACTGGCACTTCAGTCAATTAATAATGAATTGAATTCTGAATTAAGTTATCAATATAAAGATTCGAATCGTATAAATACTTTGATATGCACTTTACTCAAAATTTTTTCTTCAAAAACATCTTCGAACTGCGATTCTCTTACGGAGCGGAAGTGTAAAAGCCGTTCGAAGAAAATGTACAAAACTGCGCGCGATCATTTGGTGGGCTACTGTAGGTTCTGCTTTTCGAGGCCAGCCATAAAGCAGTGGCAGCAGCAACACAAAACTAGAATACTGACAACTTGAAGAGGCAATTTGATATAAAAAGCCTTTTCCCTCTTTTAAAGTATTTTGTTTAAAAGTAACCGGATATACCTTTGGCAATGAGAGCTGACTACATAAAGGGACGAGACTTTATTTCATAAAAGATCCGCGTAGATAAACTGTCTCAAACTACGACAGCTGGCAAACTCCCAGAAAATTAATTGCAAAGAGTAGTTCAAATAGACATTGATACAAACACCTGATTGGCTTGTTTGGAAGGAAGATATTGATAAAAACACATATAAGGACAGGTACTATTAATAACAAAAAGCTTTGTGCTAAAGAACCTGTGGTTTAATTGATATAATAAGAGAACAAAGACAGTTAGGTGCCAAACGACCCGACAGTGCTCCACGGAATGTTAGCTCTCAGTTCAGAAACACCTTAAGATTATCTCTATGGCTGAAGTTTTGCATGCTTTTGTGATTTTAATCTTTCTTCCAGGAGGTACATCTAAGATCACCAACAAGGAATCCTGTGGAAGCATGTTTGAAGTTCAAGTTGGTGAGTTAGAGACTTACGAACTGGTGTTCATCGTCGTTTCTCCATCTCATTATCCTGACGATCCATATGCGCTATAAAACGACGCCATCGGGCTCGATACCATTCATGATACCGAATCCCCGGCCTTCCTAGCCTTTCTGATATGGACATTGATTTCAACTCCAACAACACCATAGCTGTTTGCAAGAGCTTGTTGCCATCCACACATTTCAGTTAGTCAAACTGCCTCTGCAGTTTACCTCAGTATCTTTTTCTCACGGTTGTTTTTTGTTCATTGTTTCAGGCCACGCTTTAGTTGGTCATGTTTTGGAAACTTTTGTGGTTGTTGATGAGTTTGAATGTCAGCAAAAATGTATGGCAAACAAAAGTTGCAAGTCATTTAATGTCCTTCCTGATGCCGATTTTACGAAGCGCATTTGCCAACTAAACAACAAAACAAGGCAGACGAAACCAGGAGATTTTATGAAGACAAAAGCTTCGAGTTATTATGGTTCTATAAAGGTCAGTGTTAGCAAAAAAACGTAAACTTCGAACCTCGAACGAGTAATTCGTTCAATTTTAGATCGACTTAGGAGGTTTCAAACAAACTAACCTTGTCTAATTCTCCTGACCCATCATTTTAGCAACATTAAAATTATATATTAAAATTATATATTACTCCTGACCCATCAAATTTTCAGCCGTTTTGGTCATCGACATTTAAAACTGTAGTCTTGAATACTTTTTTAAAATTATATGTTAATAAAAGCAGATAAACATTGCCTTTAACATGAACTAGGGAAATTTAAGGCAGGTCTGAAACAGGGTATTGATTTAATTTAAATAGGGTATCAAATTTTTGGTTTTCATAAATAGGGTAGGGAAAACATTTTGGTCATTAACATTAACTTATACTGCTATATGTAAGACGTGCTACTGTGAAAAAAAAAACAAACAGCAAAAATTGGTGTAAACAAGTGAGATAACATATATGCAAATGAGAATCACACGCATCATAAATGTAAGAAAACGGAGAAAATGAAAGCCGGCGATTTTCATGCAAAGTTTAGTGTGGATTGTTTAAAGATTCGAATGTCAGTAATATATTAATCATGATTTTCTTGACTACATTCTCATTGAAGATTTCCTGCTTTGATATCTCTCATAACAAGAAGACTCAAACTTCCACTGGTTACTGTTATCCAGCTCGCCAAGGAAAATCTTGCCTCCCAAAAGCAGGTGAATGACTTCCATTTTTTATGGTTGAGTGATTAATTTATCTACAAAAGATAGACAAAAAAATAGGAGACAGAAATGCTTTCTTCTAACATTTTTAGCACTCGCAAACTGTTAAGGAGGGGTGGCACTCTTGAAGTCTCCTTCAAGAGAACGAGAAAATGACCGCTATTGGAAAAAAAACCACACCATCAGAATTCCAGAGGAAAGTTGCAAATTAAATGTCAAGAAAAAAAAGTTTACCTAAAAAACGATTTTTCCTCCTCGGCTCCCATATAAAGAAAGGAAGATCCTCTCTCGTACATTTGCACCATTTGACTGTTTGATACAGAAAAACCCCGTTAATATGGACACTGAAGGAACGAAAGTGTCCGTATCAACGGCGTGTTCTTATTAAGCGGGTCATGCAATTAAAGTCAAATAGACACCTTTTAATGGCGTAAAATACTGAAGAAATTAATGAGGACATTATACGCAGCGTCAAATTGTACATCTCTAACCTTCACAAAGCTATCATTTGCCAAACTAAACCCATGGAACACTAAAAATCGCTTTCTGCATATCTCGATTGATGCCAAAATAGTCTGAAATTGGCGTCTACGATTCATCCTTCCCGCGGTAAACTGTAAAGTTCAGAACTGATCGACATGCATTTAACTGAAGGCTTTTTGTCTACATGGATACATTTTTTACACTGGTACTGAGCAAACAGATGATACGTGTCCGCCGCATTAGTGAGGTTGACTTTCTATGAGATTCTGTATGCAAGAAACAAGTGCCCGTAGTCCGTGTCCGGTGTCTGTATCAAGCGGGTTAAATTTAGAGAAAATGTAAGCCTTACATTTTCTCTGAATTTAACCCGCAAGCCGCTTGCTCCAGGGACAAAGACAATTGTCTGCAGTACGTAGGTGGGTGTATGTCAAAGCGGGGTTCGACCCGGCATTTTTGTTAATCAAAGAAGCTTTGACATACCTGACGTGAAGAAACAATAAAACTCGATGGCAAGATATCCCGGAAGAGACGTTAACGATCAATTGATTATTAATTACTTTTCTTGATTATTCACTTTTTTTCAATTCACGGGTATGTCTCCATAACCAAGAACGCTCAGAAAAAATTATTTTAAAGTAATAATCCTTTTCTGTGAAAGATATTTGAATTAAAACTCAACCATTTCTTTCAGAAAAAAGCTGCAAGGAAATCAAGAACTTTGGCAAATCACAAGGCGATGGTATGGACTGGTTAGACCCGGATGGAGGAAACCATTCCAATGCATTCCTTGCTTACTGTGACATGACGTCATACAAAGGAGGATGGACTATGTGTTACAGCACCGACGAATACGCCAAACCCAAATCCGAAGTCGCTTACAGCACTCAGTTTCCTTATGGTAAAGACGGGTACAGGACGAACTGCAACAACATCCCGGTAAGCTGACTATAAAAATCTGCTTCGGCAGTAAATTTGTTTGAAAGTGAACTCTACAGACATAATAATTAAGTCGCAGGGGTCATTTTGACTAGGAATAGGACGCTTAAGCAATCGTACGTTGAGGCCACTGCGAACAAGAGAGACGCTACTGTGTGGCTGGTAAATTTCTTTACCTTTCTCTGAGCTGATTTTGCTGAATGATTCATGAGTCTGAAAACGTCTACACTCTCTCCACGACCGTTTTTTTCTTTCTATACTTGAATACGACATCCGTCACTTCAACACGTTGACAATCTGGGCAACTCGCTATCCTGCTTTGGAAGTCACGGCTAAGTTGGAGGATAAAGTGCGTAACAACATCCTTAGTTGTACTAACACATTTTATTTTCTTCCTTCTTTTTAAAGTTTTCTGAAATAATATTCATCGATCATCAAACGGGTAACAAAGCTTACTTCAAACGACGTTCACCTTTCTCTCTAACAGCGGCATCTAACTATAACAAACCCGCAAGTACCTATGGATTATGGGACGGAGATGGAGTAAACAAGAACTACTCCTATCAACTGCTGATTTGTGATCTTTATTTCTACTCTGGGTTTTTTGTTTCTGGTTACACGAACTGTTTCAAGCGATGTGACCACTGGTGCGGTGACATAATAACACCATACTTCCGAACAGCATCTACCAGTACATATTACAAAGGAGTGGCCTTCAATATCAATGGTCATTACGTGGTGAAAAATAGGCTGATCAGTGTTGGCCTCCGCTAGACAGCTTTTCATTTCAGTGCGAATGAACAGCGCCGAGGGGCAACCCCCACTTCTTTTTTGTCGAAAATACTGTTAATTTCTAAATATTTGTTTGTCAGAAAGAAAGTAATCAAGAAGAAGAGATAAAGTAGCGAACAGGCATGTTGGTGATAGTGTGTGTTGGATTGATCGTATTCCGGAATAAGAATTGGCAGAAATTTGTGACACTGAATCTCTTCGATCGCAAATTTTCGGTCCATTGAAATGAATTACTAACTTCCAACAGATTTCTATATTTTAGCATGCAATTAAAGCCAAAACAAGTGATTTTTAGCGTCCGTTCTAGTAATTCTTATTCCGGAATAGGGTCAATCGAATCACACTTACCGAGCGTCAGTCAGTAATCAGCGTCTACACTCACCCGGGCAATACCACTGCAGAGTGTCACGCGAGAGACTAGCAACTAATAAACGATATACACAAAAAACGTTGGACGACAATACACAATTAGAAGCTCACAGATTCTTTTAATTGTTTTAAAGCTTAATAGGGGTCAATGATTTAATTTCAAGAAACAAAACAAAAGCCTCTAGAACCATAATATATAGATATCTTTGAAAATTCATCTTAGAACACTCTTAATCTAACGAAGACAATCCCGTTTCAGTGTCCAGTTAGAGGGGATCTGAATATGGTGCTATTTGGTTCGTCAGGACCAAACAGTGAATATGATCTTGCTCCTACGTCAGAGAGCTTATTCTCTTCTTTCAGCTGAGACAACAGATCCAAACCGGAAAAACTTGAATACGTGTCGAACTTGACTTGTCGGTTATCCGGTTTGTCCATATCTTTCACCTTGGAAAATTCACTTTGGTGGGGCGTCAACTTTGATTCGCTACAAGCCTGACTTTTCTCTTGGTTTCGATTCATAAATTGGTTCTTTTTGAATGGTGGACTATTATACACGGGATTATGCAACTGATTGAAGGGCGGTTCAAGCTTTACTTTAGCGCAAACAACGTCGTTATTCAACCGAGTCTGTTTCGATCCTGTTTTCGATTCAGGTTGTCCAGGGTTCCATTTAGGCTCCACGTATTCTGGTACTTTCCATACTGACGGGGGTGGGCTCGGGGGCTCGCTTTCGCTCCCCTCTGACTGAGACCTCTGTCTTAAGTACTGCATTGTCAACAGAGGGGGACTAGGTACTTTAAGCGGTGATTTAGATGTTATTGTACTCTCAAGCTTTTTCGTTGTCTTTGAGGTCGCAGTTAGTCTTGTCCTTCCAGAATCTACTCTTTGAAGTGAAATCTGTGACAAAAAAATAAATACACAATGCAACATATGCACATTCAGGACAAAATAAATTCCATTCTAATTTGAACTGTCTCCGCTCAACTGACTGAATATCTAACATCTTGCAAGTAATAAAAAGACAATTGGTTGCATAATGATTAAAGATCATTGACACTTCAACTAACCTTATCTGTATGCCTTAGAGTCTCTCGCATTTCCTTTTGACGCTGTTCTTTGTACATCTTTAGTCTTTGTTCTTCTTTCTAGTCATGTGAAAAAAAATTGAAAAATTCTCACTAAATATGCCTCGCTTGCGCTTAATAACCAAACGCAGCACAATAATAGGGCACTGAAAGCCATCTTCAAATAAAAAAGCATCCTCGGCAGAAATATTGTTATCCATACAGAACAGAAACAAGCAATTTAGTTACAGACTTGGAGCCATCAAATAAAGATAATTTGTATAACACCCTTTCAACTACCAAATACTTTCATCCAAAATATGAACCAAAAAAGCATATGATATTCTTCTCACTTCTTTCTCCTCTCTTTCTTGTTCTTTTCTTCTCAATCTCTCTTCTTTTTTCTTAACTTTCTTCTCTTTCTTTTCTTCTTGCTTACGTTCCTGTAAAAGATAAAAAAAATTACCTACATGAAACAGAATGAAGGTATGTAATACTTTATTAAAAACTTTATGAATTAAAAGAGAAACAAACTAGCCTCTACAACACTCGGCAAGTTTCCATAGAGGTAGCGTTTACACATAACCGCCATATATTAACTACTACAATTACTTCTACTAGTACTATTACAGAAAGACAAAAAAGAATTAAAGTTATAGTAGTTACTAAAAAGATAGACAACTTGACAAGACCCAACTGCATTCTAATAAACTTCTTAAAGTGAGTGACTCAGCGAGTTTTGCTTCATTTGAGAGTTGGTTCCAAAACATAGGGATTAGCACCCCTTTATTTTTAGACTCCTTTTCAGAAACTCTCTCTTCAGTTTAGGATGTGTCAGATTAGTAGCCATACTATGTAGATGGTAATTAACCTGATCAATATTCCTTCTAACAAGAGTTCCTAAAGCAAGGGTAGATGTGATGAAGACAGAATACTCCATGTAAAGATATTGCTGTAATTTAGATTATTTATATTTTACTTCCATTTATTGGCAAATTAACAGTCTGTTGGCAAGTGACTTTATGATTTAATCAAAATATTTCTCTGTTCTGCGTAGGCTTTCATCCCCTACTGATAAGTGAAATCAGAAAGCTGAGGTTGATAACATTTACCAGGACCTTGATTATTCTGGATATCACGAAAACCTCCTCTAATAATTGTTTATTCATCAGGATAACTACAGTATAGCAGTGCTGTCATTACGAGGTGGGGGCCAAGGATTTCCCCTAGCTACTTTCATAAGAAAATGGAAGAAAAATAGAACCAAAAGAAATCCCTAGCTGTTTGATTCCCTGCCTACTTGTTGTATTTACCCAGCAACTTCTCAAACTCATTAATAATTCATAAAGAAAATACAAAGGAAATTAATGTTTGATGAGTGTTTGGAAATTAGATGAAAAACTGCTCATTTTTGCATCCTTAATTTCTCCTTCTTCTGTAAAATCATTTTGAGTAAGAAGTAATATAAAGCAGGAGACACAGTCTTTCATCATCAGATGAAACACCTCAAAGTTCATAAAAAAAACTCCTCTTTCAGCTCTCTTTTCAGTGTTTTATCTGGTGATGAAAGCTTGTGTCTCCTCCTTGATATATTACTTCAAATCTAAGTGACATCCCTGAGTATACTATAGTACTGACAGTTCATTAGGATAAATGTAGCACTGCAGATAGAAAGGCAGGCCTAAACCATACAAGTTTAAATTACTGGCTTTATGACTGTTATCTCAGCGATGTGGTGATTCTCCGTAAAGATATTTCAGAGTATCACACATGCATGTTAGCCTGCGAAAACATCTGTTTCACCTCGCTCTTCGCCGCAGGGGACGTTTCGCACGGAGGAACGTCTGCGACTCAGGGGCAGAAATTCCATACTGATGACGCAAATCAATGTTTACATAATAAATCTGGTAGTCATGGGGATCCAAATACAAATTTGTCCAATTTTACGTGTCTTCTGGTCGATTTTGTTAAAGTGTTGTGTTCATTTGCCAACGAGCTCCAGCGAAACTCAAACGTTTCTTCTACAGAAGAGTACATTCCACAAATATTGTCGTTTTGCTAGAGATTCTTAGCGTTTACATTTGACCTTTGTGGCCTTTTGTCTGTCATTCGTAAACAATAGCTAAAACAATGTAACTACTCCCCCGACCAATCAGCGCTTCTGACCGGATTCCGGACAGATTTTACGTCATCAGTATGGAATTTCTGTCACTGAGTCGCAGACGTTGCTCTGCGTGAAACGTCCCCAGCGATGAAGAGAGAGGAGAAACGGATGTTTTCGCAGGCTACATGCATGTAGGTTCAGGTCGGGCTATCACCAACAAAACTGTTAGCCCTTTTCAACCTTGTTGAAATTTATCCACACCAGGAGCTCATAATAATGTGGACTACAACAATAATTTATGACATTATTATTATTATTGCAGTGCCAATCATAAACCGTAAAAGGAAAAGGAAATTACCATTTAAATTATGTATGCCTTTTGTTGGTCTTACCCTAGTGGGACTTTTGCATCCCAGTATGGCAGTTTTGTACCACGTGAATGGCAAGCTGCAAAGGGCCTATTATAACAAGGCTGTAGCCTAAGAAAATTTTAAATCCAAAACACCCAGCTATAAGCCGAGACCCACTTGTTAACTTTTAACTACTGTAAAACTTAACAATTTCGAAAAAAGTGTGACCTTCCAGGGTTCGAAATTAACGGTTGTCCGGTTGTCCCGGACAACCAAAATTACGATGGGGCAACCAAATTGTGCTAAGTGGTTGCCCCTTGGGCAACCCAATCTGTCGTGGCACTAATCCATAATGAAGACTTGATAGATTTGAATAAATATAACAGCTTGTTGTCTTTGGAGAGTAAGCGATACCTAAACTAAGTTAGTGGAAAGAAAAAAAAAAAACGCGGAAGAAATACTAAAGTATCACGTACACTACCGTTGGAAACCGAAGTTCGTTTTTGCACAACATTCTTATTTGAATGAGCCTGTTGTGCTTTAATCAGCGGTTGGTACCAGTAAACATAGTCCATGATGCACTAGTGAGATTCGCTCCGTGATGCCGCCATGTTTGTTTCGACGATGGCAATTTACCATTCATCTTATTATTACCGTAATCATGTTAGTTAACATGAGCCTCTTCCGCTACTTCGGCCGTGAGAAAGTGAAGGCCGTTGGCGATAACAACAATTTGGAAGCCACGAAGAAAGATGATGATCAAAGCAATGCTACGGCGACGGGTGTCGCAAAATCTACAGCAGAATTAGGCGAGGCGCAAGAAAGTTCAAGAAAAAGGTGTCGTACATTTCAAGAGACGTGGAAGACTAGAAGACCCTGGCTGAAATTTGACGAGAAAGAAAACGCTATGTTTTGCAGTTATTGCAGACAGTTTTCGAAAGATAAATCTGCCTTTGGGAGCGAAAAAGGTAACAACAGTTTTCGTCTTGATGGGATCAAAAAACATGAAATAAGTGAGGCGCATAAGACAGCTAGCTGTATTAGTTTCTTGGCTTGAACTGGGGCAAGAGCTTGGACAACCAAAATATTCTATGGGCAACCAAACCAAGTCTTGTGGTTGCCCCAGGGGCAACTGAACATAAAAGTAAATTTCGAACCCTGCCTTCACCAGGAAAACGTAAGATTGTCATTTAAGTTTTTCGCTGCTAACAATTTTTCCTCTTGTCTTCATTGCATTATGCATGAAATGATCACATCAATCGTCTTTCAATCAAAACAAACCACATCAGTTCACGTTGTGTTCATCTGTGCTTGGTAACCAAGCAAATGTTTTAAAGCACAAGTTTGACCAAACATGGCGGATTGTTTACACATTCCTTGGTATCTTTCATTTGTTTTACACCTTCCCTCATTGCAAAAGGCTTAACAATGTGAGATGTTAGTTGTGAGACCTGTTTTTGCCAGATATTTTGACAATTTGGGACTGAATTTCTGTCCTTAGCTAACCTAACTTTTCAGATTCTTAGTTACGCGATCGGTTCAATCTTTTGCCAGTGCTTTTTGCTCAGCTTATGAGTGAATACATCCTCATTTAGTAGAGCTTCAATACACTGAAAAACTTTTGTTGTCAAAAACTCGTGGCTGTAAGCCGACACCCCTCTTGGGCTGAAATTTCACAAATTTCATTTGTGTCAAAATCACTTGGCTTATAGCCGAATAAATTAATAAGGTAAGTCTCCCTTTGACCCGTCACACAATGCTAAGGAGCACTGCAGGACAAGCCAAAACCAGAAGGATACTCGAGACTCAAACGAATAGAGTTTCAAAACGCCAAAACTGAGTCTCGAGTTTTGAGAAACCAGCATTTTTATATTCACCACTCGAAAAGATTTTAAGAACGATTTCTTTCTTGAAAAAAATGACAATAACCATTTGCCGACTATTAAATGTATTTGATGCCATTGTCAGATGAGAAACTTAAACTCCACTGCAGCGCAAGTCACAGAAGCGAATTTCAATACAAGTGCTTGTTTTTTACCTTTTATCAGCGGAAATATTCTTTACCTACAGCCGACGACCAAACGTTTTCCGTTTTTGTTTCAAAAGTGCAGATTTTGCTGTTTATTTATAGGCCGTTAGCCTAAAAATCATAAGTTGCAGCCGCCCGTTCAGGCTCCCTGTTAGAAATTTTGGTCGCCTGAGGGTAAATCGTAGGCGCCTCTGGCAACCGGGCGCCTGTTAGGCGGCAGCCTTGTATGAAATCCTCTATTTTCCTATGAAAGTAGCTGGTAATCGTGTTTATAATAGCTGCCCAGGGGAAATACCTTAATGAAAGCCCTGTTTTTCTTTTTCATAGGGAAACTATTTGAAACCAGATGTATCAGTATATTGCAGTAACAACATGTTAATAATAATAAAAATAATAATATACACATATATAGCGCCTTTCTCTTAGTGATCCAAAGCGCTTTATAATCAGTAAATACTTAGAAAACAAATGATTCAAATACAACATAGCAGGATTTAAAACCCCAACTGGCAGGAGGCAACCAGTTGGCTATTTACTAGCATGGCCGAGGATTTGAACTTGGGACGACTGAGTACAAATCCAGCAAGTGGCCAGAGCGGGACTCAAACCCGGGACCGCCGAATTGTAAGTCTGACGCGCTGACCACTTGGCCACGCTGCCTCCCTAACAAGACTGTAGCAAAATGACTGATGTCTGCAGTGCTTAGGTACCCTAATCCACTGCACCCAAATATGGAATTATTATTCACACAGTGTTCAAATGCTTTGAAGTATGCCCTGAATTGATATACATAGTACAAAAGTTGTACAGATTATGGCTAGGGTACGCCCATCCACACACCTTTTTATAAGAGCAGCAATGTGAAAAATAAACAAAGCATCATTTACATTTTATTCCGGTTGACATATTATTAGCATTACATTTTCAGTGAACCCGGGTGTGTATTTTAATTGATTTAGTACTCACCAACTCAATTTTCCTGGCTAAATCAAGCTTTCTCTGGTTGTCCTCTTTTTGTTTGTATTCATCAACGACTCGAACATTCGTGTGCTAAAAAAAGAACAAACCGAGAATTTCTCAACAGCTGGAATCATCCAGACAAAGGAGAGTTGACAACAAATTCTATTTAGGTTTCAAATTACAGCTGCCTAAAATATGTTTGCCCATTATATCCTCGATTCTTATACCGAAGAATAGTTAAGGGCCTTCCTTTTTTCAGAAATGAAGGAATCTATATAAGGCAGAAAAAAATATATAAATCACAGTGTTAAAGGAAAACGAAAGTTTTTGAAGGAAGCGATTTTTATCTGTCCGTCGATCAAGAAGCCAATGCAAATTATTACGAGAACATGTTGTTTTGAATTTGGCGACGATAAATGAATATGATCGTATTTTTTTGCATTTACATGGATAATACTTCCGTTTGAAGTTCGTTGTCCGGTTACTGACCTCGACAAAACTTTGATAATAAATGTTACATATTTTGTCTGCGAAATATAAACAAATACTCGTGGCTGTTGTTTGAAATGGAGTAAAATTAAAGAAATACTGGAAAAGTTAGCAGTTGACTAATTACGTAAGTCGACAGTAAAAATGCGTCTGAAAAATAAACGAACGAAGATTAATAGGAAAATTATAGTAAAGTCAGTCGATATAAGTTTAATCAAATAAGCAATTTTTGGCATTAACCAATATGAACGTTCGGTTGGGCGGCATGTAATCAAGTTGGACGTCAAAACGGACAACGAAAAGATTTTTACGAGATTATCAGTAATGGAAAATGTTTCTGCCACGACAATACCTGGATTTGTTGTGTAACTGTTTTTCGCTTCTTAGCATGAGATTGTTGGTCCCGTTCACGGTCTTTCGGTTTACGACTTGAGCGCTTGTCGACAACATCTTTCACGTTAACCTGCGACCACAAATTCAACTTTAATAATAATAATACATCTGAATACAAAATCTGTCAGTGGATAAGTGCTACAAGACGCCCGCTTTAACGATGAAGAGAGTTGAAAAGACGGAAGACAGACTAACCTCAGACGAGAAAAGAGACGCACTAAAGGCAAGAATGTAGGGCATTTAGGATTACCTGATTGGAATTGTCCGACTTGTTAGCCCGTTTTGTAAGATGTGTTGCTGTTAAACTGATGACGATAGCGGAAAATATAACGCTTTCAACAGACTGTGGAAAAAAGTATAGGGTATAAGGAACATCACAAATTATCGCTTGGGATAAAATAGTTCTCAGAGACGCGACCACAGCTATGTTGAGCCAAAAATAACGTGTTACAAGGAGTCAAGAACAAGAATCTACCTACCTGCGTTATCAAGGGAACCACCACACATCCAACAACCGACCCAAACACACAGAAGACCGAGTACTGGTCAAAAAATCCTCCTCCGACCGCCATACTGGCGTTTCAACGCTGTGGATAGTTCAAATCACGTTCTCAAATAAACAGGTAAACATTCATACGTACGTATTTGAAATTCGATCGAAGATGTGATCAAAAGAACGTCCGATCACTCGACCGAAAACATTTCAACATTCGTTGCTACGAACCTCGAATATTCGCTCCCAATCGGCTTTCAAGCTTATCAAGAGGTTACTTATCACTTTTGGTAAAAAAAATACTGACATAAAGTTGATTTACTGTAAAATAACCGACGCCACTTCCGTGATTCGCTTTCTCATTTCCAGAGCCAAACATGTAAGATGAAAGTGAAGCACAGTGGACGCAGAAATCGTTTGTGACGTCACATCAGGTGACGAAGGCAGAGTTGGCGCAAAAAGATCACCAATTAATTTTCGCGCCAGTCCCTAGCCAACCATTCTTTTTGGAAGAAAAATACGATGATTTGTTGAAAATGCGAAACGCAGCACCTAAACTTTGAAAATATGCTAAAAAAAACATGCTCAGCCAGTAACTTATTCTAAGCATAAAATAATAAAATCCATCTAATTTTCAGGTCCCAGATACTCTTGTGCTAGTTAGGGCAAGCTGAAACAAACAAAGGTACCAACTTCAAACACACCTTTTTCATAAAGAAATGTAACTCCATCAGATGTAAAACCTTCCCCTTCATTAAAGACGGTGTAACATCATGTACATCCAAAAACACTGGCCAAACTTACCTCATCCCTGAAGCAGACGATCCGAATGTGCCTATAAAAATCTCGTTCACATGATATAATTTGGTAAAAGTAAAAGCACCCCAAACACACCAGCGGAATACTTCGGACCAAGAGCCATAATTATGACTCTTGTTCGGACAGACTAAACGAGCTTTAAGAGACAGATTTGGAGAACACCGCAGAGCGATACAAAACAATACTGACGACGCAGTACCCCCAGTACCATACCCCATTTTAATTAACCCGGACACCAACTTAGGCCCGGTTCAGACGCCGCTCCACTCATGTGCCCAACATAACTGATGAATTAAGTAGGGCAAAAGAGCGGCGTCTGAATCAATTTGGTACGGCAGTTTTAGTTTGGTGCGGCAAAAGCGTTAAGTTCGACAGTGTCTGTCGAACTTCTGTCGAACTTAACTTAGGCTCGACACTCGGTACGGCGTCTGAATCAGATGTCGGGCCAGTGTCGCTCCAAAGTGGAACTTATTCAATTAGGTTCGGCACATGAAAAGTACGGCGTCTGAACCAGGCCTTAGTCATCGAACTTATTCTACTCTCCGGCGAACTTATCAACATCAAAAGAGAATCCATACAGTATGTTGCCCAGTATCCGGACGGTACCAGTATCCGGACACTTGAAACAAAAACTCAGTTTTTGGGGCGCCCTTTTCAGTTCTCGGTAAACGAAGTATTTCGAATGAAAGCTGAACATTTCAGCTTTAAGATGAAAGTTTTGGCGATTTGAAAGCTTGCGAAACAGTCGCAGAAGACGCCGTTCTGTTCAGGTGAGTAAACTTTTCATGGCTAATATTTACGCTGTTTACTGCGCAGTAAAATTAGTGCTGCTCAGAAAAGGGAGGTTAATGTATGATATTTTCAAAGAAACTGTTTTATTTTTAAAGTGAAGATTCTTAAGGAAGTCAGGTTTTCAGAAAGTTTATTAATTCTTCTTGAAATTCGATTTGTTTGGAATAACGGAGGCCAGAAACATTCACTACAGTTTTGCTTTCATGTGCCCAGTATCCGGACAGTTTTTTCTTTGCCGTACAGAATCGATGAATTAGCTGTGTACATTATCCGGTTAAGATTTATTTCATATCAGTAACTATAAGTAAAGCTTAGGATATATGATATATTCGTAAAATGTAATTCTACTCATCTCCGTATGGAAATTTTCTTCACTCATTCACAGGCTACTTGGGCTACTTGATTTCGTGTGTACGGCTTGTTTCGCTTGACTGCATTTTCTATGTATAACTGAAAGCGTCTGAGTTGAACCTGGAATTCTCGTACTTTCCCCACTTGTGACTGCTAGACTGGGGTTGCAACGGTCTGAAAAATGTCACAAAGGGATTAAGAGATGTGAAAGAAGGAGGAATTAGTGCTAGAAAAGCAGGCTTATTGTGGGGACGGAGCATGAAGATCAACACTGCAGGTCAGACTAAATAGGAGAGTGACCTTTGACCGTCGGATTGAGGTCCCTTCCCCAAGCTTTTTTTTTTAATAAAAAATGAGGAAAGAAAGTAGTTTGCAGATTGGCTAATTGAGCTTGCAAACTGCCGCTTCGGCATGTCCACGGATGCCTTCCTTAAATCAGTGAAAAACTTCCTAGACAAGGAAGTAAGAATCACACCATTTTTAAAACAGCCGCTCGCGTTCCCCACCATAGCCCAGTCATTTGTTATGTTTTATTTCACGATGCTAGGTTATATTTTTGGAATCGATTGCCAGACTACTTTGCAATTGCAAGAGCCTGAGCTTATAAGTCGCTTGCCTGTCGAAATTTATGTACAATGACGTTGTTATTGTTGTGTCCGGATATTGGGCCAGCTGTCCGGATACTGGGCAACATAGGAGCTCTGCAAAAATATTAATTTCGCGTTGGAAACAAAGGCGACAAAGTTAAACTGTCTTTCGTCATATTAAGGACTAGATACATTTTCTCCGGGCCAAATTTCAGAGCTCTTGAGATTAACAAAGGAAAGTTATTGCAATCTTAAACTGAAGTGTCCGGATACTGGGCAACATACTGTACGCAGAGCCCGCTAACGTTTTATATTGAAAAGGCACAACCATGCAGCCACAGATAAATCGCCACAGGGAATAAACAGAGAGGACGACCTTTAAACTATTTACAGTGTACTTATTAATTTCATTATTATTATATCATTTATTTCATTTTAGTTTATTTTATTATTATTATTATTATTATTCTAATTTTTAAAATTTTTTTCCCAGTTGCCAAATTATCTTATTTGTCTGAATCGGTTGTCATTATTGGCCCCCAGTTTGGTTTTTTAGCATCACCTTTGTATCAAATTTCCAACTGCTAATCGTCTATATTACTACTGAATTGTAACGACTTTCCCATCATTCATTAAATCCCCTGAAGAAGGATGGCTTGTCCGCAGAAATATCGGGAAACTTCAAGTCGCTTTTCTCTTTGTTGTTTTGTCACTAATGTCTATATTTTTGTCTTGGATAAAACAGCAGGATTTGGCTGTGGTCATTTGCACTTCAAGACACCGGGTCCGCGAACCCAACTTGGAAACATGTGTCGGAAAAACAAGCATTTTTCTTTCCACATTTAAATTCAGTTTTCCCAGTGGCTGCGGTATTCAATAAAGTTGTCACCGGGTCGGCGAAACCCAACTTGCAAAATTGTGTCGGAAACAGCAGAAAAACAAGAATTTTTCTTTTCAGATTTAAATTTTGTTTTCCCAGTGCCTGCAGCATTCAATAAGGCTATTAAAAGGCTACCATTTCTCATGGTACTGGGGCTGTACATTTTTTTCTAGTAAAATACCTGGCTGATAAAGATTGTGCTCCATAAAATCAATATTTTTTTTTTCCTTTTTTTTGCAACACCCGTTCAAATTTTCTTCATTCTTGTCTTTAAAACTGACGTCCCTACGCGTGGGGGATTTCCTAAGTGATTGTTATATCATAACCAGGGAATTTTGTTTTAAAGGACTGAACGTACGTTTTTAAAGGGAACCTCCACTTCAACGAAAAGATAACTTTAAATCACAGGAAATAACTGTTACAGTCAAGTCAATCTAAAATATTTTTAAAGAAAGCGTTTGTATCCGAAAGAAATAACTTTTAGATTCGCCTATTTTTGTTTTCAAATTTTGCGGGCGTCGCCATCTTGAATAATTGTGACGTGTAATGGTTGCCCTATTGTTATTAAACAAAAGCTCTTTGTGTCAGAACAATAGAGCAACCGTAACACGTCACAATTATTCAAGATGGCGGCGCCCGCGAAATTTGAAAGTGAAAATAAGCGATTTTAAAATTCACTTTTCCTGATATAAACACTTTTTTTAAGACAAATTTCGAACAAATTTGTTTATCAACGTAATTTTATTCGATTTAAACTTATTCTGTAGTAAGAGTGGAGGTTCCCTTTAAGTAAAATATTGCAGAGGAGAGACATCAAATGCTTTACAATGAGTTGGTACTTCAAATACGCAGACCACTAAGTTCCCGTGGGTCCGGACAAATTTTTGACCTGTGTAACTCGTTTACACGGAACCGTGCAAATACTGTTATAGATTGCAGTACTCGAAAACGTGCACGGTTCCGCGGGTCCCGCGTCCGTGTCCGTTCAGAAATTTGTCCGAACCGGTGTAAACAGGGTCTAACACGGTAAACCTTGATCGCAGTAGCTGATAAGGTGATACTCCGTAAAGAAATATCAAAGAGTCAAATGTTTTCAAAAAACACAAACGTTTCGGGTTTCTGACCCTTCTTCAGTGTGAGAAAAAAAACCGTTGCACTGTACTATGCAATATCATAGACATTATAAAAATGATCGAAGCACGCGCGCGCAGGATGTATATTCATTCGAGGTGTACAAACTGCAAATTACAGTAGTTGCCAAAAAATATATCTGCGTGTCGTAAATGTTCATCAGTAGAATGCATAAAAAGTGTGCAATTCCACAATTGGTTTCCGCTCCATTAAATCTCTATATAACTTCCCAATTCGAATGATACTGAAATTGATATTCAGTCCTTTCCGCTGAACGGTGCCTAGATGAAAAATCAACCGCATCTCACGTTGCTTTCGTTGAATGTTAGTACCACTGCATAATGCAACACCACGCACCTGGACATCAGAAATACTGTGGCCAGTGGAGTTGAAATGTTGGGCTACAGCAAACCCAGGAGTGTTGTTGCGTATACCCTAATCACAGGTTGAGTAAAATTCCAGCATAAAAACCCGCCGTAATAAGCAAACATAACGCCTCAAATGCAAGTCCCGTGGACATAAGCCTTTTCCATAATAACCAGTTTTATTTTCTATTACTATTTTACTTTACAGAATGAAAATTAAGAAATAAAATTCACTAGGAATAATGTTTAAGAAGAGGAGCAGAGATAACAATTTGCAAACAGTTAGGACACAACTTTTCAATCGTTTGGTTCTGATTCAGAGCAACAGAGGCCAAACTCTTGAACAGCTAGGTTTTAAAATATAAAAAATGACTATATTTCTCTTTCCTTTTAGTGTTTGCTACAAAAAATTGAAATTAAATATTGTTACTAATTCGATTCGTATTAGTAATAATTATAATAATAATAAGGATTACAGCAGCACCTTCTACACAAACATTCCCAGGCTCCAGTAATTTGAGTGAAAGTTTAAAAGAATCCCAGAAAAATCGTGAATAAGACCAGGAGAGATCGGGTAATATCATGTGTACGATCATCAACAGTATAAAAGACATAAAAGAATATTGAGAATAAATGAAAACTCTAAATAATAAATAAAAAGTCTGAAATTTGCACAAAAAATCAAAGGAGGAATAAAACATGCTAAGAGTATGCATCCTTCAAGATATTTATTATATACACTGGAAAGTATAGTAAATAAATTGTAAACCAATGTAGGCTTTACATTTCCAGAACTTTTACTTTACAGTAAATTGCAATAATTGCTAGGTTAATACATTACATTCTTGAGAAAGTTGTACAAACATAATCACAGCAAATAGAGTGTACGAATAAATTAAAAATGCCCATGTTCCATCTGACTGACTGTCCCAGCTCTTTCATCAGGTAAAAACAAAAATAAAACTGATCAATTGGCTAAAAACACCATGACACTAACCGACGTCATAAAACAAATCATTTAACGTCACGACATCTCCAGAATTTCAATCCCGAAATTAAAAAAATTTACCCACTTTGTGGAAAAATATTTTCACTCCTTTTCGCTTGTCACTCAAGTACACATCTCCTCTTATTTACAGGGCACCTCGTTCCCAGGATAGGGGAGATGTCCTGGTAACGAAATTGATTTGAAGGCATACTCCTCCTCCTATCTGTATCTGGGCCCAATCGGGTGACAGAGAGACGCAAAGCTTTTTGTTATTCTCATGGAGGTACTATTATACATCATATTACTATCGACAGAACCTGGCAGTATAAAGACTACATAGAAAGTGTCATATTTTCTTCCAAAAAATAAGGTCAACGTAACCATTTTCACTAAACACCGCAGTCTAATAAACTGACTTAATGAATTCACCGAAAAGAGTGTCGAGGTAGCCATGTCGGTTAAGTGGGAAAATGAGTTCTTTCAGGTCCTATTCCAACATTCATCTGTTCCTTTTATTATGCAGCAGATTCCTCAACAATAAAGCTTTTTTTGATTGATACCGCTGGATACATTTCTTGCAACCCTTCAACGATTTCAACTGTTAACTGCGAGCAGAAAGACACGTCAAGAAGTTTCAGATGCTTGCATTGTCTTAGCAGTCTGCAAAAACAAACAACAAAAATCTGGTAAATTTTGCAGACGATTGTTAGTTACCCTGTAGTTCCTCGTTTTCGCCTCGTCTGTGAACTAGCTCCTGTTCCCTCGCGAGAACTGAAGAATATGGTTTAGCCTTGGGTGAGACCCCGGGGGGAACTCCCATATAAAACAGACGGGGATGCTCGTGGGAAATTTTGAAGTTAACCCCTAAAGGAGACCATCTGGGCGTGGCTCAAGCTTTTTGTGACCCCTAAAGGAGACCAATCTGGGCGTGGCTTAAGCAAATTTTGACCCCTAAAAGAGACCGCTTAAAAACACACAAATACGACATGCAATGAGTTTTAATGATATAAAGCAGGAGCCTAACATAATCATCGAATCCTTTTATCTAATAGTAGTTTTTAAAAGCATTGTCATAAATCTCAAGTTCTTTGCGGAACCCTAAACGAGACCTTGGCGGCTTAAAATATTGGCGCTTTGCCCGGAACACCCTAAGCGAGACCAAAATCCAAAATTTACACCCCTAACCGAGACGACGAGCATCCCCCTCTGTTTCATATGGGAGTCCCCCGCCCCCGGGGATGAGACCAAAGCAATGAGTAGTGTGTTCTGAAAATTAAGTACTTGTACGTGGTGGTCTCACTTACGAGTCTGTGGATGAGTAACCATTCAAATGAAAGCAGCACTTCTTTCTTGTGGTACTGTTTATTACGCTGTACAATGTGATTTTAACTTTTGAGTCTATGGATGAAATCCTGAAGGGTAACTATCCAAATGAAAGCTACTGAGCAGCACTTTCCTTTGGTACTGAAAGTACTTTTCATGTCTTCCGTTAATTACGGTGTTCAAATGAATTTTTTTTTTCATGTAAACATAAAAATCGTTTAGTGTGACCAGTGAAATAAAAGCGGTTGATCAGTAACATATTGTGTGTAGTATTGCTTATTAGCTGTAAGTAAAATGACCAGGTCATAGCGAGCATTGATTTTACCTCATGATTGACTCAGCATGAATTAATCCGGTACCAAGAACGTCTACCTGCTCGATATCAGGACAGTTGTTTGCTAATGCATTTATAATATCATCATTGACAGACCTACAAGCCACAATAGTATTCATACCATCAGTCGTGAAATAACCTCCTCTTCTAGTCTGCCCTCCCATGCTAATTCCTGAATAATTGCTCACAGGAGAGGGGAGCACATTGCGAGTAAATAATAATAATGATAATAATAATAATAAAAATAATAACTTTAAGCAGTACATGAAGCGAATCGGCGTGAACGTGAGATGGGAAGTAATCAAGAAAACAGCATTGTTGGGGACAGCAAAGATACTAAGGAAAGTACTGTCCCTGTAAGAAGAAGGAAAAGAGAGACCTGGGAACCGAGGTGACCTGTTGCAACCCGCTCCCAAGGACTATAAACCAGGCCGAACATCCCGCCTGAGTCTACAAGGAATGGACATCATAATAATAATAATACTGGTAACAACAATAACAATCACAATAATCTACATATGTAAATCTTACATGGAATGAATAGAAATGAATAGTCTTTGTAGTTTATGGAACCCTGTGCTTAACTATTCTAATAGCATACAACACTATCTCTTGTAGGCCCTCTAACCAGTTCGGGAGTATGCCAGTTTTGGAAGAAGCGATGACGTCATGATTCCATTGTTCTGCTAAAAATACGCAAAAATGGGAAAAAATAATCGCCAAAAACAAGGGAGCTCTTTTCAAAGCCTGTTCCAGGTCCACTCGTTCAATATCCGGGACTTCCGAGCTAGCAGTGCTGATGAAGAAGCAGCATTTGTTTGGGGGGAGGTGGGAGGGGGTCATATCTAACTTTTTAAAAGTCTAGCATGCCTTACCTGAGAGCTGTGAGAAAAAGCTTCCTGAGTTTTTTGCATTTGGATGTCAAATAGACCACGCATTCAGGGGCAGAAGTTACATTTGTACTGCAAATATGCAGGATAAATATAAATAAATAAATAAATAACACAGAAGACCTAAACTTCCACTTTCCGCAAACAATTTTCCTCCCCCACCCCTCCCCCGACCAATGCCCTCTACATGTACAATCAACCAAGCAAATTTACTTAAACACTTAGCACCTTGGAGCACATATGATCTCAGTAAAAGATGTAAGTGCAGTTCAGAAGTTTAACTCACCACCAGCCAATATCAAGCTCTTCCAGTAAAGAGCAGCCATCAGCTAAACACCTAACTCCTTTGCCAGTCAGTCCTTTATTCCGCCACAAATCCAGCGATACCAGGCCTCTAAATACAGAAAAACAAATTAATGGAAAGTCAGTATTTGTGGACAATTTCTAAATTTATCATGACAAACAACAAACTATGCAGTCCTTATTTTATGTCAGTAGCTCGAAATAGTCATCTGACTAACAAACCTGAGGCTGATGGTGCGTTCACTTTACCTCCCCCCTTCTCTGTCAATGTTGCTTAACAGGGAAAGGAAAGTCCCAACAAGGATTTGAAATCACACCAGGGGATGGAACTTGAAACCTCTGGCACAGAGCGCGCTAACCAATTGTGCAAATCTTTGCCCCTCAAGGTTATTCTGGACGGTGATTATAATGATAATGATAATGATAAGGCATACAATGATGAGATAGTGATGATGATGATGATGGATATGACAGCCGTGATAAAGACAATAATAATGATAATGATGATGATACACAGGATGATGATGATGTTGAACCTGATGGTAGCAATGATAATAACGATGCTGATAATGAAAATGATAATGATGGTAGTAGTGATGCTTCAATGAGGTGATGACAAAGAAATAATTACAAATTGTAATAACGATTAGGATAGTGATAACAATGATAATGATGCTGACAGTGACAAGGATGATGATCATGATGTCGATGATGATGATGATGATGATGGTGTTGGTGTTGGTGATGATGATGATGGTGATTAAGATGAATCATAATGGTGATAGTATGGGTGATACATACAAGAAAAATGATGACACATTAAACAAAACACAAAAGTAATACGTGTTTTTTGCTTACCTACAGTGAATACTAAGTGATTGCATCAACAGGTCACATTCCATTATAACATCACAGCCACCAAGGTTGAGGTGCCGAAGGTTCTTTGCAGAACTAAAATGGAAACAAGTTGAAACTGGTTATAACATTTAAACAATAAAACATTCTCATGAAAAACTACAAAACGAAAACAGTAGATGACATGTGGGTTGAAAAAATGTGACCACCAGCTAGCCACTCTCCTCCCCTAATGAAAAAACACAACACGAATACACTAGAAGAGAGGCAACTGACCACAAGTTAAGAGCTTCAAAACTTGTGATTCTTCACTTAAATCCTAACTATTATGATAATATTTTGCTCTTATCATTTAACTGAGGGAGCCTATTCCTTATAAGCCTGTTGCTTCTCTTGGGCTTCCTCACCATGAGAGTATAAATAATTAAATTCCTTGCTTTTGTACAACTTATGGCAAAACAATAAACTGAAACTGAAACTGAAACTGAAGCTATTAACGTTATGCGACTCCAATAGCTGATCTGCCCTGAGACCTAAAGTAATGGTTTTTAGACAGGTAAGACCACTAAAGACAACAAGTTTCATCTTGTATATCCAGTACCGGCTGATGCACGAGACCTTACTGTAGTATGATGACTACTACATTGTACACACAGTTTGTACCTACTGAATTAGTTGTTCCACTACATCATCTCGGACCTTGACTCTATACAGATTTATTCTTTGTAATTTCTTCAAGTCTTGAAGCCTCAGCAAACCTTCTCTTGTCAGTGAGTTTGAATTGCAAGATTGAAGATCAAGTTCTAATAAAACAAAAAGGGGTGAGGCAACTAAGTATTAAGAGGTACAACAGCTAGGGTATTACATCTACACTGAGGACCAGGGCATCCCTGCAGTCCTCTATCTAAGATTAAAAAGCAGACTTCAATGGCTACTTAAATGAGTAAGGGATTGGGAATAAGAATGAGCAGGCGGTGAAATAAATTAATTTCCAAAACCAAGGTAATGTTTTATCAAGTACTTCCACGATGATATAATTAACAACTTTGGAACACATCTCTGGGAGAGTCGCTGAAGAAAATGTGTTCAAAAAATAATCACCGGTTGATTCACAGAGACGCACTCTTAAACACGTTTGTTTGTATGAAATTTTCTCGCTTTTTGGCAACTTCTATTTATATTACAACAATTAAGTCTCCATAAAAACTCCCCTAAACCTATACATGACAAATCATTTCTATATAAATAATATTATTATGGTTTTCAGTTAAAGAACCTGAGGCATTGAATTTCAACTCCAGGATCTAATTCATTAAATTAGATGGCCATAAAAAAAAAACAAACAAACAAACAAACAAGACAGTTATTCTTGACAGAACAAACCCAGTCCTCACTAATCTCTTCAAAACAACAATCAGCAAAGGTCTCAAATAATGGTGTGTACACAAAATGATGTGTGATCAACAGAAAAGGAGGCGTGTTTTTGATTCCTTGATATTGTGCGAGATGACAAACCTTCTAAGTTTGGACAATATTGGCCTAGATGTTTTATCACATCATTGTCCACGTATTGACAACAGCTCAGTCTCAGACAGACAAGGTTACTTCCACAGTTCTGTAGGAATCTGTTAAAATGATCAAATGATATTTTCTTTTGAATCTTGTATTCCGATAGGCCTTTTAGCAAGGGTCCTGTTATGTAAAAGAGCATCTTTTGCTGACTAGGCAACAACCAGCTCAAAGAGTCTCAGTATTTGAGGGCGAGGATGAGCCCAAGCTGACGCAAACTCATTACTGGGAAGTCATGAGGGAGACAGTCGTAGGTCACATGAATGGGTTGTCCATGCACCTCGCTACCCTTGAAGTTTGTGTGTGACCCTTCACTTCTGGCAATTCCCAAATGGATAGCTTGCTTACAGGCTATGCTGAGACCATTATTTTGTCTATCTCTTATTTTTACTCTCGCTGCAGTAAAATGTTGCGTCACGTTGACTCGCCCAAGCAAAGTCAGTCTACTTTTTCCTTTGTGGCACTAAACACAATCATCCTTCCATTTGTAGAGGAAATGACATGGCATAGTCTAAATAAATTTCTCTTGACATTCTCTTCAAAAATGCTCATCATCCAAGTTGCAATTTCATATTTGTCGTTGTTATCAAACTAACTCATCATTATGTGAGAAGTAAAAGACCTGGAAAGTTTACCTGATAATTGAGTCACTACTGATGGCCTCATAGGGATCTGACCATGACAAGTCAAGCTTCTCTGTTAATGAACAACGAGTGTGTAAAGAATCAAGGACTTCACTTGTTATCTGATACAAAGAACACAACATTTCAGTCACTGAGTGCAGGCCTACAAAACTATTACTCGCACTACTGATAAAACAAAAGTCAAAAGTTGAATGCAGAGGACACAGTATAAATACTAAAAGGGTTGAAGAATTCTAGTTTGTGATTTACCAGCAGATAAACACACTTGCTAGATTTAGAATGAGCTCAAAGTTACATTATACTGAATGTAGATAATTCTTGTTCAGTATAAGTATTTTTATAGAGTAGCCAGCTCCTGCATTATTTGCACGTAAATCACTGACATCACTCTCTTGTATCTTTCAATTAAACTCATCGCTAATGATGAGCTTGGGAGCAGGTGCCTTAAAGGTTAGTGGGGGGCCAAATGCAATAAGCAGAGAGGAGGTATTCATAGCAACCCTGGAAGCGAGAACCCTAGCAGCCACTAACCAGCACCATCAAACTGAATGAAATTTAGTGGAGATACTTAATTAAGAGAATACTTACCTGAGAAAATACTAATGAAAGCACCAAGCTGGGAGGGAAGAGAGGGAGCAAGAATCAGCAATGATTCATAAGAAGGCAAAAATTGATGTGCTACAATCAGCAAGAAAAGCTACAATGCAACACAACACTAGCAAAAGAGCACACAAGGAGCCCTGCAATTCCCTGAGGACCACCCCATAGGTCACGTACTGGAGTGGGAGAAGAACACTGGCCAACTCACTCGAGTTTAACTTTGCCTAAATGATATTTAGCCACATTAAAACTTGGAGAAAAACTTGTACATACCAGGCTCCAATAAGGCTTCAAATCCAGTTCCTTGTACCATACTTGGTCATAGCAATGTTGAAGAAACAACCTGTAGTATTAAACCACATGACAAAGTTACAAATAAAACAATGAAACATCCCAACTGTCACCATTGCAACAAAGAACAAGCAAGAAATTATCTTTAAAAATTAAAGCTGCTGATGTCACAAATACAAGGATTGTTTTTTTTTCGTGGGTAGTTTGAGGCTGCCATTTCAGGTGTTATGTTACCACTCCCTAACCCAGGACATACAAGACTTAAAGTAGGATAATATCATCCAAAACCACTGTAACACCAGCGTCAATTATTACAATTCAATATTTTACTGGATTTCCTGCAGGAAATACATGTTTCAACTAAATCAAGGACATGTTATAAAAACTGATGCTATTGGGTTGCAAAAGCTGAAAACTTTGTGGTGTTGTTTACCCCCAAAGAACTTTGCTTCTCTAAATGAAAATACACTGTATGTTACACTATGGTGACAAGGTGGTAAAACATTCTTACCTACAAGTGCCAGCAGCTCTAATGAGGTCTATTAACTCCAGAAAAGAGAAGATGTACTGTATCAACTCACTCTATTGATGATCAAAAGCATCAATATCAATGTAGTAGAAAATATAAATGACCAGGCCTCAGTTGTTCAAAGGCTGGATAGTAATAATATCCCTACCGGTAAACTATCAAAGAGTCCATTTTCCTTTAAGACATCATGCTCTTTAGTAAGAGAAAGCTGCCGACTTGGAAGACTCTTGGGTGTTTTTGGGGAGAGATGTAAAGCACTCATTAATCTTTCAAGGGAATCACCATGAACCTGGGTTCCATGCAAACAGACAGCATCAAGTTCAGTGTAGTAATTGAGGTGCTGTTGATTAAATTCCAAGCGTATCAAACTGAAACATATTAGAGACAACATTATCACATTTGTAAGGCAAGGTAAGCCACCGTTAATTATCTACTACACTAGATGGTGTAGTGGAACCAAACTACATGTAAATTTATACATTGCTGTTACAGAGTTATAACAACTGCTGCTACCACATTAAACATATGTCCATTTCTGTTAAATCAATAATTAATAAAACAAAACCTATCCATCCTACTCACTGATATCAGAGATGTCAGCTAATTACCTCGCACTCAGGCTCAAGTGCTGTCAAGCGAGACTAATATCAACTACTAACTGTATAGATAACCATGGACATATTATGTTGTTATATTCCTAGACTTTCAATCAACTAAACAGGGACTGACATTGGTTGATTCTTGGTCACGTGGCCTTAACTAAAATCAAATGTATCCCGATTGTTATACATTAAACAATGTACCCCGCTCAGGCTATACATTAAAGCATGTGATCAAAGCATGGTTGAAAGTGGCATGACAGAGGGTAAAAAAACACTCCCAGTTTTCTTTTCAGTGAATGAACACAACAACACAAACACGAAGCCTCAAGCTAAAAAGCAACGATTTTTAAAGTCATCCCAGAACAGAAACAGCAGCTAGTGGAGGGAAAAAATGCAGATAATATAAGTAAAGTACTTTTAAATCATTCATTCAGTGGTTTTGAGAATTAAATTTGTGTTGTCATAAGTACCGAGTCGACTGTTTTGGTTTGCTCTGGTTATTCTTTTGTTGCTGTTGACGTGAAAGTCTTAATATAACAAAACACTTTATGTCGGGTCTGAAGGGAAACCAGTTAAGTCCTGATGTTTCGGGAAAACAAAACTGTTTCCTTCGGAATCTGACATAATTTTTTAACTGTATGTTATTTTTACAAAGGAGAATGGGTCTGTCTTCATCAGACACCAACATCCCAGCCTGCAGGGACCTGGGAAATAATTATGGTCTCCTTCTATACACAACCACTTGTTGACACATGGCAGCTGAACTGTGGGCATTATTAATTATCATCACACCTCTGGGAGCCAGCTCTATTAATCTAATGAAGACCATGAGATACGGGTGAGAGTTAATTTAGCTCAAAAAAAAGGAGTTAAGGAACTGATTAAATAAGGATTATTAAAGATATTGAAGTGGAAGCAGCTAGTATAACATTTTCTGCTTTATTTTTCTCCACTTACTTGGTCGGATAGTTTGTTTTCTTTAAGGGTGGTGAAAATTTTCTTGCCTTTGGTGGACACTGTTGAGGTTTACCAGCCCAAAGAGTTACCCATCTGCAATTACAAAAAAAGAAACTGTATAACAGACAGCCATGAAAACCAATAATGTTTTATCTGCATTTTTAGAATAACTGATCGAGACACTCTCAATTGTTCTATAAAACGTATCAAAACTGCGTGACTCAAGATAAAAATACTGCAAAACGATTTTTGATGAAACAAGGTTGACATAAAGATAAAAATTACTCTATTTTAATATTAAATTAACTGAGGAGAATGTGCTGCCTTTGTTTCGAACTAGTCTTCTAAGATAAGGATGAAAAACCATAGGCCCTGTCTCACAGCTCTTCCACTATTCTTATGGGACAAACAAAACCACACTGCTGTTCGAAAAGAGTATGGGACATAAACTCTAGTAGTGTAATCAACCTCACAAAGGTGCATGTCTGTGTGTTTAGAGTGTACATGTGTATTACTGTAGCACGTCAATGTCAAATTTAAAGCTAACTTGCATGACCTTTAAGGGGTACACAGAAGAAAGGCAGGCAAACTTGAATTTCCTTTCTTTGAACCACAACATAACATTAATTCACTGGTACAAAACAAAGAAGATCATTGGAATATCAACCAGATAGCATTAATGTTACCTGCAATATACCAACCTTTGTTTGTTATTATATGTTTTGTCTTTCAGCAGGGCTAAAATGCGCACCACTGCACCAGGGTTGTAAGTTTCAAATATTTCAATCTTTGTGGGAAACACATAGTGTTTAAATTGAATATCTAAGAACAAAATTCAAGTCAAAAATTGAAGTTATCTTATTTTTCAATTTTATCATTTTTATAAGTAAGTAATACCAGAAGCACAATGTTTTATCAACTGAAAATATTTTGACTTTGAAGATTCAGTTGATAAAACATTGTACTTCTGGTATTCTCACTCTAGTCCTTCTATTGAGCACTCTGACAGCAGTTCTGCATCAGCTGAAATCAAGGATGTAAGTAGTACAATGTACTCTGTGAAAATTAAATCTCTGGTGAAAGAATGAGTTTTGAGTTTATGTACAAATGCAGACCAGGATAAACAGTGTAATTTTGTCATCTTTTTAAGATTCTTTGTTTTCTCTATAACTAATATGTTACTCACTTTGTTTCATCAGTGGTAAAATGTTAATGTCTTTGCTCATATAATATAACAATTCTGAGTAATATCAGGTAAGCCATATACATAAACCTGACTTAAAGTATTTTGGGAGTTGGTTAGTTTTCTTTTCTTACCAACAAAATCTTCACTAATAAAATTATTCTTCCTGCCGGTATTGCTAACAGGTGCTCTAGCTGATGGGACTTTGTGCCACCAAGGACCATAGGATCTCTGAAAAATTTTGAATGGATATTAGGATTAGAATAAAATACCAGTAGTTCAATCTACAACTGTACTATCAGTCACTCCTTAACCCATTCACCCCTGAGCCGCCCGTAACCGCCCGTGCGGATCCACGTCCCTTCTACCACTTGTGACGTCATCACGCTAACTTGTGCAGAGTGAAGAGATCTTTCAAACCATACCAGAATGAGCACAATTCAGTCAAGAACAGTGGAGAAAACGGCAAAAAACCATGTAATATTGACCTGAAAATTTCCATGAAAATCTTGTTCCAAACAAACCTAGTCATAATCTGGCTTCAAGGCTGTGTGATTAAATGGCTACAATGCTATACAGAAATGGGGTAAAAGTGACTACAAGACTACATGGCCAGCCAAAAGATCCACCAAAAACAAACAGCTTAGACTCAATGCACAGTATTATGAGCATACATATAATGACTCTTGGTTACTGTTAAATGGGTTATTCCAGAAAAAATCCACACCCCCCCGACGGATGGGGTCCTTTTTTAACCCCCCCTCTCACCTGGATTTCCTGAAGCACAAGACCCCCCCTCCCAACTGGATTTTCAAGGTGGAAGACCCCCCCTCCCGCCTGGATTTCCGGGAAAAAATAAAAGGCTTAAATTTAATTTATTTTTAATGGAAAATACACGCAAACACGTCTAAATGTTTTTGTTTTAATTTCTAAAGCTTCAGCTTATATTAAACTAAGAATTCTATCGCGTGGAACTAAAAACGAAAGGAGCAAAAAACAAAAATGCGAACGACACCTGAACGAGTGTTTACATAATTTCTTAGCTTATAAAAATCAGTGACCTTTTTCTTTCTTTGCACTAAATATGAATATCCATTCCTTTACGAGACATAAGGCAGCCGGCAGCATGCGTGTCAGTCTCGTCCACTGAAGATCGAGATTTTGTAACTGTTGTAAATCAACGAAATCTTTCAAAGAACGAATGTCTACATTTGTTAATCGTTACAATTATTTTCTAACTTAAAGAATGGATGACTTCATTTGCACATCCTACCTTCAAGATCTGTGGTTCTACTGTGCACTGGAAGGGAAGTTCAAATTTGCATTATAAACAGCTTTCTTAGTCCGCCATAGTTACAAAGGTCGTTTCGCTTTCGTTTAAATCGGAGAGGCAACAGTCATGCTGAAGAGAATGCAGCCAAGACAAAAGCACTTGAAATAGCTCCCATTCACGAAATGAAATTTTAACATGTTCATCCAACGAATTATTTTAAAACCGGATTAAATATTTGAAAAAGAGGCAAACTAAGCTGATAATTTAAAAAGTAAACCTTAAAAAATACAAAGTGCGAATGCGTGAACGTGAATCAGTTGTTTTTTTTATTTTTATTTACACCAAACAACCGAGATTTCAAAGTTATACACTGTGGCGCGCAGGCTCTGGGTACGAGTAGAAATGTGTCAGGCGTTTCACGCTCTTCGCGCGCGGGCTCTGGGTACGAGTAGAAATGTGTCAGGCGTTTGACGCTCTTCGTGACAACAACGTTGCGACGAGTTCCTTCAGGCCCGTTCTTTAGTATCTTGTTCGCGTTTTCTGCTATAAAAGGACCTGTAAAGCAACTTAGATTATCATTTATGTCAGGTGAGAAATATATGAACAAAACATTTTGACTATTTTCAGGGTCTGAAAGCGCTTAAGTGTCATCGAACTAAATGTTTGATTTGTATCAACTATCGGTCGAAATGACCCCTGCAGAAGACTTTTTTAAGGTCAACCCCCCCCTCCCGCCTGGATTTCCGGAGTCTTCGACCCCCCCTACCGCCAGAATTTCCAGAATCCCATCCGTCGGGGGGGGTGTGGATTTTTTCTGGAACAACCCAATAAGGCACAAGAAAAGAAAACATATAGAACCAAAAGAACCTCCTCTCAGCTAGCCTCCCACGAACATGGGCGAGGAATGTGTGATGAATCCCTAAGAACGTCTGTGTGGGAGGGTACCTTTCTGCCTGTAAGTGCATATACATGGCAACTTGTGACAGTAGTGACAGCACTGCATTTTAACCTGAAATTAGTTTTGACTGCGTAGCCATAAGCCACTTCCCATATGTCTATTTCTTGTTCTTAAAAAGTGAAATAGGAATACCAAAAATGACCCAATAAGCCTCACTTCCAAATAAACCCGTCTTATCTAATAAATGACCCCTTTTCACGGCAAAATCATTCAATTCTTTCAGTCTCTTGCTTGATCATCAAGGCTTTGTGTATTTCATCTTGCTCAATGTCAAGTTCAAAGTAAGGATAGAGTAACCATGGCAACCCTAAGCAAGGATTCTGACATTGAAATCGAAGTTTGAAAGAGTGATGTGGATCTCTAGACTGACCACCTTATTATAGGAAATTAACAAAGCAAGTTGACAATGCCAAGAAAACTTACGTTACAAAAAATTAACGCGAATTTTCCAAAAGTTAGATTTACATACATCACATTAACGCAAAATTTTGAAAACAATGTGTAGCTAACTTTATTTTACGAGAATTTTTGGCAATACAAACTTCTCAATATAAAGGTGACCATACAGTGGGAGGATGGACAGGTCATGGAAATTTTAAGAACAAAGACTGAAGAAGTTAGCTATCGCCTCAGGAAAACAGATCAATACGAAGACCAGTCGAAAGACATTTTGAATTCAATTCTTAATGAAGAACTGGCAGATAGTGACTCCGAGGCGTTAATAGAGGAAGTATGAGCAGACAAGGTTTTGTTATTGAAATAAAGGTGTTATAAAACAACAATGATGTAAAATAGTCTGAATTAAATTAACATTGATGTAAATTAAGATGCACTTAATCACGTTAATAAAGTGCATCTTTAATTTCCTAAAATAAGGTAGACATATATTGATAGAGTGGATATTCAGCCTTTTTCAAAACTCTCTTGATATTTTTGGGGAAAGCATATCAGTTTTGTTGAGCTTGTTACCATTATGAGAATAAACGCCTCTCTCTTTTAAACACCTCATATCCATTAAACACCCCCTCTTGGACCTCTAAAATTAATAGACACCCTGGACATTTATTAAGTCATTTACGGTAGGCTTGGAAGATAACTGTTTAGCCAAGTAGCTAGCTTTTTATAGGCAACAGATTTAAAGCATCATGCACAGTGCATTTTGTCCAAGCATGAAGGTTTGAATCAAAACCAGATCAAAGCTTCACACTCACTCCATGATCCCAAGGCTAGGATACTTTAGTTGAGTAGAATGGTAGAATTGGTCATAGAACCTCAGTATGTACCAGGTAGATGACAAGTTGAAAGTCAACAGAAACCCACAACTTAACTTTAAAACTAAAACTTTATGTACCTACAGGCTCTCAACTTTTCTATAACCATCCCAGACTGGAAAAAAGCTTTGCCCTTTGATTACAAGTAACGTGTGTCCCACTCGTGGGACAAAAAAACAGCCGGCTGGAGAGACTAAGACGCAGTTGGGCTAGAAAAGCAACACGATTACATCATTCAAAAAGCTTATTTCCTTTTTTTTCAAGATACCACTGCGTCACTTGCACTCTAGCGAGGTGTTTTTGTACGGTTGTTAAGCTGCAATATGAGATATAAGCTTAAAAGCTTACCCACCAGGACAAACGCTTGAGTGAAATCACCGTAACTTGGGTAATTGTACTTGTCTCCAACCAGATTCGATGCTGCATAACTTTGCGAAGCTCCGTACTGACTCGAAAAGCAAAGAACATTATTTACTACTTGTTTTTTCAGCCCTTCTTGTTTAAAATTTCCCAACACAGGTGTAAACGCCATTGACTCCACTAGGCGAGGCGAGGTTACTTCAAATAAAGACCTGGTTACCCAGTTGTCTGGTCCAGTATTCAGTATTTTCCGGTTGTAAGATATTTACGCATGGGAGACACCGATTTTGGCGTGAATTCGTAGTTTGTATTCATTTGATAAACAGCCCTGTTAGGTTACACCCTAATAGCGATAATACGAGTATATTTTGGAGGATGTCTACTTCCTGAGGAATTTTGCAGTGGGCTAAGATTTTCTTCCCATTCAGAACTGAAATCATTCAGCAAACAATCTTGAGTATCTACGTTCCTACGTGGCATTTAAAAACCGGTACTGTTTAAACAATTCTATAAATCGCTCATCAGCATGTCCTCGAAAAGGATTTTCAACATCATAGTGATCACTTCAACATTTTGGTTTTCTGTAACTATACTAGTTTTGATGTTCAATAGTGAAGTTACGCGGGAATCCTTAACAATGTTGAACGCTCCGATCGTTTTGGATAAAAGCGACCATCATTACATGACTGGTGCAGGAGTGCAACCTTTACGGCCCGTTGAAAAGCACATTAAATATCCATGGGAAAAAGATCCTTCTGAAAAGCCTTCAACAAGGGACGGTATTTTGTCTAATGCTGCTAAGGTTTTGGGCGGTGTGATTTCATCGAACTCTGAGGGTTCTAGAAAAAGGACAGTTTACGATGCAAGTTTAGCTAAACGCACCAACCCAGGCGGTTTAGGAGAAAATGGACAACCAGCCTTTTTGACCGACGAAAAAGATAAAAAGCTTTCTGAACAGCGTTTCGGAGATCACTCTTTCAACTGGGTCCTTAGTGATAAGATATCATTGGACAGGACTTTGCAAGATATGCGGAGTGATGGGTGAGTGTTCTGGCTAAATTATCTACCTGTAGTTTTTAAATTTTTAAATGCTCTTGAAAATAATGGCTGGTGAATGTCATCTTGATGATTTTCTGTTTTCTTAACAGAAAATTGTTGGTATCACTGGATCAGTGGCACATTGCATTAAATCAGATATTTTCATCCACCTACAGTAATCTCTTTTTGTATTAATCCTCTTGTTAATAGCGTTTTAGTGGAGACTAGACACTTAACAGATAAAATGAAGAGCTATTCATGTAATTTTTTTCTTTCCAATGTTATTTAGGATTTGCCATCTACAGTTCTTCTAAAATTCCATACATGTTGATGCTTTTGATTCTTTGTAGAAAATAAAACCACCTTGTTAATTATTTATTTTTGTAAAATCCAACTGGTGGTCTATCATTGATTGGTTGAGCTACTACTAGGCTATATGTTATAGCCCCCTAGTAGCAAAAAGTGTGGGCTTTTTGGCGGCAAAAAAGGATTAAAGTGTAGCTTTGACTAGCTAAAAGTTTTTTATTCTCGATATTTTTGACCAACTAGTTGGATTTCATTAAAACGATAATTATTCCTCTCGCCCTCATGGCCTCTGAGTCAATAGTTATTATTATTATTGTTGTTATCATTATTATTATTATTATCCATTTAGCTCAGGGCTTTGGCTGTTCTCATGCTGACTTATATCCTAAGGGAGCAATTCAGAACAAATGACCAAGGGTCCTATGGGAAATAACAAATATCAATGATATTATTAATACTATTATTATAATTAGAAATTTTTGGATGTAGAATTATGAAGTATCTTTTATCCAAGCACTCTGTATTGTTGTCCATAAATCAGACCACATTACACAGTTAAACAGAAGAGGTTTAATCAGCTGTTTGGCATATGGAAATGAACCTGCTAGTGTTGTTGTTTTTTTTTTCAGTTCAACTTTAAATTGAGCATAATAAAGAAATTTAAACAAAACTCAATCTGTCTTACAGTTGTAAAGCCAAATTTAACAGTTACCCAGCCAAGCTTCCAACCACTACTGTCATAATCTGCTTTCATAAAGAGCGGCTGTCTGTCCTCCTGCGCACTGTTCATAGTGTTATTAACAGGACACCTCCTGACCTGTTAAGTGGAGTTATTATTGTGGATGACTTCAGTGAAGATGGTGAGTAAAACAAAATAATTTAGAATTAAAAAGGAAAACTCATTTACTGTCACAAACAATAAATATTTCTTTAGAGTATTATTTTCATACAGTTTTCTGAAAGGCCAGGTGTTTTATTGTCAGGGGTGATTACTTTTTGCATTAGGGTTTTTTGCCTGAGTTAATGTTCTTTTGTTTTGCAGCACTTAAAATCCATTTTCGCTTTTTAATTTCAAGCTTACAGTTGTCATGGTCTGCTAGCAAAACTATAAAAAATAGTAACAGTAAATGATTAAATACTTTGAGGCTGCATGTTTGATGTATGTTAAAGCACCGCTAATTCATTATTACTATTTGAAGCTATGGTACTTCACCAGATTAAGAAGCAAGCTTTAATGCTACATACATAGTCATGAAAATGAATGACTTCTCACTATAATTCTCACTATCAATAATCAGGTGAATTGTTGATCTTTTCCTATAGAAAGACTTGGCAAACCTTTAGACGATCATGTGGCCACCATGAGTAAAGTGACAGTAATAAGGAACACTAAGCGCGAGGGGCTTGTACGTGCACGCCTAAAGGGAGCTAGAGCTGCTAAGGGTGATGTCCTTACATTCCTGGACTCTCACTGTGAGGCAACACCAGGTTGGGTAGAGCCTTTGTTGGCACGTATAGCTGAATCACGCTCCAATGTCGTGTGTCCAGCAATTGAAGTGCTGAATGCTGATACATTTGCGTATCAGGGATCTGCTAATGCTGATCAACGAGGAGGATTTGGATGGGATCTGTTCTTCAAGTGGAAGGGAATTCCCCCAGAGGAGCAGAAGCTCAGAAAGGATCATACTGATCCCATCAGGTTGGACCTTGTTTTGGAGTCAACTTTCTTTTTTTTTTTCAGTCAGTGGCCGCTAGGTTGTGTGAGCTTCCATGCCATAGTCTTGGAGAATAAAAATCCATCTTGCCGACTCATCTTTTTGTGGTTGGTCAGTAATACAATTAATGGTTAGAACAAAAAGCCACATGGACAACCACAGCGATAGTGGCATAGAGCACATTCCCTAATTTATAATACTGCATTTATAATACTGCAATCTAATCAGGTGTTAGTTGGTTGACCACGACTCAACTCTGCCTTAACATTTTTCTCATAAGGACTTTCTCTATATAGCTTTAATGTTTGTTAAAACAATGTTTTATTATTTGATGAGATCGTCAAACCCTCCAATATATCACTTTTTAGTAAAATCCAACTAGTGGTCTATTATCAATGCTGCGTTCTGATTGGCTGAGCTACTACTGGGCTATACGTTATAGCCCACTACTAGCGAAAAGAGCCGGCTTTGAAAAACAAAACAGTGGTGGCTGAATCGCGTTTTGCTAGCTAAAGTTGTTTTGTGTCGATATTTTTGACCAACTTGGTGGATTTTACTAAAACATGGGATGTTGACTCAGAGCCCATTCAGGCTCGAGGAATAAATGCGAAGTATTTGTTAATTGCAGGACGCCTACCATGGCTGGAGGGTTATTTTCAATTCATAAACAGTATTTCTTTGACACTGGCTCCTACGATGAGGAGATGGATATTTGGGGTGGAGAAAATCTTGAGCTTTCCTTTAGGGTAAGGTGCTGTTATGATCACGCTAGTTTGTTGCTTGTTTTTAGCGTTCAAATCAAAATATAGGGATAGAGCATGCAAACCACCGCAATTCACTTATGTCTTAAATCAAAGCAAGTTAAGACTAGAGGAAACCAAGGTTTACTAACAACATAAAACCTTAATTTTGTAAATATCCAATAGCCCACATTAGATATATTAAAATTCTAACATGACTTTGAGGCTTTAGGGTCAAAATTGCAAATTATTCACGACTCCATTGTCTTGCAATTCCCAGAAGAGAATTGAGCACAAAGATAACCAAACCAAATATAGTAAAATGATCTTAAAGACTCGGAGTCATGTTAGAATTTATATATATCGAACGTGGGCTATTTAGAGCACTCTCAGATCTACGTTTGTTTTGAAGAGTGTCCTGCAGGCATGCCCGCGGACCACCGAAGCTGTCCCGAAGATGATGATTTGTTCATTATTACGTATCGTGTTTAGGTCTGGATGTGCGGTGGGCGCCTGGAAATCGTACCATGCTCGCGTGTTGGTCACGTGTTCCGAAAGTACACCAGTCCTTATAAGTTCCCGGATGGAGTAGAGAAAACGTTGAACAAGAACTTTAATCGTTTAGCGGAAGTATGGATGGATGAATACAAGGAGCTGTACTATAACAAGAAACCTCAGGCACGAAACATGGATTATGGAGACATCAGCGAACGAGTGGCACTCAGGAAAAAACTGGGCTGCAAAAGCTTCAAGTGGTACATAGAAAACGTGTATCCTGATGTTCAGATGCCCGAGCTGAACCCACCCGCAAGTGGAGAGGTAAGATTACTTACAGACTATCCCTGGGGGGGGGGAGAATGGGGGCTACTTTACAAAGCTTCACCCGGGGAGGCTCCGCCCTAAGATCCAAGCCCTTTCCCTTTTATATACCATTTTTGGTAGAAAAGGTACCCCTTTCGTCTACCTTCTACTTCTTGTGACAAAATTAATGGTACTACCCCTTTCACATTCCAAGTTTAGAAAACTGCATGGCGGACTGCACTTTTTGTTTCTTCCCCAACGGACCCCCCGACCTGGAAAGTCGTAGTATGCCACGTTAGATGTTCGTCTAACAGTTTTTTGTTAGATAAGTTTTTTGTTTTCTCCAGAGACATTCAGCTACTCTTTGTCTTTTGTGCTTGTTTATTGAATCATTAAAATGTTAGCTGCGTTGTATAACGACGTCCGTGAGTTCTTTCCAGAACGAACAGAAGTAATGTTTTGAAACAAAGACGCCTAAATTGCATCACTGTGAGATCATAGCGCAAGTTCCAGTCACTGCAAAAAGCAACTGAGCTAAAATTAGGACAAAAAAATTCTTTGAGATAATTACGTGCTTTTTTAACTAGCAACGGGTTTGTAACAAGTTTGGCAGAAGCAACACGTGGTTATTAGGATTTCCTTGAATGGTCCATATACTTGTAGGAGACTCATTTCCTGTCTTTCATATGTGCTCGCAGGTTCGTAATCCTGCCAGCGGTTACTGTCTGGATTCCCTTGGTGCCAAACCTGAACATTCAGCTCGTATGGGAGTTTATATCTGCCACGGACAAGGTGGAAATCAGGTGGGTATTGATTAACCAATCATAGAGTTTGATGTCACACATGTGACCTGAAACCAATTAGATTAGCTCCACTCAAGAACAGAGCTGCACGTTCAGTTCCGCATGCTTTTGCTGATGTAATTTGCTGTTAGAAAGCGGCGAGAACAACGACGACGTCATAACACAGAGTTTTGTAAATAAATTAGTACATATGATTGTCTGTTCGACTGTCTTTCTTTCTTTTACTATGCAAACTGGAGCGCCGTACTTAAACCTTTTTCGTACTTTGATTACTTGAAAAAAAGGGTGCATGGAAGGAGCGAATGGTAGTGAGTCTGTCATCTTTCTTGATGTGCTGGATATTAAAGGTCGCTATTGAGTGAACTAGTAACAGGCCAGACGTCAACTTTTAAAGATCGTATAATTACTTTTGCGACTGAGCCAGCGTAAAATGTAAATAATAACGCTGGATTGTGCATTTATTAAAGATGCTGATACTGTCGTCAAAAGGCGAGATAATATTCGAAGAGGAAAACTGTTTGGATGTGTCAAAGTCGTATGCAGGTGCACCAGTAGAAATACTCAAATGTCATGGAATGGGAGGAAATCAAAAGTGGGAACACAGCAAAGCATCGGTAAGTCAGTTGTACAGCAGTTTGTAGGTGTAGCGGAATATTCCTTAAAACCCCAGCTTAAAGGAATAACAGTTTTTTTTAATTTTTTTCCGCCTCTGGTGCTGTTACAGCAGCGACTATTCCTCAGATTTTAGGTTGCACGTCTGAAACTATCGCTCGTATTCCAGCCCCTCTCTGTATACGCCGTGTTGCCCACAACTGATCACTACTTTGCGAAGACTGCTTATTAATGTCAGGGACAAAGACAGAACGGAAGACAGACAGGGAGCAGTATACAATATCAAATACTGCGACTGCCAGGCCACTTACAATGGTAAAACGGGCAGAAACTTTAGCACGAGCTACAAGAAATGATGATGTCATCAATACCATTTACAGTCAGACAAAGCATCCCATCGATAGGGTCCGGCTCTGCTGAATGTATTACGTATTCTACAAGCTTTTCCCGACGACTTACTGTAATGTCTAACATGACTGGTTCTTGCATTTATAGGGTATTATCAAACATTCAAGCACAGGTCAGTGTTTAGACCGAGGACAAGCTGGTGGACAGTACGCTGTGATGAACCCTTGCGATGGTCGAGATTCCCAAAAATGGCTGTTTTCTAAGTACAAGGACTCATGAAAGTTGTCTCATGACACCTGTCAGAGACACATCCCTTTAGTCATAAATTAAAAATTGATGTAAGCAACGACAGTCAGTTGGCATCCGCCACTTAACCGAATTCTCATGAAATAATCCGATAGTTGACTTTTTCAATACACAGGACACTTTATGTCCGCTTATTTAAGGTTTGGATGTATGCCACTAAGTCTACCGAGCCACAGCCAATTCTCACGCAAACATTTTTATGATAACAGTTCTTAACCCACGCGCTGTCTCTTTTGTATTGTAATTTAGAGAACGAGTAGCTATGGTCCACATCAAAACGTTCCATGAAACGTGGCTGTCGCGAGAGCGCCGGCGTGAATTAAAATAACGTGTGAAAGTCCGCGAGACAGGCAGATTGGCTTTTTTACTTTTCGCTATATTATAGAGAAGAACTGAAAAGCTATGCTGGTAGTTTTGTATACCATAGTTTTTATACTTGAAATTTGCAACCGAGACATTCATGTTAGTTTGTAGAAATTGATTTACAACGAGAAGTCTAGACCGTTTATTAAAAGTTTCGAAATCTCAGAAAAAATTTCCCATTTGTTATGACCGAAGTGTTTACCGGTTTCTTCGAATGTCACAACGCCCAACTCAGCTAGAAACGCCTTTTTCGTATAATATGGTATGTTATTTTTAGAAAATGTTAAAAAAATATATGATGCGATTGTATAATTACAAAAAATTACAATTCAGTTTTATAATTTCATTATTATAACTGCTTCTAATGAATCTAGAAATTTTAGAATTAACCATCTCAGTAAATTGTCCATATTAATGATGAAGAATATTAAAGATTTTTTAGTACAATAAAAACGGTCGGTCGCTTTTAACATCCTGTCCAACTTCTTTTCTAACAGTGCCCCCCGTGATTCACGGGATAGCTGCGTCGCCGGTGCATAGGCTGACGTGCGCTAACTCATCATCATTCATTTGTTTGCGTGGAACAAAAGCCAGGATGATAGTTTGGAAGGTGGAAAGGCGACACACATCAAAACTATTAATAGTCTTTTGAATACAGTTAATCCCACGCATCAGAAAGTTTATATTGCAGAAAGCATCTATTTGTTTTAAAATTTAAAAAAAGCAAATTCTTGGCACATTGGTCTGAGCACTGTTTACATACTCCCCCGCCGGCGTCGGAGAAATTATTGGAAGCCACAGCGGTATAAAATTGCAAGTTCTCTTCGAACTGTAAAAATAATAGGTTAAAAAATTATTTTATGATATTATACACGGCTTAAAAGAAAACGCCCTAAAGCTAATTGAGTAATTACAAAAGTACAAATCTTTTGTATTGTGTAATACACTGTTTAAATATTGTTCATCTGCCAGGTGTGATTTTTTTATTATAACAGTTTATATTCTGTGATTGTTAAGACTCTTCACTGCTGACCTCAGAAGCTGAATCAGTTGCATTGCCTCCAAACTAACCAAACCTGGCAACTTTACTGTCTTTAGTCAAAGCCATCACTTTTCTCTTCAAGTTCTGATGAAGCTATTTTGTTCAAATACGAGAAATTTTCCCGTAGCCAAGGATCAGAAGTTTGTTTTAGTATGTCAACAAGCGGACACGAGAAACTTCTATCCCTTTCAGAACCATTGCTTATCTTGCTGCAATCACTTTTAGAGCGACAAAGTCTTCTTTTGCGCTCTTCGTGTTCTTGAACCGCAGTCATAACCGATGTACTTTTTCGTCTTTTTTTCCCGCTGTCTTGTAGATTCCTCGAAACAGTTTCGCTATTCGAAAAATTCTTTGAATCCCACCGCATATTTTCCCTGACGGGAGACAAATATTCGGATACGATGTCATCATTACTGTTTAGGAACGTTCTTTCTTCACTTTCTCCGAATTCCTTACTGTTCTCGCTTTTTTCTTCTGTATGAACAAATCCGCCATTTTGATGAACTTCAATGCCGTCGATTTTCACGGCATCCACGGGCACTACCTTCACAGGGCCACAACTTTCCTCGCCTTCAGTGTACAAACTATCTTGAAGTCTGTTATTACTGTCTTCCCAGTCTTCTGACAATGCACCTTTTCGTTGTGTTCTTTTTCCGGTGCAATTATTTACAAAAGTCCCATTTTCACTTCCCTGTATATGACTTTCTCTTTCCGTTTGGCCGCGGCGCTTTAAAGTAGATCTCACTTCACTTTTTAAGCTCTTGCGTCCACGAAGCACTGCGAAAGAGTCACTATCCCGTGACTCGATTCTCTGGAAACAACACGGCAATATTATTCCAAAAATCTGCCGATACCCTTGGCGAAATTCTTTTGTTCTTAGGGCATAGATGACCGGGTTCATTGCGGAATTCAAAAAACCAAGCCAGTAAGCTGCAACAGAGAAGTATTTAGGCAGCTCATTACCTGCAAGTGTTGCGTACAAAGTAAGGACAGAAAATGGAGTCCAACAAGCTAGGAAAACTGCTAGAATTATGAAAAGCGTGATGGTAATACGCCTTTCGTTTAGGAAAGCCGATTGTTCCTCGCTGCCAAATGAATGACTGCGGACACGTTTGGTGTGAATCTTAACAGTCTGAAAAATCTTTAAATAAGAGAAGCTCATTATTCCTAGCGGGATCACAAAGCCACAAACGATGATAAATAGACAGTTTGTTAACTCGCTTAGTTTATTATTACGAGGCACTTTGACAGAACATTGCGTTCTCCCTGGGATATATTCGTAACTGTTCCATCCCAGAATGGGCGTAAGAGCTGTAACAAAGGCTTGAAGCCAAACCCAGACCACCACACAAATAGTCCTCTTTCTTGTGAAGATCTTTTTCTTCGTTGGTTGTACTACCCCTATATACTTGTGTATACTTATTGCCGTCAGCGTTAGTATAGAGGTCAGGAGGAAGAACACGTTTAAGAAGCCGTTTAGTTGGCACAGCGAGTTGCTGAAAATCCATTTCTGCGTCACGGCTGTTATAATGGAAAAAGGCGTGCACAAAAGCGCGACAAAAATATCCGTGAGGCTTAAATTGACGATAAAAATGTGTGTTTCCGTTCGACGCAGCTCCCGTCGGCGGTAAACGACGGCAACAACAAGGAAATTTCCAACAACTGCAAGAATCATGATGCAAAATAAAATCACTGCTTCGAGGATTCCTATCCATTTTGGATCCATTTTTACAGATTGTGAATTGTTGCTCGCGGACTCACTAAAGTTAGTCTGATCCATTTTCACTCCTGAGGCGTGGATACTTGCATTTCAACCTTTTATTCACCTCGTTGTTTTGTAGCCCTACTCAATTTGCGTCACTTACCAACCCAGAGCTAAATTTGACACATTGCACTAAATTGACACGCCGCGAAGTTGTTTGCATGACAACAGGGAAGTTTAAAAATGCAAACCAACCTCTGCTTTGTTTGATGTCGGTGTAAACTGGAGAACTTTCAAGTGACATGACCTGTCCACTACCTTAGATTAATATCCCTCCATATGTCTCTTTTAAGTAAACACTCAGTTCAGTAATAGGAAATTCTTGTCTTTTGAAAAAGATCATACGTCTTATACCAATCGCACAGGGAACATGCTTAAGTTTGGATTAAAAATTTGATTTTTTTTTCAACGTATGTTCAATGTACAACCAAAGAAGTGGAACTGATTATTACCATTTTCCGAAATCAATTAGGAAAGCAATGCTTAATCCCGCCAAGAGAGGTAACTGATTATTTCGTGGAGGTCACATCCGTTCCATCTTTAATTTGTCGTTTCTAATAAGTAACTGATTTGCATCTGACTTCATTATTTCGAGGAAACTAAGCTGATCTACTCAAGAATTTATAGCTTTAAAGAAGATTTATGTATTGAGAGAAAATAGCAGTAGGATTGTGCTCTTTCGGTTAGTTTACGGTCAAAGAAAACCGCTTTCCAAACGAATACACCTGCAAGCCAATTAGCCAATATTTCGGCTGTGTTTTTCATTTCCCCAATTTATTGTTTCGCTACACGCAATAGAACATATTATCTTTGCCCATCTTCATGTTCAATCGGCCTACAATGATTACTTTGCAACATGTTTTTATATTACATTGTCTCCATTATAACCCCCAGGTTCAGACCAATGGCAGATAATTGTTTCGCGTAAAATTTAAAGCAAGGATTAAATACATAACATTTGCAAACTTCAAAGACCTTAGTCTTCAAAAACAGTCTATACATTTACGTAAAGTTACGGACACAAAACTGCTGATTAATACGCCAGCCTTACATGTAATAATTGTTTGGGTTTTTTTATTATTTATTTTTTGCTTTTTTTCAGGTTTTGGTTTATTTTTTGTTCTAAAGAAAGCCGCTATTTTATTGGTGATTCTAGAAGAAAAGGAACAAAATATCTAGCTTAATAGGGGATATTATATCTTCAAATGCCATGGACAGGAGAAAAATTCTTTTTGGGCTGAAAAAAGTATTTAAACAGATGATTTGTTTCCAAAAACGATTTTGATGCTGGTGAACAAAAAGAACTTAACATTTATTCATGGACGTCGAGAAATGTTGTGATTAAGTTCTATCTTTTCTGCTTCCTGTTTAACTTTGCAGTAAAGTTAAACCATGGATAAGTTCTACGATATTGTTTAACCAAAACAAATATCAACTTTTAAAAGTAACGTGTGAGTCAACTGAGCGGCGTAAAAAATTGTATGGAGGAGAGATCCAAACTTTTTTGGCTTAAAAATTGCAATGCAGAATCCTGTGTAATAAAATTCTGCCGAAGATGGCCCCAAAATGAGTGATCATTCAGAACACATTTTATTCAGAAAACTATTTTTTGTTGTTTTGAGAGATTCTTCAATATTATGTTTCGGCTTGTTTATATCAAGTACTCTATTTGCTCACGACTGCATTCATAGTTGTCCACTTTAACAAGGCCGGTGCAGCTGCACAGTAATTGTCTTAATTTAACTATCCGTCGTCAACACAGAGCGACTTAAATGAGTTAGAGTACTGCGAAGTATGCCAGAGAAAAGATGATTTTAAAAACTACACCGAAAAGTTCAAAATGAAATTGTGTCCTGAAATTTAAGAGAAGGCATTATACAAGTCTTTATTTCTATTTTTCTTACCAAATTACATTTTTTTTAAGAATGTGGTGTATTTTTTTCAATGACAGGTGAAGTAATACAAAGTGGCATTCAACGTAGGTCGCACATGACAGTTACAATTGATTTTAGTTTTCCCCTTCTTTAAAGAGTGTTCCTTTTCAAACCTGCGTAGAAAAAGTCACCAGGCAACCTTATACACGCAAAATGACCATGCTGCTCACTGAGAGATACAATAAACTATTTGCAAACTGGTTTATTTTTTGTATTTCAAATAGTTATTTTTTTGAATGTTCTCCAATAATGATGATAATGAGGAGGAGGATAAGGGGGTGGAGGAGTAGGAGAAGGAGAAGGAGAACTGGTACTCTATACAGACAATGTCGGAAAAGGTGTTTCCCGCTGCTTGCCCATGATAGAGTGCCCACTGTTCGCAAAGTCCTATTTCGGGGCTCCACCTTACACTTTGCGATATGATAAACACTTTTTCAACCTGTCAAACTCACAGGTGATCAATAAAAAATCAGCAGTTGTTGAGAATTATCGATTAATAGTCACATCTGGCTACACACGACTTTTCGTTCTCTCAAACTTAGTAAATGATTAAGAAGAGGAGAAGGCTCTCGAAAGAAAAACACGGTTCTCACGGATTACAGAGTAATTGCTTCGGAGAGCTCTTTTAAATATTATTAATTATTATTACTATTATTATTTAAATTTCAGGTAAAATATTAAAACAGGAGCAGATCATAGTTAATTGAGTGGAATGGTTATGAAACCCGTCAGACTCCTTTGTTATATGTTTTTGTGGACCTGAAAGTGCACAACGTTCAAAAGAATTCCTATCATTTTGATTGTATTGACCAATAAGAACGTTGCATTAATTTATTCCAAAACAATTTGCCAACAAAAAACAAAGGATTGTGCACTTTCACGGTGCTTTGAACATAAACTGCTGCACTGTTGTTTTTATCATTGATGTTTGCCGCTTTTCATAACCAGTCTCCTCTAATAACTATGAGCAGATTAATGAGCTCCTGATTAAAACGAATCCTTACAAACTGAACAGCAAACCAAGCAAACAGGTCATCTGCTACAAGACGAAGTCGACCGAAGACTCCATCAGTTTATAATAGTGTCTTTATTTTTTGCGGGTTGACACCGGTACAAGATTTCTGTACAATTTATCGCGGCAATCTGCTCGATGTGTTTGCCTGATGCTTCCAGTTCTACTACAATTTGAAGAGACGTCTATTTAACGCATTATAAAACCATCCTACAATAAAATAAGCGTTATAAAACGTTAACATGAATATTTTGTGTCCTTTCTTTCTCGGGATAAGCGCTGAACCTCCACTTCTGTGTATCACGCCCGTCACATTTTCTTACAACCAAGTTGGAGCCTTCACTGACATCTAAACAAACATCATGAAGCGTATGGCGGATGCTACCATCCTGTAAAAAGAACGAACGAGGGGTCAAGGGCGTGTACCTTGGACTTAAATGGGGTAGGAGGAAATGGAATGCCACTTCTACACTTCTTACACAGTTTTTCTCCCAAGAGGATATTTAGTCGAAATTTACCTTCCTTTCTCGGGCAGTAGTTCGTTTTCCGTGGGAGAAAATTACCATGTCCGGAAGGGAATAAACTTTATCATTTTTTTGCTTAATATGCAGTAAAACCAGTGCTTCCCTTAAAGCAACCTGATACTCAGTGCGATATAAAACGGGATACTTTGGTGGAGGAGGTAAAAAAATTCGCTTAATTCTTCTTTTTTAATGTATTGAATTTAGAAGAATTTCCTAAAAATCCAGTCCTAAGCCACCATACAGGTTGAGAAGACAAGACACCACGCAAGCGCCAGGTAAGAATGCTTCCTCGCTTCCAGGCTTCTCTCCTTCCCTTCCCTGTGGAAAGACAGAGGGACGGGAAGAGATAATCCCGGGAACGAGGTTGTTTCTTCCTTTGTCCACCTTGATAACAAGTCAAGGCAACAAGGAGGCAGAGGAGATGAAACCTGGAAAAGAGCGGGCAGTAATTAAGGCAGCATGATTACATGGATCTTTGCCATGTCTTTTTCAAAGTTTCGAAGCCATTTACAAAAAGTTGCAATACAAAAATCAGATCAACCACGAAATATTACTTTCCACTATCAAATAGGAAGTGACAGAAGTTAAAAGCGCTCTGTAGAAATGCGACAAAAATACCAGATTAAATTAGAAACTGACCGGCTTACTCTTGTACAAGTACTTCTACTGAAGTTAAAATTAAAACCAATTAATATCATCCGTTTTATGATAGTTTATAATATTTAGCAGCTTGCCTTTTCGTGTTCCCACTTCTGGTTTCCTCCAAGACCATGACAAGTGTATAATTTCACCTTAGTGTTTGGGTTGCCGTCGACAAGATCCAAACAAACCTCGTCATGCCAGAACTCGTAATTCTTCGTAAACATGAAAAACTGCATAAAAAAGTACATATAGTTCCCATCATCTTCATTCAATGTTTACTTTTTTTCACAGGTTACGATAAAATCAACAAATTGCCCTGCCACCACTATCATGGATCTCCATACAGCTCAGTTGGTAGAGCACTGCAGCGCTAAGGCAGAGGCCATGGGTTCGAATCACGTTAAAGCCCTAAATTTTTCTGGGCTTGATTTGCCATCGCTTAAACAGGACAATCACGTGACTTTTGTCGGGCATAGAGTACATTTGTGGCCCGAGTAGCATCATTTGCGCCCGATCGAGCGGAGCGAGGGTGCAAATGAGGCTACCATGGACACAAATATACTATGTATATGTCCAACAAAAGACATGTTATTATCATTATTATCAATACATAAGGTCAACGGAAACAAATTTATTTCATGAGGAAAGATTGTTTAACAGAAATCATCTTGCGGGCTGCAAATTCCATTTACAGCCCACACTTTGCCATTTGGCCTGCGAAAAAGGAGCGTTTTAGAGACCACCAGTTTATCATTTGGCCGCGTGTATGTAGTGATAATAATTACAATTCACTTCATCTTTATTCAAGGGAAAAAAGGGTCGTTAAAGATCTCGTCTTTTTGTTAAAATGATGGTAAAATAGGAAAACTACAGGACAATCAGGTAATATCTCTTTGACAGTTGTTGAAAATAGCTTTGACACAATCCCTCACGCGGCCTGTGCAGACTTTAATACCTGGTTATTCCCCATGCCATGACACATGTACATGCCGGGCTCTCCTCCGGGATCATTTTTTGCCAACGTATCTAGGCACTGGTTTGTACCAAGATTGCGAACCTACCAAAATAAACAAATATAAATTATATTGTCATGTTTAGAAGACGAAGGAATACCTTTCAGATTTTTCGTCTCCGTGATTACATTCTACTCTCCCGTAAATATGCACATATCACCAAATTTTCTCCACCTTAAGAATACATATCCTACTCACCTCTCCTCTTCCGTAAGGATACATATCCGGGACATTCAATTCTGGGATTACATTCTCCAGATACCACTTGAAACTCTTGCAATTCAGTTTCTTTCTTAAAGCTTTCCGCTCGGTTATATCCCCAAAAGATTTCTCCTTGAGCTGAGGCCTCATGGCGTAGAATATTTGTTTGTAATCGTCCATCCATACTTCCGCAAGTCTCATGTTATTTTTGTCAATGGCTCCCTCGCCGATCTTGTACGGCTGGCTCTCTCTGAACACGTGACCAACCTTGGAACATGGCAGGATTTCCAGAGATCCGCCACACATCCAAATCTGAAAATAACCATAAAACTCTGTTTCCTGGGGAATGCTTTGCGGAATTTTTCTCTAAAATAATAATAAAAAACCTTTGATAGGTCTTCATTCTTGAAAATCGTACTTAGAAAATTTTCAGAAACTACGGCTCTAGGAAGTCAGAAAAATGAAAAAAGAAAGAAAGAAAAGAAACAAACAAACAAAAGAGGAAGAAAACTGGAACCACCTGACATGAGTACAGTTGAGTAATAATAAAAAAACCATTAATTTAAAGATGTCCTTTATCTTGTGTGTCTAATAAACAGAAAGACAAAGCACTCGTGTTAATTAATAGATTTGATCTCAGTGAGCACTCAAACAAACTTAGCCAACCAATAAGGGCGCGGGTATAAAAGTTTAGAAATAGTAAGCGTAATTTCACTGAGTGACAACAAAAATTTTCTCGGAACTTACCCGAAAGGAAATTTCAACATTTTCTCCTCCCCAATAAGACATTTCAGTATCGTAAGAGCCGATCTCAAAGAAATACGATCTGTCAATAGCAAACAATCCACCGGCCATTGTTGGTGACCTGAAAAGAGACCACTTTTATTAACACATAACAATTTGCCGCGAACGTTTCCAACTATCCTGTCATTTGTGTTTAATTAATTCGTTCTCTGATTTTTTCAAGCTACTTGCCTGAACACTTTAACATTAACACATAACAATTTGCCACAAACATCTCCAACTATCCTGTCATTTGTGTTCAATTAATTCATTCTCTGATATTTTACGCTACGTGCCTGATAGGATCAGCATCACTTTTCCGTCGTTTGCTCTCATAATCGGGCAGCGCCCTCCACTTGAATGTCAATTCCCAATTAAAGACACCTCTATTGTATCCTCCTTTACTTTGCGCGTAACGAAACGTTCTTAAGTCAATCACTTCTATATCTGGTGTAACAACAATAGTTCTGTCATGCGCAATCCTTGCAAGTAGCGGCTCCAACCAACCGTAGTTAGCCTCACAATGAGAATCCAAAAAGACGAGTATGTCACCTTTCGCTTGTCTGGCGCCTATAAGACGCGCGCGAATTAAGCCCTGACGAGTCTTGGCTCTTATAAGGCGAACTTTGGGAAGCTCATGAAGGTGCGATTCTAGTTTTTCGTTAAGATGCGCTGAAAAGAAAAAAGACAAAGAACAGAAGGTTGGTTACGTTAAAGCGAATCGTATACTGTAGATAGTTTCTAAGTTAGTTCACTTCAGCCTCCCTTTCTTTTGTAAGCGCGTTCGAATTAGCTACGTGACCTAGGGCCATGGTCGCAACCAAATATATATCGTTATCGTTTCCTTAACTCTGTCTTTATGTAATAACATTTCTTCAACACAATTAACCCCCAGTTGTTCGTTACTTTCTTAAACTTACTTTATTCTTACAACTAGTAATAACCAAAGGTTATGGAGTGCGGGCGACAACGATCGGTAATCCAAGCGCTTTTGCTCCAACGTAACCTGCCATCAGGTGTCCTTCTTTCCTTTTTGTTTTGGAAAAAAAAAAAACAAAACAAAACAAAAGGCCTGATCGCAAGGTAGCTCTAACGCTGTGCTTTGCGTACGTTTCACGTGACAGATAGTCAAAATACACCTGATCAGTTTACGAAGGGTAGAAGGTCCATACGCACGTGATCAAATTTCGTTCTGTACATTCCATTCATTCTTAGTGGAAGTCCAAACGAATGCTGGCTACATACATGCGACGCATGCGTAATGACAACCTGGAGATAAGGATTGCAGGCTCCTCTTGTCGCCCGCAATAAAGTTTTGCTATTGTCGTTGCTAACATCTATATTGTAATGCAAGTTCGTTACAGAAAATAGAACAAACACTTGCCTAGTTCCTGTGCGGCGTCTTATCAGGCCTTCTCGGTCAATGCATTTCCGTGACGTATCCGAGACGATCACAAAAATTCGCACGGACCACTTGACCCGAAACGCATCGGCCGCACGCAGGCCTAGGTACTAGGCAAATCAAACGAAACAATCCCAAACTGTCTCTCATTGGAAATTGAAGGTAAGGCTGATCGGACAGCTAAGGGTTGATGATTTACAAATTTATATGCCCGATATTTATTTATATTTATATTTTCTAAAAAAAAAAGCCTTAAAATTTTGGACCGTTCCTATTGGATCCCCACAGAAACAATAACCAGATTTCAAGAGGGCAGCTGTAGTACAGACGGCTTTCGAGTTAGCGTCGAGTTTCGCACACCTCTCCCTTCCCATCAACCCCCGCTCCCACCGTAGTGCGAGTTGCGAAGACGACTCCACCCAGCTTTGAACAGCCTAGCCTCCCACGCAGGCGTTTTTAGGGGAGCTCGTTTTTCATCCCTCCCCACAAACGCCTGCTCAACGGAAAACAACATTCCTTTCTCATTGTTTTATTTGCGTGGTAAGTGACCAATCAACAATTGTGCAATAAAGTGTTGACAGGACTGAACGTGACCGTAGAGTTACCGTTTTCCTTCTTTTCTTTCCTTCGAAAAGGTTATGCAGTGCACGGAGTATTCTAAATTTTGACTAAATCTTATTTTTGCCGCTCTAAATCTAACATTTATTAGAGGTCAGAAAGCTTTCCCAGTGTTTAATGCAGATCGAGTAATTATCAGATTACCTTGCGGTCAAGGTCAACTTTCCAGAATTTGGAAAGTACAATGTGATTGGCTAAGCTTGGGAAAGGAATGTTGTCTTCTCTTGAGCAGGCGTTTGTGGGGAGGGATGAAAAACGAGCTCCACTAAAAACGCCTGCGTGGGAGGCTTTGAACAGCCCCGCCAGGAGCCCATAACTGGCCCCGCCCAGACAGATTTGCAGCAAGCCTTTCCAGCACCCCCCAGTAGCCCTCTTATCACTAACGCTTGAGAAACTTGTCTGGCGATGAGGCGGATCCCGCTGAGCTTGTATGGACTTTAGCCTCCTGGAGACCCAGAGGTGGCTAATGGGGGCGGAATAATCACGGAAGAAATCAATGCAGGCAATTATTGTATAAACCTCTGCCCGAAGCAATTTCGGTTCCAAATGGTTTCTGGGTCTTCGAGGATGGTCCGCTACAGCGGCAGGTTTAATGCAGAACACTGATCTATAGTTCCCATCTATGCCAGACACAGAGTAATACGAAAGAATACACTCAACTAAACGGGATGACAAACAAGTTTAGTTCTCCGAAACACCTGCAGTACCAAACTAACATTTCTTCCGGTGTTTTTATGAAAGGGAAATACTTTCTCGCGTGTGACTATGTAAATTTGGCGACACGCATTTAAAACGGAAAACGTTTTATGCCATTTTTTCTTTATTTGCCAAAATATTATCCTAAGAAAATATCGGGAATTTAATTAATTTTCAGGTAAACTTTCACCCTCAATTGATGCTTTTTGTCACCTGGCCCATGCATATAAAAGTTTAATAGCCAACGCGATTGGTATTCTACACGTGTAAAACTTGATAGAGAGTTTTAAGAAACGCTTTCACTCGACTTTTTGTCCAAAATTTACTTCATAACTTTTCAAAGAATTGTTTAGGCTGGTTTCATCTGTGAATTACTAGTGTCGTAACTTAAGTGTCACGCTCCACCGCTCCACTTACCATACGAATTGTAGTTACTGCAATCATCTACCAAGATAATTTCCTTCAAAAACTCAGGGGGTGATCGTGCTAAAACTGTGTGCACTGTGCGTAAGAGAGTCGTCCACGCCTCGTTATGAAAAATAATAACAACACTGGCTGTGGGAAGATTGGATGGATACTTTAGACTGAGGCACCTGTTGAGAAAGACCATTGCTTGACTCTTGATATTCATGGATATTCAACAATCACCATGCTACATCAAGCTTCTAATTCAGTGATAGTGATACTGCGGTGTACATTTTTTTGGTGGACACTATAAAGTAATATGTCTCAAAGTCTCTGAATAACCTGTCCAAATTATCAGGACGCCGCTAAGAGCACAATATGCTCGAAGAATTGGATCGGCCGCCATGGCAAACATTTGCATTATGTCGGACTACAAATTCAAGGAAAAAAGCGAAAAGAGAAAAGGATATCGTATTTGGAAAAAAATTGGCAAATACCTAAGAGCTTCTAAACCGAATAAACTTCTATTTTTGTTGGGGCAGATAAGAACAAACAAGACGATAATTTAAAAAATTAAAAAAATTAAAACCGCGAAGGGCATTATCATTGTGATAGGACAATGCAAATACAAGTTCGATCGCCGTAGATTTAGCGTACCTAAACCACTTAATATATTCTTCTCGACGAAATACTTTTTTGTTTCGGCTTTTTCGTTGTACTACAAGTATTTAGTCTTTAAACTGTGAAGTCCACCTGCCAAGTGGTGTCTGCTGTAAAACCCAAACTATAATGTTACCAGTTAAACATCAACAAAGTTTCAGACAGTCGCTAGACAGCGGAAAATAAATTTCGAAACTTCTAATCAGTTTAAGAGATTTCCTCTTTCATTTGAAAGCATTGCAGTTGCTAAATTTGAGCCAAAATGCTTTATTATAATCAGCAGTTGATCTTTGATCTCATCAAGTTGCCATAAATGTTTTATATCAGCCACAATTTTGTGGCTGATTCAAAGTTGTTGATTTCGCCGCTTGACTGAGCCAAACCTTAAAAGAGCAAAACAAAAATCGAATTTAAATACCATACGCACATCGCTACATAACACGATACGAAATATTTTAAAAATACTTACTCTTGCGGACGATTGTCCGGTATAGATCTCTCCAACGAAATCTTAGCGCTTGCAAGTTCGTTGAAACTATATTTACTGTAGCCTTCTTTCTCTTTGCCCACTTCAAGGGGATCGTCTTTGTCATTGTAAACAGCTTTCCCTGCTTCTCCAGGTCCATCGGGATTTGGAGGGATTGATGTCACATACAGCGCTCTAAAATCTTCTATGGGTATCAACACGTCGGCAATCGGGTGATTCTCATAGCTCTGCCGTGAATTCCATGCTTCCGGAAGTTCAATGTTCCCTTTCGTTTGCTCATCGTTTAAGCGGTTTGTATAACTTAAAAGAATGAGCTCTACCGTCAACCAAAACACCGAAGTTAAAAAGATCGTTACAACCACGTATCGTCTTCTGGTTGAATAAATCATCGCTACAGGCAACCATTTCAGTTCTGCTTCAGGAACTTCTACACGGCTGGGCGAGTAATAGCTGACAAAACGTCACGTCACTGAGCCGCGAATAATATCCTCTCAGATCTCAAAAAATAAAGTGTCGAAGAAAAATAAAAGCAGACACATTCTCCTCTTTTTTATGTCAATTGTTTGCTTGTGGTGAGCGAATACTACAAGTAAAAGAATGCCAGCTTGTTGATTTCCATGTCACCTATTTAACGCAACAGTAATTTCAATGATGTGAAACAGCTGTCACTATTCATTATTCGGTGTCAGAGGAAATGAAGTTTAAAAGCACGGGAATCCCCATCATGAGAAAAAAATAAAAAAAAATAAAAAGGGACTGGAGTTTAGAATAGACGGACCGTATTTATAGCCTGTGTACAGAGGCCCCCTCCCCTCAAATCTACATCGTGACCAAGATATTGCGTGACATGGGTCATGCGTTTCTTTTGATCACACGCAAGATTATTATTCTTTCTTAGAATTTAGCCAATCAGTTTTTAGCTTGGTTGTGGGACTAGCGAGCTTAGGGAAACTGAAGGATCAGTGAGAAAGAATCCTGTTATTGGAAACAGTGTTTCATACCTTTTCTTCAAATAAGATAGGAAAGTAGCCGTGTCATAAACGGGATTACGCGTTACAGAATTGTATATTCACATTTGTTGAAGGAAGTTTGCTGATTTCGTTTTCGGTTAGATTCGATTAATCAAGCTTTTATAGTCGATTCACAAGTAAGAATGCGATTTATGCCTTTATTTTCAGTTGACTACACATTTAGCTAGCTGTCGCGAGATTGGAAATTGTGACATTAAAGTAGTTCAAAAACAACTGGTACGTCCGGTAGACATTATTTTCCTGGTGTGTCTTCAACCCGAGTACAGTACCCAAACCCGTGGTGCGAAACAGTCAAACGCGGCGCAAAGAGATGCGAGTAAAAAAGGAGCGAGGGGGTGGGGTAGGAGGTGGTCTTTCCCCCTCTCTTCTTCCTTAATTTTTCCCGCTCTCTTACTTCGGGCCGTACTTCACTATCCAAACGCCTGGAACAGGCTACACGTTGACAGTATGCTCGAACCTGTAACCCACCCAGCCCGTAATATGAATAACGTCTGCGGTATTAAAGTAAGGAGATCTTGGTCATGATCTTAGTGTGAACAATTTCATTTCATTTTCTTGCCCCTGTTCCTTGCGTCAACTAACGCTCCCCAATTCTATTAATTTGAATTGTGTGATATGTTAACTCTACATAAAAATATGAAAACATAACTTTCCAAGTTATCAGGTAAAAACTGGAACAATAGCATAAAATTATTCTACGGAATAATCGCTGTTGTCGTGTTTCTTTGACAAACCCATCATACAAGACAAGACTAAAAACGTTTACTCCAATCCTACTCATTCAAAACTAATGCTTAAAAATGAACAAACACAATCTGCATCTGCGACGGACTTGCTTATACTCCTAAGGCCTTTTCATTTCTAACCTTTTACTCTTTTTCACTACCCTGCGAGCAGAGGTATGGCACGGCTTTTAGCACAGGCTAATTTGTAAATGCTATAACAAGCAACGCGAACGACTTCGTATCTATGCTGAAAGCCATGCCAGAAAAAAACCTCCGCTGGCATGGTACTTTTTCACTGGTTATATCTTTTCGTTCCTCACAAACTCTTAGTTTATGAAAAACAGGGTAATGACGAAAGTCTTAGAGCTTGATGAAATAGTTTGCACTTAATAGCCCCTGTTTATAACAACTTCCACCTTCCCTTCACCGTGATTATAAATATCCAACACAAAAACAGTTCTTCGTCCCCGTAACTCCTCGTTTGCACGATTCAAAATCGTCTCCACGGGGTACCATCTTGAAAACGATCCTGTGGCCAGTGCAGACAAGAAAAAGCCATCTTCTGGTTCCTCTTCCAAGTTTTCTTCTGTTTTCTCGGGAGTCTGGGGCACAAAAATCGCATTAATAATGGCACGCCTGTTCAGACCTGTGATCATGAGCCGCCAGTAGCCTTCTGAATTCACGAAGCCTTGCCGATCAGCTGTCGGAACTACCCGGACATCCGAGAGTCCCCGACTACAAAGTCTCGGGAAAGTGTTTTCATGACAACTTGGCCTAGACAAACCAACAACTGGTGTGTCCTCTGGCATATTCGGACATGTATCATCTAGAATTCTAAAAGGAAAATAATTATCTGCCTTGGACGAAGACGTGGAAGTGGTCTCCTCGCTGTCAGTTGCTCCTCGCTCTTCCTCGTCCGGCCTTAACGAACGCTGGCCACATCTTCTCGTTTTCGCTTTCTTTTTAGGTTTTACACGGACGGTCCTCTTGTTTTTTGGTGTTGGTTCTTTCTTGCTGACTTTTCTTGGTAAGTCTTGGCCGTCATGTCTTGATGTTCTCTTGATACAAACATTACGGTTTGTTTCATCAACTACAACAAAACACAAGAAATTTAGTAGCTAATCAGACGCCATGGCAAATGGACAAAAAGGCTAGGAATTCCTTAAGGCGCTATGTTAGAAACAACAATTGAAAGCCGCCTAATATGTCACGGTAATAGGACTGAGTGGAGTACAATTCGAGGAGTAATCGGGAGTAAACTGTGTTCAGCCACCTTAAAAAACACAATTTGTGAAAAGCTGAGTGGTCCTACAGTTAAGTATCATTCACTTTACCTTTTTTACATTTCCTTTTGGGATTAATTCTGCACTTTACTGCACCACTTGAACCAGCTGAGCTGCCCTCACTAGCGCAGGAAGATTCCTTCAATTTAATACTTTTTTTACATTTCCGTTTGGGATTAATTCTCCTCTTTACCCGACCACTTGAACCAGCTGAGCTTTGCTCACTATCGGAGGCAGATTCCTCTAATTTTCCTGCGCTCCGGGCTACGAATCAAATAATATTCATCAGAATAACAATTAGAAATCATCATGATACGCTAATAGCAACTTTTGTGAGGAAAATAGTTTGATCCGGGTAAAGTGTATCTAAGATGGACTTGGGACACTTTCCTGAATTTTAAACTGAGGAAGTCGTAGAAGCATGAATTAGAGAATTCCCTGTTGATTAGGGAAGGCATCTTTTTGGAATTTGAATCTGATTTACACGCATAAAGAACACATTTTTTGCTTACTTTGTACTCGGCTTTGTTTGCTTTTCGCTTGGTGGTTTTTCTGATCAATTTGAGAAGAACTGCCGTCGGATTCACCTTCCTGTCTGACAGCAATCTGACATGTTACTTTTTGTTTTTCAGTTTCTTGAAGCATGACCTTAGTAGAAGGTTAGGGTTGGGATCAAGGTTAAGAAAGTCATTATGTCATGCCTGCAGTGCCTTGAGTGATGTTTGACTCAATTTTACTCAGCAGTGATGTTGATAAAACAGGGTGAAATAGATCTAGTGTAATGTAGCGTTACCCCCACGATATGTTAACAAACAATCAAAGTCAGTAATGGCGTGATAGCTTTTATATATAGTTTGTTTCATTACAGTCACGGTGTAATTGATCGCAACATTTCGCCTATATATAAAAAATGAAAGAAAAATCCTGCTACTTACAACTTGACTGGCTTGAAGAAAGTTGTGAGGATGCCTCTTGACTGTGCTTATCAGATCTTTGTGTTTCACTAAGCTGAGAACTGCTCATCTGCGTTGTTTCATCAGGAGCACTTCCCACACTTTTTGCCGTGGGAACAAATTCCATGGCAACAACAATGCCTTGAATGTGTAGGCGCAATTGTTCTCGATAGTGAAGTTCCTTCATTACAAATCCAAGATTAACTGTTGTTATCAGCGACATTTCACTTCCCTGAGGGAAGGTTCTTTTGTATAACTCAAGTGAGTGATTTAAAGGAGGAAAGCTATAGTACCCCCCACTACAGGAAACCATCAGAAGATGTTTGGCTTCACCTGATTGCCTCCATTTGATAGCATCAGCAATTTCCGTAGAGTCTGAAAAGGGCTTGTTATTCGCATCAGATGGCTTCTTGAGAGCATACAACTGGGACTCGCGTGTTGTTGTGAGGAAACAAATTCTCGCTCGTTTTGAATCTTGAGACTCGACTTTGAGTAGCATACGAGCACAAACAATTACATTTCCAGCTGCAATGGAGTTAAACACCTCAGGTTGTGAACAGGCATAAAGATGAAGAATGATTGGCAAGAAGCTTGATCCTAAACATAACAAGAACATAGTGTTATCAAAAGTAATCAGTGCATAAAAATGACAGGTAATAAATGGAAATTATAGAGCAGACAGGGTAAGAGAAACAAAGATTGAAGAAAGGTTATTCACGGGTGATGCGTAGAGTAACTTTGCAAAGAAAAATAAGAAGCTGTTCACAAACAATGGTCCTACAGACACAGTTCCTGAGTCTTGTCTACATTTTAAAATATATTCTCTGACTGAGTCAACTTAAGATCAGGAGGCAGCAACAATAGAAACAAAAACGGAGTAAGTGGCATAAGCGTTGAATATTGCCATTGATGGTTAGACAACAGATTGCTTTTTCCATATTTCAGAATTTCAAAGAGCTTCAGAAAGAGTAAAGTAGTTTACCATATCAGTTTTTATGCTTGGAATCAGACAGCACTTTCAACATCAATCCAAGGGTTTTTCATGGCCTGTCTCATGGAGTGAGAGAATCAGACTGGGAGTGGGGCTTTAAGCAGTTTCTATTTCATTCTATACCTTTCAGTTATTTCTTTTCACAAGTACAAATATACAACTATAGAGAAATGCTTAACAAATTCTCTTCAATCTTACCATCTCTGAGGTGTACCCATTTTGAAGTCCAGTGAGAAGAACTGACGCCCTTTCGTTCCTGGATTTCTCGGCTCACAAACATCACAGTTCCCACAATATCACAGATTATCCCTGAGGAATAGCTTGAAAGGGATTGTCTATTAATGAACCTATCAACAAAAATTTTCAGATAAGTAGTTGTGGTTGCCAAGTGTACAAGTAGTACTACTGTAGGGTATATTTATGCTTAATTACTAGCTGTTCAGCCTATATATGCCTAAGAATAACCTGAAATGTGTAAACAGGACCTAAAGGAGGAGTTAAAATAAAACCTAGGCCACACCTGAGTTACACTTTTTGGCTGAACAGTAGTAGTCACAGATGATTAAGCCTCAGTAAATAAGAAGGTGTGGAGATTAAGGCAGATTGTTATACAATTTTTGCCATGTTTTGATAAACAGAATAATTTTTATTTTAGTGGTTAAAAATATCTTGCACCAGTTGTGGTCCAGTAAGAAAGCTTCAAAGAGAAACAGAGTGGAAAGAGTGTTGGTAACTTGGTATTCTTTGTGAAAGGTTTGAACCCAGGAGTCATTTCATGAGTAGGTTGAGTATGATGGTCCATGTGAATGTAGTCCTCAATAAGACAGTCTGTTGTTGTTGACAGTGACTGATTTTTTGACAACCTGTGTGGTAGTCATCTTCACAGTTAAAGTAAGTTGATGGTATTAAACTCTGGTTATTAAATGGATCGAAACGCACCAATGACATAATGAGTCTAGCCAATAACATCACGGCTTAACTGACAGACGACCAATAACATTGTGACTTAATTGACCAATCAGGTCAATAACCAGAGTTTAATAGCATCAACTGACATGATACAACTCACTTTGGCTCTGAAGATGACTACCGCACAGGTTGTCAAAATGCAGGGTGTTCATTAGGCATCGGAGATCAGAGAATTCTCTGTTTGTTACACGGAATTCTCCAGCTAATGTGCGATAGCCTATGAACATTTTTTATTCAGACATGGAGCCTCTCTCACAATATTCTCCTGTAACGTTACACCTTTCTCCTGCTACTAGAATTCTTTATGAAAACCCTGGAAATGTCAGTCACTATCAACAGCAACAGTACTATTCAGGACTACATTCACCTGGACAATCATACTTAACCTACTAGGGGTATTCTTTCTTGGCTTGTCTCACAGTTGTAATCAACTCTGAAGCTTCCTTGATTTTTATAAGCAATGTAATATGGTAGTGTGGCAAGTTCTTTCATTTATCCTTGTAGAATACAAAGTGGTCTCTTTTTTGCTTAGAAATAGTACAGTCAATGACTAAAACTGAAGGAATACACAAACCCATCGCTAAAAAATTGAGATCATCATAAAGTCATCTATCAGTCTTTAAAGAGGTAGATAAAAGGGTAATGGAAGGAAGAAAAGAGAAGAAAAAAAAAGGAGGAGGGCAAACTTGAGAGAGGTAAATAATATCCCAACTGTTAGGGGTTTAACTGTATCAAAACTGTATTATGCATAGCCGCTACGATGAAGCCGCCATCTTTGATTTTATGACAGAGGAAGATTGGGGAGAGTAGGAATAATAACCCTTACGGAAGACCCCCTCCCCCCTCCCCTTGACTCGCCCCATTTTCTCCTCTCTTCGGGAGTTTCAACATGGCGCTTTCGCGATTAAAACCATTCGCGCGCGCCCGATGAAAACGCCTGCACTGCAGGCTATATTATGCATTAGTCAATTCCAGCTGTGCCCAGCCCCATCCCCAGCCCCCCCTCCCAGGCTGACCCCCCCCCTTACCATTTTCTTTGCCTTGGATGGCAAATTCCCGGGTGTGGGGTCTCTTGAGCTGTCAAATCCCCTGGGGTGGGGACAAAAAAAGAGGGCAAATGCCCCGTCATTCGTCAACACTGCAACACTTTTCACTGATCACACAATCGAATAGTGCCAATTTAAGCATTTTAATTAACCTGAGATCAGGCTCTATTTTCGTTTCGCAGTGGGGTAGCTGCTAGAGAGAATGTAATTGGGCCTGACCTCAGGTTACATTTTAATACGCCGTTTTTTGTTTCAATTAATGTCTTCCTTTGTAAAGGCGCTAGGATTCTAATTAAGATTTCACGCCGCGACGACATATACTATAAATATGAAACGATGTTCTTGAAATACATGTAATACCAACATAAATTTGATTCAATATAAGCAATGAAGAAATGCATGCATAAAATCGCACACATGCCTTTACAAGCCTATTCAATTTTTTCCTGTCCTTCACAGATGAGCCAATATGCTTGTTTTTCCAGTAAAATCCTTTGCGTAGTTTCTTTTCTGATAGGAAACCGTGTACACGTGAAAAGTTTGGGAAAAGCCCCAGGGTTGGCATATGCCCGGCCACCAGGGCAGGCAGCACAAAATCCGGGGCTGACAGGGCAGGGAAACGCCCCGCAGTGGCCTGGGGGGGGGGGGGGAGCGGGAGCTGGGCACAGCTGGAATTGAATGATGCATTAGGCTTATGTCTACCCTACCTATAGGGAACACTTGGCAATCTCCAATCAGGGACAACTTCCTCAGGTGAAATTTTATACACTTGTGCAGCTGGATTAAGAGGATTTAATGATATTTCAGTCATTACTGCATCACTTGTATTGTAAACTGCGTTACTTCTTGACCCAAACCTTCTTGAAACACGGTAATTTGAAATCGCTACAACGTCCCCAACTTGAAGGTAGTTGTATAACAGGAGACATAACGAATTCCAGATGCAAACAGAGACAGTGGCAGTTCTATCTTCTAACTCGAGGTAAAATTGGTAAGGATATCTTCTTTTATCATCCGATGATTTTCCATAATGATTTAACCTTGTTTTACTCACAATCGTGCCTATTAGTGCTGGAAATGGTCGCGGTAACGTTCTCCAAAACGAGTCTAGATCTGAAATTGTAATTGCGTTAGCTATCGGCTTGGAAGGACTTAGGTCTGGATTAGTCAACCATATTGAGCCAAAATAGTCTTCTTCGTTCCACAGCGGCAAATAATAACCACGAGAAGCTGCCAAAGGTATCTCTTGCTTTTCGTTTGCCGTGGAATTTGAACAAAATTCAAGGTCAGTTGAAGCTCCATCTCTGTCGAGCGTGGTCGCAGGTGCTGAATTCAGAACCTCGATACCTTGAAGAATGACCAAAGGCGCTTGTTCTAATGATTCTTCGTCAATCAGGGATCTACATTCAGTAACTGCAATGATGGCAGATTCCCTCAGTTTATGCTCATAAACCAGAGAATTTAAAGTCGGCGACAGCAAGCACTTCGTCTTATAACGACCATCAGTTATGAGGATGTCGAAAGCATATGTTAAACCGGAGCTAGGAATGGGAAAACTCTTGTCAACAGTGTACCTGTATACACCCAGTACTCTCACGTTAAATGTCTCCTGTGTTTTATCCCTTTCAGCGATGGTTTTAATCCTCGCAATGCTACCAACAGTTAACGCGAAATCGTCCGCCATGTTTTCGCCGCCATTTTTTTCAAATGCCCAGGCTATCGCGTACAAGAGAAATACGCGATCTGAGAGTGCGCCTGGGCAACATCTGTTGGGACATGAATGTTCTCACGGAGTACAATTATCTGCGTTTTAAATATTTAAGAAACTTTCAGAAGCGCAAATAATGGCTAAGATTGTAGAATGTGTCCCAAACTTTTCCGAGGGACAAAATAAAGAAGTAATTGATGCCATAGCCCAAGCCATTGCCTCTGTGGAAGGATGTTCGCTTCTCGACGTAGACCCGGGCGTATCGACAAACAGGACTGTCTACACGTTTGTTGGTTCTCCCGAAAGTGTCGTGGAAGGAGCTCTCAATGGAGCGAGAATGGCCATGCAACTGATCGATATGAGAAAACATCACGGTATGAAAACTCTCTTTTTTGAATTGTTCAATTTTACTCCAAGCTTAACTAAAAACCAAAGTTTTATGTTTACTCTTCTTATTTATTTATTCATTCATTTGTTTGTTCATTTATGCTAGTCTCTTTGAAGAAAGCTGTTCAAAACTCAATATTAATAACACTGTTTTTTTTTTATCTGATAAAAGCAACAAAGGGGGCTTTTGTTCCTTGATGTATCTTAGACCTAGAGGGGGTGTGTGGTGGGCAGTGGCTAATTTAATGTATCTGGCCTGGACAGTTTTTCAAAAATGCCTTTGAGTATTTTGTTATAGCCTGCTATCAGAGCAATCAGAAATGTGGCTACAGTCAAACCCTGCCTAACAGACACCCACTTGATATGGAGAACTTGTAATTATCAGGGGTGGATCCAGGATTTTTTTTAGGAGGGGGTGCACCCGTCTCTTGCTCTACTTCAATACCAATAACTCCCACGTAGTTTTTATTTTTTTTTTTTGCAGAATACCAGTTGTATTAGAAAACCACAGGTCATCTTGGGGGGGTGGGGGGTGCGCACCCCCTGCACCCTCCTCCTAGATCCGCCCCTGATTATGGACAGTTTGCTTTGTCCCGGGGTAGAGAGAGCCCTTACAGTAATTTCTCTAAAACCCACATAATGCAGACACCCCATTAACAGGGACACTTTCTATGGCCCCTCAGTGTCCGTATTAAAAGGGTTGGACTGTATTTACAGAATTTTGTCATCAGCTTATCAAAGCATTGCTTTTCTTTCATATAAATATAATAAATTTTATTATCATATAAAAAGGAAAATATCTATTTAAATGTTCTCAAAACATAGCCAAGAAAAAGTCTTAATGATGCTGACAGTTTTGATGACTGTCAGCCATCTTTATCAAAACTTGAAAATCGTCAAAGGTGTCAGAAGCCTTAAATAGGCTTCTTAAGGCAAAGTCACTCTGTAGACGCCACCCCCACCCCCCCACCCCCGATTGGGATTAGGAGTGTTTGATCTAATAGATATGCTTTCCTTGATCCATCTCTTAAACTTGTCACTTTCCTGCTCAACTGTTTCACTTGCTTCCCAATTCATAAACTGTCAGCATCATTAAGACTTTTTCTTGGCTATGTTTTGAGAACATTTAGATAGATATTAAATTTACTAGCCTGATGAATTTCTTCAAGAATAAGAAGGAAAAGTTAAGCAGGTTCTGACCTAGAAAACAATTTTCATTTTTAAGGAGAACATAAGAGACTTGGGGCACTAGATGTGTGTCCTTTCATTCCCGTTCAGGGCGTGACCATGGAAGACTGTGCTAACTGTGCAAAAATATTTGGCCAGAGGGCTGCAGTGGAACTTGGAATACCAGGTATTAAGATTTGTACTTTTCATAATTCTTTGGTTAATTGAACTGAAAGAGAACTTGCTAGTTAAATGTAAGATGTGGCATAATTGAAATACAGTGTACAAAAATCCCAGACAAAACAAAAGGCTAGAACACCTATTTGAAAATTCGGAGGCCTTCCAGGAAAAGATAGGAAAATCTGAGATGGAAAGAAATGCAAGAATTTGTCACTCATCACAAATGTGTTGATCAATGTATTAGATAGTTTTTAAATTAGATTGAAAGTTTCTGAGACTTAAGAATGTTCCAGGAACCATGGCTCCCTTATGTGCAAGTGGTACATGAAAGCTCAGTACTAGAACAAACAAAAATCTGAAAACTTTTGAGCTTTTTGTTAAAGAAACTTGTATATTTTGGGCTTGATTCCTTTGGCAAAAACGAAAAATAGATTTTTAACAGTCAAACCTAATCGGCTTAAAACTCTCTTGAAATTAATAGTTATTAAAAGCTGTATTTACTTGTATTTTAAGTTGAGACTTTTTATTTACCTGTTCACATTTGTGTTTGTTGCTTTACTGTACTGGTTGGGTTTTCTTACAGAGTTTGGTCTTACAGTAATAATAACTAATAAAATCAATGGAAAACTTTTTTAGTCTATCTGTATGGCTATGCATCTGAACAGGACCACAGAAAAACTGTGCCACAGATCAGGGCAGGTGAATATGAAGGACTTTCTGAAAAGGTCAGTGTTACATCATCTCTTTCCCATCTTAAGTTATCATTTCAACTTTAGGCAATACAATGATTATATTTTGTTTATTAGTAGGTGTTGTTATTTTACCATTTGTTTCAACAGGTTTATTACCATTCACCTACTGACTTTGTCAGTTGGTGGTGGGTTCTCAAAAAATGAACATTCCTTACTTCCGCACATCTTAATCACCAATGGACTGTGCCGCATCTCAATAAATTATTGGGTTAAGCTGCCAAACCCTCTATTACTGACAGCATTCATGCCGTGTAGTGCATATGTTACAGGTTAAAATTAAATTCAGGGAATTTAATTTTGACCTGTAACATATATATACTCAGATCAGTGTTAATAAAAATAAATACTGTTATGAGTCTGTCACTCAGAGGAAAGATATGAGGCAATCCTAGTGTGATATTGCAACAGTCCATAGTAATGCAAAGTCCTTGTGAAAGTAATGTTAGTGGATCAGAGAACATCTTATTTTATGTTTATTCACAGATCAAGAAACCTGAGTGGAAGCCAGATTATGGGCCAGCAGAGTTTCTTCCTTTTTGGGGAGCAACAATAGCTGGAGCAAGAAAGTTCTTGATTGCCTATAATATCAACATTCTTGGCACAAAGGAACAGGCTCATCGATTAGCTTTAAATATCAGGACACAGGGTAGAGGGCCGGACCAGGTACAATAACTTTAAAAACCAAAATTACTATCAGTAAAATTTAATATCATTTTAGAATTCAACTTCTGCCACTGAGATCCAGCTCTGAAAATCTTTGTAAAAAGGCATCATTCTCTTTGTATTATTATACTGTTTCTTTCTCTTCTATGTTGACTGTGACAGCCTGGGCGTCTTACAGAAGTCCAAGGTATGGGATGGTACCTGGATGAGGCAAACATGGCTCAAGTGTCTTTAAACCTGCTGGATTTCCATCAAACATCCATGCACACTGCCTTTGAAGAGTGCAGAAAGGATGCAAAGGTAACAATGTTGGTGATGTTGGTAAATTGTATCAGATTCTGTATTACGTATTAATTTTAAATCTTCACAAGCCAGTGCATTTGATGTTCATGAAATTTATTACTGGTATTTTTCTCTTTGTATCTCTAAGGAACTAAAGGTTGGAGTTTGTGGATCACAGATTGTTGGTCTTGTGCCTCTAGAAGCCATGTTAATGGCTGCTGACTACTACATAGAAAAAGAAAATCTGTTCATTCTCAGTGAAGATCAAAAGATTCGATTGGTATGTCTGTGCCTTTTTTACTTGAGGGATAATAGCTTTTAAGTTAATTCCTTGTGAGTTGCAATAATTTATACCAAGATGCATCAGTTATTTCAAACCGTGGTAGAGAAAAGCAAGAAAAAAAAACGAATTCAGATTATTGATAACCATTCTATTTTGCAATAAGCCCCTTCTTGTCTAAATTTTTAAAAACCTGGGTGTATTTAGCGCTAACAGTTTATTAAAATTTGGAATAGTTTTTGTTGGTTGGAGTTTGTAACTTTCTCTTACTTACTTGCAACTTTCTATACTCTTCCCCAGTAACTGGACTCCCAATCAGCCCAAGCTACTGAATAGTTTTGTTTCCCATAATTTAGTGTTTTATCCTTGGTACAGGAGCTTTTAAACATTACATGGCACTTTCTCACTACTATCACAACATTAGTGGTTTGTCTCTCTTGTGTCGTAGGTAATAGAAAGATTGGGACTTAGCTCAATCTCTCCATTTGATCCTAAAACAAGAATCATAGAGTAAGTACAAACCACAAATGTGGCATGGCTTTTTTTTGAGTTGGTGGGGGGGGGGGGGGGGGGGGGAGGGGGTTTGAGGGGGATGGGGGCAGTGGTGGGCCACTCCTCATCGTCATTGGTACAAGGGTGTAAGCTCAAATCATGGCCTCTGTTTCCCGTACCACAAGAAATGGTCTGCTTGACTTTAAAACTTTCCATCCAATTTTTAAATTACGGCAGGGCATACCAAGGTTAACTCTCTGGATCAGCATTTCATCTAGAGGAGAGTAGCAATGTGACAGCTACTTTAAAGAGCAGTATTTGACTGCAGAATTTCCACTTGTAAATATAAACAACAAAAGAAGAACAATATTGTCCCTGTCTGAATGATCAAGCAATGCTGGTATTAATATTTCTCTGTCCATTTATGTACCTGCAGGTACCTAGTTGAGACTTGTGAAGATGGTCCTTTAGTTTCCATGCCTCTACGACAGTTTATCTACAGTCTTGGTTCACGATCATCGGCTCCTGGGGGAGGATCTGCGTCCGCTGCTATTGCTGCCATGGTAATAGAGCTTATTTAAGTTTTAAGCCTTTCTGACATCCCAGACAGTGTATTTAATTCAACCAAGATTTCTCAGCAAAGTTTGCAATCTGGGCAATGAGATCATTTGACAGAACATGGCTTTCAGCCATTCTTAACCTGAATCTAGTTGGATCAAGTCATGACAGACCTGTGTTAAATATTCTTACTTTTAGTTTACACTAGATCTTGAAAGGACGTTGTTTTCTCTTGTTGAGCATAGGAGAGGTGGGGCTGTGAAGAGCATATTATATTGTAACATACACTATCCTAACCTATCACATCCAGTGAGGTCAAAGGATTTTATCTGTCGATCCAGGTTTTGTCATTGCCTCATATCATGTTGTCCTCAACTGAATGTTTTCGCCTATAATCAAGTTTAATAATGATAATAATTACTGTATATTATTTAATTATTATTATTAATTATTAATTTATTACTATTATTACGACTGGTATTATTATCTAAAAGGGGTAGCATGTTTATCTCCACAGGGCGTGGCTTTGGCCACCATGGTTGGTTGGCTCAGTTATGGAAACAAAAAATTTGAAGCTTTGGATGCACAGATGAGAAATCTCATACCACCCCTGAGACAAGCAATGCTGGATTTTATACCCATGGTCGATGCTGACACAAGTGCATTCAGTGCATTTATGGTAGAGTATTTCATTGAACATGACTTTTTTTCTTTGTAAGGGAAAATGAAACTGACATGTTAAGTGACATGCACACTTGTGAACAAGACTCTAGCAGCATTTGAAAGCTACAGCGTTATTCATTTTATTTGCATAATGTGAATAACATTTCAATTTAGTCACTTGGAGCTTTCAAAAACATTTCCTATTTCTCAAAAGTAGTACAGAAAGTGTTATACTGGAAGCCATACCACTTGACATCCAAATTAATAATACAATTTTTGATCTCGTAGGATGCAAAGAAACTCCCAAAAAATACACCAGAGGAACAAGAAATGTAAGAACCTGATTTCGTAAGAATACATTTGCAGGATTTCAGAGTAACAAGGAATCAAGCTCTGTCTTTGTTTACTGTTTTCATTTAAAAACTATGCAGGGCAAAACACTTACTATTTTTTCCCTCTTTGTCCTTCCTAGCTGCCTTCTTTGTCATTTCTATATATTTATTTTCTGGCTATATTTTTGTCACATCTTTTTGTTCCTGATTCTCTTTTCCCAGCCGTGACAAGGCTATACAAGATGGACTGAAGGCTTCTGTATACATTCCACTCAATGTCATTAAAACAGCAACCAAAGTATGGAACCCAATGGTGGAGCTGGCAAAAGTTGGCAATATAAACAGCAAGTCCGATTTGCAGGTAGAATATCATAGAACATTATTTTTTTAAGACAGACCAGGGCACCTAGTTCAAGTAATCAATTTAACACACCATAAGTCCCCTTAGAAAGTGTTGTTAAAAAAAGCAGAGGTGGCTGGGGCACCCAACGACTGTTTTCTATAAATATATCTGTTAGGAGAAGCAAATATTGCCTAGAATTTTCTATTCCTTGAGGGTGGCTTAAAATTTCTAGATGACCATTCCATTCATGTACAATTTTCGAAGTTTATCTAATAAATTACCTCGGATTTTCTGAAGTTTAATTTTTTACATTTCGCTGCCCAGGTTAGGATATTTTTCGTACAAAAAAGGAAACCTAAAATTTTCGGATTCAAAAATGTGGAGAGGGGAATCAGAAAAATTCTCCCTTATACAATATGTTAGATTGCATCTGAAATTTTTGGGAAAATAATACTGAACCCCTTGTAATTTCAAAAAGACTCAAGTTCCCTTAGGATGACCGAACAGGTACAAGTTTTATAGCGCCACTTAGAAAATTATGTATATTTTATAGAGATCTAAAAGTACTCTGGATAGCCTAAAAAGTGTTTTCAATGACACACTATTTAGGAGAAAAGCATTGTTGGGTGCCCCTGGTACATTGTGTGTACATGTACCGGTCCTGTAACCTTGATCAAATCAAGCACAATTAAGAATTTCATGATTTATAAATGCATCAGAGAAATAAATGATGACTTTGATTAAATGAATGTTAAAGTTTTAGAAATTTCAGCTGTAGTGAGTGTATTCAGTTGGCTATTAACACATTGTGACCAGCAGGATGAGTGATTGATTCCAAATTGATTGTCTCATGACCACTAAATAGATCTTTCTCTTTGCTTGCAGGTTGGTGCACGTAGTCTAGAAACTGCTGTGTGGGGAGCATTTTATAACGTTAAGATAAATTTAAAGGACATCACTGATGACATTTTTAGTAAGCAGGTTAGTAGCTATTAAATCACTTATCATTACAATAATATGGTCATTTAGTCTGTTCTACATGTCTGGAGGCATACTAGCCAATTTTCATGAAGGTGTGTGTTCTTTCAAGTACATACCGTATTTATTCGAATAAGCGCCCAACCTCGAATAAGCGCCCACCCCCTCCTCCTCCCAATCAAACTCAAATAAGCGTTGACCCCCACCCCACCCACTTGAGTGAATAAATTCTAATAAGAGACTTCCTCGAGGACGGAGTTTTCTTCAGAGTATTTTATAGAAACCTTGCTTTGTTACTTCTTCGCGTTTTGTTAGTGGCATTTATTGTTTTGTTGCAAAATAAACATACTTCACTCGTTGAAAATGGTGAAAATTTAATAAGCGCCCAGCCTCGAACAAGCGCCCACCTTGAATAAGCGCCCACTCTTGAGGTCCAAAAATTTAATAAGCGCCCAGGCGGTTAATCGAGTAAATACGGTAGATTAGGGTCACTTTCACTCGGGGAACCTTGCTATTTTTGCAGGTATTAGAAGAAGCGGAGACATCTTTGGAAACGGCACAAGAAAAATGTAAAGAAATCCTTAACATTCTAGAGGAACGGAATTCATAGTTTGTAGTCTTCAGATGAAATCTGGAAGTGTGGGACATGTGACTTCATATGTGCAATGCAGAACCTAAACGAAACTTTTGGTAGTTGTAAGTTATTTCTTTGGGTAAGACCCAGTTGGGCCATTTAAAGGAAAGCTCTAGCAGTCCTTTAATGGTGTGGCATCTGAGACTGAGCACTGCACGTGGGGTGTGGCCCATGCTCTAATGGTGTGGCATACAAGATGACCTTTTGTCATGTACTATAATTGAGCAAGATGAGATGATGCTTGATATATCAAGTCAATATATGCCCTATTGAGTCGTTCTGTTGTGTAAAGTTAATTGTGTTATTGTGCAAGGGCTAGGGAACCTCGTTGTGTTCTTAATGACTTTCTATTCACTTGGTATATCGTGCACCAGCAGCAAGGTGCATGAGGACTAGAAACAATGGATTGAGGTTATAGAAATTTCATAGTTTTTTTGTTGCAGGCTGTGTCCAAGCGAGGGAAATTTTTTATGGAAGAAATATGTGCAAGTCACAATAAATGGGTTGACAGAAGATGTTTTATTTACTGAGAACAGAACACAAAAGCACAGCAAGGCTAAGGTGGATGAAATTACCCTTTCAATTCTAAATAGTGGCCAAACAAAAAATTGTAAAGAAATAGTTTCAAATAAATAGTACTATGCAAACGTTCTGCCAAAGAGGTCTTATTTAAATGGTAACACCATAGGATTTCATCCACATATTTAAAAGTTTAAGAGTGACAAAAAATCAAGCCATTTTAATATCAGGTTCAATATGATGTAAGAGACAAAGTAATGATTTTGAGCATGTGAATAAAGTCTTTCTTAATTAACTTATTGCAGTTTGTTAACTTTTTTCCTTTTCCTTTTTCTTGTAAGGGATTTGCCTTGTAAGTGGGTTGGGGTCTTCATTAATACCAGTGATAGCACTAGATGGCACAGGAGCGACAGGTAGAGGGCCAACGGTGGACTAGCTAGCTGCTGACTTGATATTTACATTTTTTGCCAATGAACAGTCCAAGGAACTTCAATGAAACATACATAAACAGAACATCAATCACAGCTGTACACAGAGTTTATTTAAAACTGTCAATCATGACTCCATGTTACATGCAGTTGCAAATTTTTTGTTTGTCTCTGGCTGGTCTCACCAGTCTACAGTTTTAGAGAGCACTTAATTTCAACTCATTTTTTGGGGCAAATTACAACTGGGACATGAGAATGATGAAGAACATAGTCGCTGACACTTCCTACAAAGGTGCGTCGAACAGCACCCATCCCTCGGCTTCCCATCACCACAAGGTCAACATCACACTCTTTAATCACACAACAAATGGCCTCGCCAGGTTTACCACCATGGAGTTTAACCTCAATATCCACCTGAAAAACAAACATGACCTTGCTTTTAATGACAGTCTATCAACAGTCACTGGAATTAGTGCTATGAAATTAAATTTACACACAATCTGTTGGGTTGCAAACCATTTTCAGTAAATTATTTGGGTAAGTTCCCAACACTATTACAATCGCTATTGAACCTCCTTTTTGTTGCCTTATTCTAGCACTGTCTTGTAAACATAAGTCTATGGCCTTTTTTTTCAGATTTTTCTGAAATGCTGAGGTGAGGAACTTGAAACTACCCAAGACACCTTTCGGGGTTTCGCTTTTTTCTGACAACCTTTCTCAAAATAGCTGTATGAATAAGAAATATTTTGTTTGATTGACACTAGACTTCATGACATGCAGACACACTGTGAGACCCTTGACATTCAACACAAACTATATTGAAACAGCTCCATAATTCTACTTGAATTGAACTGTGAAATCATTTAAAACCTGTTTCCACATAATTGGCACATTTTCTGCTTCTAAATAACCATTATGGATAAATCTTACCCCTGCATCAGTCAACTTCTTCTTGTATTTCTCCTCAAGCTGTTTCACTTTCTCAGTATGGTTTTTTATATGTTGGTCCCAGTCTTCTTTAGTGACAGTTTCTGTTCAGATTCAAAGACATGGAGATAAAACGTGGTTTAGATTTTACCCTGAGGGCCTCTCAATAGCCTATTGCATACAGTATAACATAAGGATGAAACTGAAAGAGGATAAATTAATTCATTAACCCTTTTGCCCTGTAACCACCCATGTAAATCCATGTCCCTTGCAAGCACCTGAGAAACTTTCCAACTCTTCCTTAAGGACAACTTTGTTATCTTATGTCTGTGCAGAGGAAAGAGATCTTTCAATACATGCCAGAACGAGCAGGATTCAGTCAGGGAGACTGGAGAAAAACACGAAAAACCATGAGAAGTTGACCCGAAAATTCCAATGAAAATCTTGTAAGGAAGGCCTAACTACTGAAATTACCACCAAAAGTTGTTTGGCCCCTTAGTAATATATAGTGTGAAATCACTAGTGAGGACAGGTGAGTCTCAGTGCCCCCAGGAATACATACCAAAAGCAGGGCTCGAAAAAAGACCTGTCCTGGCAGTCTGGGACAACTAGATCTTTTTGCTGGGCAAGTAACTATTAAAAATGACTTGCCGCCTAATGGCCAAGGATCAAGTCAAGTCATCCTCAAACAATCAACAACTACAATGAGAAAGAAGTGGCCAGGGGCAACAAAAACATGAGAGTTGCTTGCCCAAAGGACAAAATGAAATTCAAGTTTTTTTCCGAACCCTGACAATAGGTTATGCCTGGTAAGTTTCACCATAGTTCTGTACGTTAACGGCTAGTTAGTCATCCCGAAGAAGATCACTGAATGTGATCGAAATATAGGTGGATTGAAAGGAAACTGTTTTCTGTCTTCATTTGTGATTAAGATATATATATATATATAATATAGTAATATAATGAATTGAAGATTTCATCAGCTATTAAAGTGCTCAATAGGTAAACTAGAGCGATGTGTAGATTTGCAGAGTTGGATTATATATATATATATATATAGGAAGTCTGTGTATCGATTTTTCCGTAGTAGAGTGCTCGATACGTATATATATATATATATAGTTCTACCATAAATGTGTTGTACAAATGTACAGTAATTAACACTTTTTGTCAGTTTTTGTGGTTCTTCCCTTGGAAACAGTTTTACTTCGGAAACACATGTAAAGAAGCCCCCAAAAAGGATCCCAGTAAGACCTCAAACACCAAATTCAACGACTAAATTCAAAATGCTGAAATAAGATGCAGCAAGACTGCAGCTATATGAGACAAAACTTACCAGTGGAGAGCATGTGAGGCATCTCAGTAACATGTATCACAAACACCTTGTCGTTATCATGTTTCATGTTACTTAGGTACCCTGTACAAAAAGGACAAAATAAGAACTTTCCTACAATTTATTACAAGTGAATCGTGGATCACATGTGCCAAATTTAAGAATAATCAGAAAAATCTATAATCATTCTTGCTCATCTGCACTAGATTTGGCACATGTGAAATGGAAATTGAAACAGACCTTAAATACTGCTTCTTTGATGCCTGGACTGTTAGTAACCCTTGATCAGGATCAGTTTGTAAATTTAGGAGTCTAGGCTTTTATGAATACCGGAATAATCAAGGTTGTGGTAAGTGTTTTCCTTTTTTTTTTTTCAGAGATGCCAACCTCCAAAATCTGGAGACTCTTTATTTTGCACTACAGCTCTACCCCCCCCCCCCCTGAATGTCAACAGCCCTACAAAACCCCCCTGCCCGCAAATTGACCCAGCTGCAATGGCTTAGGACATTATATGGAGTCTTGCATGAAGTACAGGCTATCAAAATTTGCTTTCATCTTTGTCAGTGACTAAATACATGCAAAAATGTCCCAGAAACTGTACAATGAATAAAAAAAGTTTGAATTTTGAGAGAAGAAATGGGCTAAATAATTTAAACTAAAGCACAGAAAAGCTCAAAACCCCATTTTATCTGGGAGATTTTGTGTCCCTTACAGGAGAGCAGGAGATCAGTGCTGTATCCGGGAGAGTTGGCATATATGCTTTCTTGGGATGAAAGTGGGGGAGGAAAGAGGAACATGGGATGCTTTGGCACAAGAGGAAAAAATCTGCCACACAAGATAAAAAATCTCCTGCCCAGAATTTGGCAAGTCTGATAGTGTTCTTCAAAAACATGGAACATATGGCTAACAGCAAACTGTTCAGTCTCCAACACTCCCAAAATTATGACCTCACTGAGTGGCACACCCCTAAATGAAGAGGTTTGCCCTCCTCCCCTCATTTGTTTTTTAAAGTAGAAACTACTGTACAAGTTGCTCAGCATGGCAAAATACTAGTTACATCTGCAAAAGTCACCTCCAAGAAAAGAGACAGAGATTTTAATTCGATGATCAAAACACGACACTGCCGTGCTCACGTAAAAGTCACTCTCCTTGTCATGTGATCGGAAGATCTCCTAAACGACACGGGAGGCGACACAGGAATTTATAGTTAATTTATGCAACAGTGGTAATATTAAATTAAATTAACAGGCTATCTTTTTGCATCCCATTGGAAAAGCGCTTATTCCAGGCCATTCATATTTTACAGCTTGGGAAGCCAATTAAGACGCTTTATAAGTGAAGAAAAAAAGGCAACATGATCTCCTACAGCCAAACTCCATCATGCACGAGCAAAGCATAAACCTTACACACGTATTAAAGTACGCAATAGCTATAGATAGCTTCTTTGTGTGCTAGTCAGAGGCATTAGTTCCTTTACGATCAATGAAAGTTTCACTTAAAAAATATATATATATATCGCATTTAAACAGGCAAAGACGATGAGAAGAAATTGTCATAAAGAGTACCACCTAGGGTGTTATTCAATCTTGCTAGAAGTACAACAAACATTCAACTTACAAAACCCTCCATCATAAAAAAAATTGACTAGGGCCGGGTTTAAATAATCAAACACGAAAATATAATATAAACTAATACTTACAGTCACAAGCTTGCTCGCTGTGAGCACTTTCATCGACGGGAAGAGCAACTTTTCTTACCGCCATCGCGTGCAGATCCTGTACAAGTGCAAAGAGTGTGAAGGGCAGTGCACGTAACCGTTGATCGCGCGCAGTGCATGATGCTGGTCACGCATCACAGATGTCTCATGTGACCCGGACGTAACGAAACCGCAAAAAGGAACCCAAGGCTTGCCTCTGATTATATAACCCCCGTTTTTTTTTTTTTTGGCGGGGGGGGGCTCCCTTATGAAAGGTACATACGGGAACGGGGAAGCTTGTTGGAAAATTAGAATCAAACCCTTCAAAGAGACCAATCTTGGCGTAGCTCATGCTTTACTGATTTGAACTGTAAGGGAGACTACACTTAAAAAAGGAAGCGATATAAGGCCACATCCCCATTGCATTTGATTTCTAAAAAATGGTGTATTTGATTGGTTTTATTTGGAAGTAAGAACATAGCCTGAGTATCAGGCATTTCTTTGGGAAACGGGAAAGAGAGAAGCCAAAAGGGGGATACAGCAAAGAGAGAAAAACCCTGACCCTAACCTTCCTTCTCCTCCCTCCATCCTCTAAAATCTCCTCTCCCCTATCCCCCTTAAGTATCAAGGTTGTTGTTTATATATAACAATACATTTACAACCCCTCAGGAAGACCTGATACTTAGTCTAGTAAGAACACAAACTTCAAGTCACTATACCCCCTATTCCCGCAGGTCTATTCCCGGGGACTATTAAACCATTTGCTTTACTCTAGAATGTCTAGGATAAAAACATGCCACAATATCTAACCTTTCTTTTTACAATAAGCTGTGAAAGAAACGCCGCATTAACTCGCCTAAGAGGAAGTAAACCTGAATGCTAAAAATGTTTGATTTTGTACAGGGGAGCACAAACGTGGGTGGACCTAGGGGTATAAAAATTTCGAAGAAATATTCATGAAACCACAAATATAATTTTTACAAAAACATTAATTTTATTGACACTGGTTACTTCAACACCAACACCAAAACGAGTTAGTAAGACACAGTAACTAAATCACCACAATGTAAAACTAGTGGAGTGCAAAGTTCTTTGGTCACATGTTCCAAGTAGATTCCAAAAGGCATCTAGAAAGGAAAGAAACAATGACCTCCTTGTTAAACGATATTGCCAATATGTACAGCTAATACACTAATCAAATCAGAAATGTTCAGATCCATAATAATCTTGTGAGGACAATCAAGATCCATTCACTAGGACAGCGTCCCTGCCTGCAGCCTCTTTTTCCTAAATATATATTCTAACAAGTAGACCAGTAGGTGAACTACTCAAATCTTGAGTGCATGGGTGTTTAATACAAGCCTGTTTCGTAGACCACCGAAAAGGTGACCCACTCTTCAGTTAAACTCCATTATAACACTGAAGCGTCAGGGTCTACATCAAGAAAAGTGATCGCGTGATAAAAACGGTTACATATAACGTTTGAAATTTAAATTTTTAAACATATTCTAACAAGTATGTATATCACAGAAAAAAAGACACTGCTAGCAGCCAACAAGAGTGATCTTTACAGAGTTAGAATCAATAGCACCTTGAATGTGTAAAACACACCTTCCAGGCCATTTTGTCCAAAATATAGGTCACTGTCGAGTGTTGGAAGGAAGAAATACATATATGCACCGTACTTAGCGATTTTAACACTTACTCGTGACCCTCGCAGCTTGCCAAGAGCCTTTAGTGGCTGAGCACTTTTTAATCCTGTTTCTTGATCAATGCAAACCATTTGACAACGGTTACATTTTCCCTGACTCTGTGAGTTGAAAAGACAGGGTAACTTTTAGATGTCATGACTGTTATACAAGCAACCAACAATTCAGTAACCGGTAAATATATGTTCATGCAGCAGGTGCAAAACACAGTCCTTTTTGGAAAATTAAGGTGATTTGTTTCCATAAAAGATAGTTATTACAAAATACAACAAACTACCATTAGTTATACCAGCATGATAACCCTTACAGGATATTATGAGAACACAAAAGAAGCTTTCAAATAAGGAATTGAGTCACTGGACCGTGTTCAGCAAGTCTGTCTAATCAACCAGTATTTTGATGTTGCACACTACTCATAGGGCCATTTATATGAGAGAACCACTTTACAGTGGCTCTAATAAAGTTTAACAGGTTTTGAATAAAGAAACTACTATGAAATACCGGCCATTTATTGAAACAAAGAAATTTCTAACATGAAACAGAGCAATGAGAAAATGAAATGACAACTTACCTTGAAAGACAAATCACCGATTTTAATCATTTTCCACTCATCTTCTCTGAAAGGTTCTTGTCCATTAACAACCAAGTTGGCTCTGAATCTGTCAATAAAACTGTCCACTTGATTTATCTTATCCTCTACCTGTGAATAATTGAAAAAAAAAAACAGCTTAATGATGAAAGTCCTCAAAGTAAGTTACCATATTGCAAATAGGGTGGTCACTTTTGTGTTACAATATTATGTAGAGTTAATTTGAATATCTGAAAATTTAACCCAAAATAGTTGAGATTCTTTAAAGATCCACCTTCTCTTTATCATTGCTTGCATGCATGCAGCCATAAAGAGAAACAGATTTGGAGAAAGATCTGTTTAACAAATTACACAAACCCAACCACTCTTGTTCAAGTCTATCTGTATGCTACCTAATCTAACTTAGCAAGGAGCCCAGCAAAGACCATATTTTGTCGTCTAAATGGATATTGAGAGGCAAAGAACAGGGCTAAATGTTTAAAAATTCATGAAGATTGACTTACCAAAAGGAGATCCAAATTTGGTTCAACATTTGTCAGAAGTTCACTTATGCTAGATCTGGTTATCAGGAGAAATTGTGATTCATTTGCCAAGGAAAGAGAACTTCTTTCATTTTCCCCTTGCTTCACTTCAAGCGAAAAATAAAGAATACAGAAATAATTACATTAAGTTACTGATGCAATAAGCAGGTGATGGCACTGATGGACTGATGGGCGGACTATGCAAATCAAGCAATGTTCAATAAATATTGTTAGCTGACACCCAGGGGTCAAAACAATTGCAGGCACTGCTAAGTGGACGACAAGGACCTTTCCATGTTGTCTGATTCAACTTGAAAATTACGGGTCCAGGTACGAAAAATTTCTCTTGCAGGAAATAATATTACGGCACATACAGTGCAAATTTAGACAATCTATACAAAGTGAAAAATAGCATTATTAAAAAGCACTTTTAACAATGGCTTGGCTGTAAATGTTCCAAACCCTTAACATTTTTTGAGGAAATGACAAAAAAAAAAAAACAGCAGTCATCTGAACAGAGTAAATATATACCAGCGAATTTTTAATGTCCTAAAGCAATTTTTATGTTATCATTGCGTTGAAAAGGACGTTTTATCCATGTTGAAGTGCAACTCAGGCCAAAAAAGGGATTTTTATAAATTATACTATACCTCCTAATTTACAGGTACGGTTATCTTGCTTATGATGCTCAATCAGGCGACAGTTCCTTTTTAAAAATGTTGACATCCAGTGGGCAGCCTCTTCTCCACAGTCCAGAGCTGAAACCCTTAACATATTAATGAAAGACAATGAGATATTTACCATAGTTTTTATCATGCCTTTGTTCAATGTTATACTGTCTTATTCAACAATCAGTGGGTTTTTACATGTACCTATCTCCACAGACTTTGGTTTGACACAAAATGGCCTCGCGTCTCACCGTCTTATTCTCTGATGGTGAATGCAGTTGTAAAACCAGAGTCAACATTCCTGAAAAAACATATTAATAACTGCATTAAAACATGCCGTCATACCTGACCGATACAATACTGGTAATCACTGTATCCATTTAATTGTAGAAGGTACTTACATTATCCCATGAGAAGTAATTAATATCAATCATAATAATAACAGCAACAAAATATATACTATGTAGCAGATAAGTCCAAAAATTATTACAAAAACAAAAAAAAAATTAAAAGAATTAATCCGTAAAAAGCTTGCTTAAAAAGGTATATTTTAAAAGAGTTTTCAGAGAGTCTATTGCTTGTTTTATGGGATATCGTAAAGTTCATTGGTCCTTGGAACAGGATTCCATAACTACAAATCATGAATACTTTTGGTGTTTGTTGCATAAACATGTTCACAATATTTATCATGCTTCTCATAAACTATTCATACATGCAAGGCCAGAATTAAATTTTTTTCCAAAAAACGTTAATATTCTCATGTCTACAATGTTGTTTGTTGACACCATATTTGTAACATAAACTTTGAAATATTGCTGTACTCAGTAAACAAACTAGGAGATCAATACTCTAAAACCAGAAAAATTTAATATATTGATAAAGACTACTGGTATCTAATTTCTGTAATAATTGAGAATGCATTCCTAATCTACAAAAAAATGTTCATTGAATCTGCCCATAAGACCAAAATAAATTAGAAGCTTACCGGTTAAAAACTTTTAAACCAAAGAAAACTTTGAACTACATTAGGCCAGTATGTACCTGGTGCTGTTAGTGAAAGAACACCTTTGTTGAGATCCAGTGAAGGCTTTATGTGACAGAGCCGTGGTTCTCTTTTTTGAGTTAAACAAACCCCAGAATCAGTAACAATCATCCACTGGCGATCATAAACAAATCCTCGAGGACCAACCTCCCATTCACTGACCTAGAATATAAACAAAAAGGAGATGATGAACAGCAGGTTCAATCCATGTGCCAGCCAGTAATGATATCATTGCATTCTTTTCTATCCTTTCAGAGTTAGGGAACAAAATAAAAGTACTGCCTATCCAATAATATTTTTTTCACCCAATATTAAAGTTTACCACAATTCCAGCTACTACATGAAAATACTTCACTTCCAACACACTTTCAAACAGTCGTCATACACCCATTACCATACATGCATGAAGATGCGCTTAATTACCTGGAAGGCTGCACAAGACTTGATAGGGTAAAGGCAAATCTTTTCTAGTCTAAGGTTGGTGTTCCTGTCAATATGACAATCCTCAACTTGATTACCCATTACAGACGAGTGTCCCTGGTTCACAATAGAGATATAGGATAACTTATTCTGTTCCACGCCACTTGAAATGCTAGTTTTGTCAACCACAGTAAAGTCACTTGCTTTCTTTAGAGGTATTTCAGGGAGATTTCTATACTTCCCATCCTCAGAGCAGTTCTTTTCAAACATGTCATCACATAACTTGCCAGAATGACTAACCAATGCTGTATTGGTCACACTCAGCAGATGGCCGTTAGCATCAGCTACAGTGTTTGTACCACAGAAATAATATGTGTCATTTGTGCGTCTCTCCAGAAAACACTCTTCTAGGAAGTTTAAAAATGTTTGTGCATCAGTGAAGCTGGACATGTAGCCAAATGAGATTCTGACTGAACCAGTAGGTTTTCCTGCAATAAGATCTACATCATCACCACATACATGACCAGCAGAAAGGTTGTTCTTGATTTGTTCATTTGACAGAATAAGTAATTTCTGACAGGCTCCTGTGTTACAAAAACATCCAGTCCTCAGGTGAATATTGTACAAGCTTGCCATCTTTTCTACCTGAAAGGTATTACATTAAATGTAAAAATTATTATTGTATGTTTTTAGCAATTCAATCAATTTTCTCTAAAGTATCATGTGGTGTTCTAGAAAAACTGTAGTGAAGCCAAAAGCTCTAAAATTATGAAATCCAGTGTGCCCAGTAACAACATCTTGTGCTAAAACTAAAGTGAACAGTCCTAGCTTGTTGCAAGGCAAAAGTAAATAAGAAAGAAAACCAGTTTCTGTCTTTGAATTTTGATAACAAAGTTGACTGACAGTGCTTTGACAATTTTTGCTAAAAAAAATGTGAAACAAGTCTTGTCTTTATGATGTAAAGAAAACAGTTTTTCAGTACCTCACTATAGCCAACAAAGTCTCCATTTGCTCTCAATACATTGAAGTTTATGATTGGGCCTTGCTGAGATTTGTTTTTAAAATCAGTCTTGCAGTATATTTTGCACAAGGGGTTGCCAGAAGTATGCTTCATTGCAGACATTTTGTTATATGTGTATAAAGCAAGGCTGTGGGTATGATCCAAGACAGCATTCATAGATCCTATAAGCTGCTCATATACACTAAAAGCATGATGTAAAGCAATGATGTCCAGGTATGGAAGGGTCCCATCTTCAAATCTGAAATAAAAACATTCTTCAAATTAAGTAAGACTTCCAATGAAGAACTGTAAGTACCACTGAACCACTCAAAATGATCTAATCAAGGCTTAGAAAAAAAATTGAATTCCAGCGACACATTTTGCTTGCTCGGGGCCACTTCTTGCTTGTCTTTGTGAATGATTTGGTTAGAAGATGACTTTCTTAGACCCTTGCCCATTACTTACCCCGGATGAAAATCTACTTGGCCTGGGCGACCAGATGGGACTTTTTCGAGCATGTCTAATTTGGTGACTGCTTGAAAGAGTCACACAGGGGTCTCTTCTGGGGACAGATCTGAACACATCTAATCACTAAAAGATAATTTTATGCTTAATTTTCCTCAGTATGTGAAAAAAACATTTCTAACTTACACAAATCAGTAAGTTATTCTGCAGACTATGTCAGTAGAAAAATTGCAAAGTTGCCACATGATGTAATTTATGCATTAATCAAAAAACAGTACTCTGCATAACTCATTTATTGCCAGAAGTGTCAGATATTGACATAGAGTGAAAAGTTGGAGACTCAAATTAACTTAACAACATGAGTCTAACACTGACAATGATTTTTGCACTGCCATGTTCATATCATATTAACAGCTAACAATTCTGCCCATTATAGCTCTATTAACATGAAAAGCACTAATTCAAAATACTCACTTTTCAGATAGATTTGTCCTCAAGATATGAAACCTTTCACTTGAAATTGTAGCCTGCACTGTTCCTCCACCGTAATAACACTTCCTGAGGACATGTGAACTGTTGTTGCGTACAATGAGAGCACCCAATCCAGTTGGAAAACCAAAGATCTTATAAAATGAAACTGGAACAAAATCTGCAGGGCATGAATCCAAATCCAAAGGAGATGTGCTAACAAATGATGCTGCATCCAAAAGAACAAACCATTGACACAAAGGACTGCATTTACCAAATATCGATCCTTGCTGAGTTTGAGAAACCCATTCAAGAGGATACTTGGCACCTGAGAAATTGCACATTGCAGGAAAAGCAAACAGATTATAGCAGCAGCACTCATTCTGTTCTTCTGTAACACAGTCTTCAATGTTATTGTGGTGCAAGTTACACATTTTTAAATGCAGGTCTTGCTCGCCTCTAGTGATATCATTTTCACTAACACATATAATATTTGCTCCACTATTCACAGCTCTTTCTCTGATACCAACCACTGAGGTGTGATTTTCTTCAAGATAGCAAAAGCAACTTCTGTGTTGACAACCATGCTTGTCTATGCCTGCTTGCCAGTGAAAGCTCTCAGCTAGCAGTTTTAAGGCATCAGTAGCACCAGCAGTGAAAATCACACTGTGACTTTCTGCATTAGTATTAAAGTACCTTAAAATTCTACTGCGAACTTGTTCAACTATATCACCAGACAACTGACTGCTGGGGTTTCTACTGTGTGGATTTCCATAAACATTGTTAGTAAAGTCATCATACACACTTTTCATAACACTTTGTGGATATTGTGTTGCCCCAACATGATCCAGGTATGTAATTCCTGAGAAAAAAATAAAATCATTTTACATGAAAAATAACATAATTGGATGATGCTAACTCCCACTATAATCAGAGATGTTGTCTGCAATATGCATTAGTCAGCAAACTCTATCCTGACATGTACCTTGTGACCATATTGGTATAAAGACATTGGCCAAGATTTGAGACATTTGGTGGGGGGGAGCATTTATTTTATCACTACCCAGGAACCAGGAATTTACCTACCCAAGGAGGGGGAAAAGTACTTTATGCAAGTGTCAATAGGGAGCTTAAGCAGGATATAACGACGGCCACAGCTACGAAAACGTCACTTTCTGGAGTTGAATTTTAAGAGTGGATCGAAGTTCAGAAAAAGAAGAAGAAAGTTGTTGCCTTATGTATATGTTCACGTCCTCCACAAAACATGAAATTAGGCATTTAATAATTATTTTTCAAGTCCTAGGTGCAGTGATGGCAAAAAAATGTACAAAAATGTGTAATACATGTGCAAAGTTGTTGTTTTGCCAATCTAAACCTATTGCTTTTATGCCATTCTTGTTGACGTCGCCATTGTCATTGCTTAAGCTCCCTATTGTATTATGGTTTATATGTCTTCTACTCGGAGGCCGACCACCATTTCTGTGTTGTCATTTACGTCATGCAAAGGTCCAGTTGTTTGAATGTAGGACAAAGCCAGTACCTTCTTCTACAGTTATTTAACCCATTCGCTCCCGGAGATTTTGCTGAAAAACGCGTTTTGAAGCTAGTCGAGTGGTTTTCTGGTCACTGTCGTGCTATAAGGAGCTAAAACTTAAAAAAAAACTAAAACACAAACCGGTTTACAGGTCGTACACTTGGCGGCCTTCTGATCCAGATGCAAAATATGAGCTTGCGAAGTTCGGGCATGCGCATACTTTTCGCTTTCTCTCCACCCTTCTTTTTTCGCTTTTCTTGCCTGATTTTTTTTCTCTTGCTGGGCATTTAGTAGGCTTCATTTTGGTGGGAAGAGTTTTTGGGAAAGCTTTTAGGATCTTAGGATTAGGTGAAAGGAAAGGTAGGTGGGTAATGGAACAAGATTTTCATGGAGATTTTCAGGTCCTTGTCACGTGGTTTTTGGCTTCTTTCTCCGGTGTCCTTGACTGAATTGTGCTCATTCTGGTATGGTTTGAAAGATCTCTTCACTCTGCACAAGTTAGCGAAGAAAGTTGTCCTTGATCGTTAAAACTGATGACGTCACAAAGGGTAGAAAGGACCTGGATCCGCACGGGTGGTTACGGGCGGTTCAGGGGCGAATGGGTTAAAGATCCTAAGTAATGATCTGGTCTGGTGAATCAAACCCACAACACCTTACTCTGCAGGCCAGAGCCCAACCAACTGAACTCATCCTTCCACAGTTAAGCCTGCTGCAGGCCCAGTGAATTTGACATTCCACGTAGTGGTCAGAGAATTTAAAAAGGCTAGTGTTCAGGACTTTGAAGAAATGTTGATTGCTTTGCACTGTAACCTGGAAACGTAAACCTGGAAATTTCAGTGAAATTTCTAGTTTAATTATGAGTTCACAGCTAGTGCAGGTTTGGGGGATGCATGGGTTGCTGCCTGGGGGGTCATTTGTTTCAAGAATTTCATTACAGTTTACCATGAGCATTTTTTCAGTCGTCTGTGCGTTGGGAGTTGGGAATACGCTTTAAGATGAGAAAGCTAGCTGATACGGTGTACTGTAGCATCCCATTACGTAAGCTCGTTACGCTGCAAAATGGCGTTATTATGACCCAGAGCGGGAGAGCATTCTTCCAGTTTCTATCTATTAATCGATCGTTACCTTCGAGTCTATTAAACTCCTGTTTCCTGATTTTGTTTATTCGTCCTAAATATCCATACTGCTGTCCAAATGAGCCTAAAAACACAGCTTCTTCGCTCATGACTTTTGTACTTTTCACTGGACGAGTTGAGGACTGAATCGAGCCTTGGATACTTCTTTATGTAAGATTGCATAATGTGTACCTAAAATGGCGACCGCCAAGAGGGACATACGTCTTGTCAAAAGTCAAAGGGAAATTAAGAAGAAAATCGCATCTCCATTAGCAAAATATCCTTTGAAATAACAATTATATTAAACAATCATGGAAGCAACTTCAGAATAGTTGGTCATTCTGAAGTTTAGCTCCTGAAATATACTCGCTTAATTGAGATTATTAGGTTTGAATCATGGCAGTACAGTTTGTACTTGTCCCTTTCTTTACCTTAACTGTCCTCAGATACAATAGCGCTGGACAGCTCTTTTGCGTTTTGTGTAATGTACCTGTAAAGTCGGCAATCTTGTGGGATTCACATGTGCTTGGAAAAAAGCACAAAGAGGTAAATAATGGAGTTGAGATTATGTTTATTTTTATGCATGTTTATGTTTACAATACAATACAATACAATAACTTTATTTAAAGAGGGAAGCGCAATAACCTGTTACAGTTTTCTAACCTACGGCCCTCAAAAAAATAGATAAATAGATAAATAAAGTTAGAAGACTAAAAACAAATAAATTTATAAATGTATATATATACACAAAAGAGACAATATTATTTAAAGTAGAATAGGCTATAAGCACGTAATGAATAATATATAAATCGACGAAGGGGGGCAAAATATGTACTATAAATGAACATGTATACATATATACATAAATATAAATTATGTTTATTATGTTTATTATTGTGCACATTTACACACAACTGTTTATTAGCTCACTTGACAGGAGGTTAATAATTCAGCATGCTAATATGCTGATTGCATTGAGGAAAGAGCATTTACAGGATACAGAGCCATTTTTGAGGCATTTAGATTTGGCGGCAGTGAGATCTCCATACAACCACATACATTAAGTTATTATGCACAAAGCAACAGTTTTACAAATAGTTTTAAATGAATACAGTAGCAACATGTTTACATGGTAATGTATGAGGCTGTACAGAAATCTTACTTTGGTGGCTCGTTTGGCTCATCAGTGGATAAAAAGAATGCGAAAGGGATTATGTAGGCATTATTAAGTATTATGTTTTTGTATGTGTGTGTCATGTGTCTTAAGTTGTGGCTTCTTTAACTTGGCAGTGCAGTGAAGGAAAAGAATAGTGAAGAATATTGTTTGAGTGTTATGCATTGAGTGTAGTAAATTGTGGCTCATTTGATTTGGTAGTGGTGGAAATGAATGAGAAATAAGTTCTTTACATGATAGGTGTTTATTGGTACAGTAAATATAAAGCTTTTACTGGGCCAACTTACCTACTTTTATGGTCCTCCCAAGAATTTTGCCATCCTTTGACTCACATAAGAATTCTTTCAAAAAGTTAGCGTGCATGCTAGCAATCCAATTTAAAAATGATCTGGACCAGAACATATGACACAAACCATCCTGGCCTCTTTAACGTCACTGCCCAGTGATTTAAAGGTGACAATAAACATTTACCATCTCTTGCAGAACCTGACAGTTTTTAAAAGGAAATCAAATAAAAGTCAGTCAGCCACAAATGACAGACAACTCCAAGAAGTAAGTTTACTTAGTGTGATGTAATGTTCAAATTTAATGAGAACAGCATAGTTTCACTACAAACAAACCTTCTTATCAAATTGAAAGGTTTGTAAAGGATTGTGGAGACTGAGTTAATGTGTTAACATTTGTATATTGTGTGATAAATTTATAGTATTTATTTTAGGAATTTTTTCCTGGGAAGTAAGGTTGCATTCAGGATGAAAATTCTTATTACAATGTAGATAACCTACACCTTTCACCTATTTATTATTTTTTTTCATGATATAAATTTTAATTTCCAACAGTTTTTCAGCATAAAAGTGCCTTCAAAACAGAACATAGCTTTGTAAAGATAAAGAACTTTGCTGGTCAAGTGGCTAATTTTTCGTATTTTGTTTTCAATGTCCATATTAAATCTAATCAGATTAATCACTCATTGAAACTGACTTTTTCCAACCAGAAAATAACAACTGTAAAAGATGGTTTGTCAAATGCTAGGCCAATGCTTAAGAGAACAAGTCAGGATGAGGTAAGCTGAACTGTAACCTGTCTGCAGAGCTATAAAGCTTCCTTGTCAAGGCACTTGGTAAATTTTTTTTTTTTTTAATGACAGATGGAAACAGTTCAAAATACACCTGAAAAAAAGTTAAAAGGTAAGCATATGACATCAGCAAAACCTGGATCAAATGAACTGCAACCCTATTCCTAACCTGGACCTGTTTCTCAAAATCCCGGTAATGTTTTGGGCTCAAAATCAAATATTCAAATCAAAATCTATAGAATATAAAGCATAGGCGCTGCCTAACATGCCAGTCCATTTTGTTTTGTTTAGTGACAGTTTTGTCATGTTACCTGCAAAACTATTGAAACCTCTACCTTGAATGTAAACAAAAAACAGCTGTTTTTTAGGTTAAGCTAATCATACCTGCTTTTATTTCAAAGGTCCACTTTTTGTAAATGAATGCTTTGTATGTGCAGCCCTGTGTGTACCATTAAATTTCTTGTGTTTATTTTTGTTCTATAGTCGAATCTGAGGAAAACACAGACAGGTAATTACCAATACATAAATCCAAGTTTTGTTTTCCTTATTTCATGTCTTACAATGTAAATGCTAATTGAAGGATTTGCCCTGGTTATTAATAAAGAGACAAGACCCAGTCCACATTAGTTTTTTTATTGACAGGACAGGTGGTTTTTTGTGACAATTCAAATCAAGCAAAATTTAAGAATAAAATTTTTTTGGTGAACTAAAAGGTCATGTAACTGTCGCTAAATTGTAGAAATTCCTTCGTCTCACATTTCTCTTCCATTTTTTTTTTCAAACTTTGTTTTTACATCTTAAAATTTTTTATTTGATATATTTATATAGTATTATGTTATTGTAAATTTGTGTTTAAAATCTTTTTGATAGCCACAAGTTATAGAGCCTATGGCTATTTAGTGCTACCCTTGTTAAGTCTTTAGTTACTTACTATTTTAATACTAATAACAGTAATGATGTTATTAAATTATTAATCACAACAATCTTGTTTGTCATAATATCAAAAGATTGAAAATGAAAGATGATGATGAAGTGAATAGTCCTGACACCAGTATAACAAATACACCTTCTAATTTACCATCAGGTGAGTTTTCATCGAGCAAAGAAAGTCATGTCTGATAGCCCGGGTCGAGTGGATTTTGCTATTGGGCTAGTGACCCGGGGGGGCACTTTAGGAATTTCTGGGTGGGGATGTGCCGCTGGGACCCTGGAACCCTTGACCTATACCAGAGCTAGTTCAGCTGAATTTTGCTACCCTATACTAGACTAAACTCCCAAAATCCCCCTATCCTAGAGTAGCTGTTTCCCCAGTCTAGATAAAATCTTCAACCAACTGATCAGTTTCCTGAAAAATGATACCCTATTCTATACCCAAACACTGTGATTTATATACCCTATCCTAGAGTAAACTGCTTGAAAACCATACCCTTCACAGTGGCACATACCCATATAGCCCATATATGGCAGTACCCCCGGGCTAGTGATTTTTGTTCTTAACTTGCCTGATGGGCAAGTGCTTGTTTTTTTCTGGAAATTCAAATTACAGAAGGATTGTAATCAATCCTGCCAATCAAAAAGGGTATTGGGACTAGTTGAAATGACTTGTGGGCTAGTACATGCAAGCTACAGCTTGCCCCGAATGGCAGGCTGTAAAACTGACTTTCTTTGCACCCTGGTTTTGTCAAAGATGTATGAAAATTAATAGAGCTAGGATTATTATTACAGTATATTTAACAATTATTCCACAAGTGCATGTTGGATATGAGTTGGCTATAATCATCTCATATCCAACAAGCATTATATAGTTTTATTAAAAACACCCTCAAAATATTGAGAATTCTTCCCGACTTTATTTGTAAGAACAACCGATTTTCAGCTTTCAGCAGACGCATACAGTTACCATATTTTTATTATTTGGAGGGCAGGTATAATGGCTCATATGCCATGATGGCTAAGCCAGTCAGAGCTCTAGAATTGCATTATCCAATGATTCAGTTTTTAATAAATTGCATAATTTTTTTTCTTATTTACAGACTTCTTTGATTCTCCACAACAGAGTGAACAAACTGAACAAACACCAGACCCTGGGTATTTTAGTTTCTTACTTTGTTATGTATCTCAGCATGGCTACTCAAACATCATAAGAAAATGATGAAAACCATTTTGACATTTTGATGAAACTCTTACATGTATACTCTCTTGTCAGAACTGCATTAGCTAAGAAACATTTACAAGACTATTGTGGCACTTTTTTTCTGAGATGCAGTAAAAAGATTTGAAAAACTTATGTAGCCATATAATAGCGTAGTTACTAAAACAAGGAATGACCTACAATGATCTACAATGGCCTACAATGGCCTACAATGATCTACAATGGCCTACAATGATCTACAATGACCTACAATGGATCTACAATGACCTACAATGATCTACAATGACCTACAATGATCTACAATGAGCTACTATGAGCTGCTAGGAGCTAAAATGAGTTAAAATAAGCCCTACAATGAGCTACAAAATGACAGACAATGATGTTAAGCTACGTTTGTCGTGTGTCACGCTTGGACGTGACACTAGGCTCATGGTATTAAATTGCCAAGCACATTTTGAAAAGGCAAAACAAAAATAAAGCCTGATCTCAGGTAACTTGAGAAACTTGAAAATAAATTATTGCAATCGCGTTTTTACCTGTAACACTATTATACCCTGTATTGGTGGAAGTCATCCTGCGCCTGCGTGAATCCTGTATTGTCACAGTACTGTGACTTTTGTCCAAACCATCCCTTGCAACCTTTCCCGTTAGTTGTGTTTTGTGTTGTCTTTTTCTTTTCAAACAAATTAAACAGTACTGTGACAATACACTGGATTCACGCAGGCGCAGGATGACTTCCATCGATACGGGGTATAATAGTGTTACCGGTAAAAACACGATTGCAATAATTTATGTTCAAGTTTCTCAAGTTACCTGAGATCAGGCTTTATTTTTGTTTTGCCTTTTCAAAATGTGCTTGGCAATTTAATACCATGAGCTTAGTGTCACGTCCAAGCGTGACACACTACAAACATCATTGTCTGTCATTTTGTAACTCATTGTAGGGCTTATTTTAACTCATTTTATACTTATTTTAGCTCCTAGCAGCTCATAGTAGCTCATTGTAGGCCATTGTAGATCATTGTAGATCATTGTAGGTCATTGTAGGTCATTGTAGGTCATTGTAGGTCATTGTAGATCATTGTAGGTCATTCCTTGTTTTAGTAACTACGCATATAATAGATAATATTTAAGGAAGATCAGAGGGTGATAGGCAACACATTAGCTAATTTTTCCTTTTTTTATTTGCTTCCTCTACATGACAGAGATTCCACAGAAGGTATTCCAGAGGGGTTTTTTGATGATCCAAAGTTAGATGCCAAGGTTAGTTAAATTAATGTTTGTATTTTATTGTAAATTATGATTATTTGTTACCTGCTTAACTGCATGCATCACTGGCGATTTAGAATACTTTTTCAAGAAAAGTTTTGTTTAAAAAATTGCATTCTTACCATTAACTTTTTACCTAAAGGTTCGGAAAGTTGAGTACAGAGATCCTGCAGAGGAAGAGTGGGAAAAGTTTCAGAAAGCAATGCAAGTAGAGGCTCAGGTATAAATATGTGAAATAATAAGCTACAAACATGTAGAGTAAACAAACAAAATAATTAGTTCTGCTTTGTCACAATGAATTGAGCATGCCTTATGCATCAGTGTGTTCTACTTTTTTTTCGAGGCACTAGTGATTTAATTTGATTAAATTTTAATCCTAGTCCTTTGGACTTGAGTTATTAGACAAGTATTATAATTTTAATATTAACCCAGCAAATTTGTTTGCTGGTTCACAATGGTTCCACTACCACCCTTTGCATCATCTTATCTTTCAGTTTGTACTCTGGGAGTTGTCAGTTTAGTAGGCTGTATTCCACTGTCCAGCCCAAGTATGCACCCACAGACATGTGTAAGATTTCTGTTAAGAAGCTCCCTAAATATTCAAAAAGGCGTCTATAGCATTATGTGACAAAGATTTGCAGTGTTTATATTTTACTGTTAGTTAAATTTAAAGGCTGGAAACAGTATTGAACTACCTTAGCTGAGGATGCTTTTTGGTAGGTGTCACAGTCCATAGTAGAAGAAGAAGATGAAGAATCTAGAGTGGATAGAGAATTCTCAGAACTCAGTGAGCAAAGGTAATTTTGTTTCATTTCTACCTTTATTTGAGAACATCAGTCTTCCTTTTTAATGAGTATGCTTTGTTTGGTATAGTAGACATTTTATTTCCAACACCCAAGTTTTGAATAAACTGTTAGAAGGTTTGCTTTAACAATTTTCCTGTTTCATATTGAGTAAAACTATGTAAACCCTATAAGCATACATTTATTATGAGTTGTTGTTCAGTTTGAAACTCTTATACCTAAGCAAGACTCTCAAAATATTATTATGCTTTAAATTTTTCTTCATTCCTACCAGACTGTACTATTTACGAGCCGATTCTTTGCGAGATAAACAAGGTATTATTCAAGAAAAAGTGTCTAAAACCAAAAGTCTTCAGAAACAATCACAAGACGAAAACAGCAGTAGCAGCGATGATAATGACTTTGAAGAATTTTTTGATTGGAGAGCAAAGAAGGTGTCATGATGTAGGCATGGTCCAGTGCAGCTTGAGTGTGAGCATGTGTAGGATCTTATCCTTTGAAAGACTCTTTAACCTGCTGCTTATCCCAGCAAATTGCTGTTGCTCAGAAATATCATGGTGGTTCCACATTAATACACTTTTGCAGTTTGCTAAAAAATTGTTAGAGGGCCAGTCCAATAAATACAGAGGAAGCGTCTTCAACCTCGTGTATGGCATTTAAAATATGGGATTTGATGAACAGTGAAGTTGAACAAGCTGGAGAACTTTAGTAAAACAGCTGTAAAACTGAAATGAATGTCATCCAATCAAATGGGTGCTTATAGCCTTAATGAAACTAAAAGTAAACACTAATTTTTGGCAAGAATTTCATTTTCATCATGTTGCTTTTGATTATCCCAGCATTTGCTATAATTATACCAGGCCCCAGTTGTTCAAAAGGATGCCATATCCACTGGACAAATCTCCCTGATTCTTATCAGCTGGATAGTGATTTATCCGCTGGATTGCGCTATCAAATGTTTGAACAATTAGATACTACATATTTTATAGAGAACTTTTGAGAAATGATACAAATTTCACAGAAAAATGGGTATGTCCCTCGGAGCACCCATAAATCCGCCCTTGAAAAAATTGTAGCCTGCGCAGTTGGCATTTTCACATGGGTGCTCAAACTAAGCCTGCAATGTGTTTGAAATAAATAAGCTTCCAAGGGGCTTAATAGAGGACTATCAGTACGTCAATCAATCGAACAACCCCACAATAAAATGGCACCATAAAGTTTTCTTACCCAACGAAAATCCTTTAAACCTTTGAGGAATTTTAAACCTAGTGTTCTTTCTCTTGGAATGTAAGAATTGAAGTCACATATCATCAAATTGGTGGACTTGAATAAAATACACTTGATTGCCTTCGATTTTATGTTCTATTTGATATTTGACTTCCTTTCAAAGATTTGATTTGTTCAAATTCTTTTCGAATGTTTGAATTGTTGCACATCTTGTGACACAGTAAAAATCAATTCAATTTCACAAGGGTACAAATAATTATTAACAATTATTCCTCAAGCCCAAATGGGCTCTGACTCAATAGCCCATGAGGGCGAAGGCTGAATGGGCTCTTGACTCAGAGGCCATGAGGGCGAGAGGAATAATAATTATTGTTTTAGTAAAATCCAACTAGTTGGTCAAAAATGTGGAGACAAAACAACTTAAGCTAGCAAAATGCAATTCACCCACCATTGTTTTGGTTTTCAAAGCCGCCTCTTTTCGCTACTAGTGGGCTATAACATATAGCCTAGTAGCAGCTCAACCAATCAGAATGCAGCATTGATAATAGACCACTAGTTGGATTTTACTAATACAAGTTATTATGGTTATCTGATTCAGTTGATTTATTATTGCTGGCCCCAGGAGCATTTGGGTACTAGGTTTAAATCTTTTAATTTCCCCTCCAGGGGGAGTGAACGGCTTGGTGGCCAAGTGGTATGGTGTTGGTCTTGTATAGTAACAAGATAGTTACAATGGAAGAAGAATGCATGGCTTAGTGGCCAAGTGTTAAGGCGTTTGTCTCGTACAGTTATATTGCTGTTACCATGGTGATGTCGTCTATAGGAGCCGGGCCCTTTGGCTGTTACAGTTACATATACACCTGTTTCAATAAAGGTTGCTTTGGGAATCATTGTTTGGTGGTCACTCAAGCAAAGCATTGCATTGTATTCTGTGTTTCAATGACCAAATCCCAAAGCAACCTTTATTGAAATAGGTGTATGCCCATTTGTGGTGTACTGAACAATATTATAATATATTGTAAAGCCAGTCTGGTCAAACAAGTACAGAGGAAGCAAGTTCAACATGTTGCATTCACTTACTTTCACATAGACCACAATGCACTTTATTTACCCCCCCCAACCCCACTTTCCAGAATTTTGCATAACCATTGTTTCTAAATTCTCCTGGGTATTACAGTCGTCCCAAGAGAAATCCAAGACAATGGCTATCCAAAGTTTTTGGGGTAAACAAGGTACATTATGGTCTATGTAAAAATGGTGAATGCAATGAAATGTACCTATTTATGAGTCGGAGAAGAACACAGGTTGGAGTCAAACAAGCTTGGCCAATGGGAACACACTAAACTTTAGGTGGATGTCGTCCAAGCAAAATAATAAAACACTGATATGTGACAAAACAACATTTTTCCACATTTTTTAAATTTCCCAGTCTTTTCCAAGTGTAAGCTTTTTGTTTGTTTCATAGTAGCGGGCGCCAAAGTTTTTTTTTCCGCGTGTTCCCCTCGCGCGGCCTGTAAAAAATTAATAACCTGTTTGTTTCACCAAGATGTATATAATTTTTTAGGTGACGTCAACAGCGAGTTATAGGGTATCAATAAAACCTGTGCAAAACAAGAGCACAAAGACCCCACATTTTCCTAATCTACATCAAACTTTCATACATTCTATAGACTGCTTCTAATTCTCAGGCGTATTTCCGGTCGTTGCTCTAAGTAGCTTTTCGGGTGGAGAGAAGCGACGAATGGAAATACGTCTTCGTTCGCAGGCTACAATCACTAAGTGCTGACTTCCCTGATTGCCTACACAGGCATTCTTCGACGAAATAGCCTGCGTGAGCAGCCGAAGGATCGTCTGCCTACGTAGTCAAAACCGGAAATGGCTTCCAATATTGAGGCTGGTCACGCAATCCTTCCTGCAAAAAAAGAGACCACAAACTTTCAAACCACGAAAAAGTCCTTTACTTCGCTTATGATTTCAAGCCAATGTCCTTTCACTTAATAAAGCTAGAAAAGATCCCACAAATTATCATATCCTCTGTATATGTAGGCTTAATTAATGAATTCGATTGGTTCGGTTTGTAACGTTTGATTTAGTGAAAAATATCGCATATCTTTATACTAGGCAGAATTTGTTTAGGTTTATAGGAGGACAATCTATATAAATAAATCCTTTCATGGGCTACTAGTCCTTTGTTGAGCAGTACTAGTCTGTACACAGACGTTGTTTTATTTTTGTTTTACGGACTTTGAAGAGAAAATGGAGGGTCTGTGATTACGGACGTTGAGGTGCCGAGAGCATTATGGGTGTTAGTTTTAATTATTTTAATTGCGATGCAAATTTGTGGTGTGGCTCGGTGGCCAAGTGGTAAGGCGTCGGTCTCGTACAGTGGGGGTTTCGAACTCTCGCCGATAGAACCGAAGATCGCGGGTTCGAATCCCGTCCGGGCCTTTTTTTTTTTTTTAATTTTTTTTCTTCCATATGAACTGTATTTTTTCTTCTTTTTTTCCCTCTTGTTTCCAAAAAAAACCCCATAATTTTTAACATACCGTTTCGTATTAATTTCATCCAATGTAGACCGAAGAAATGATAAAAAAAAAGAAAACCAAAAAAAAAATTGAGTAAAACCCCTATTTTTAAATCGGAACTTATTATTTTGAAAAGAGCAATCGACCTTACTTTTTGTCAAACACCGTAACATGAGGCAGTTTTAGAGTTTTTAGAGTAGACCTATTGCCCCCTTCTGTCTTTCTGCGTCTGTACAACGGACAAATCCTAGCCAATCGAATGCACTATTTTGTACTATAACAGTACGGTAAGGTTTCGAACTTAATAAGTATATGAAATAAATAAATATAAGGAAATTTAAAGTCACTTCCGAAAATTCCCTCCTTGAACCGAACTTTTCCGAACATCACCGAAACGTTGTGATCTCAAGTGCATTCTGGGATTGTACGCGTCAGCAAGCCAGAGCTGCTAAACGCTGGCAAAGCCGCCAAAGTTCATTGAACACTTTTTTCCACAAGTTGAAAGGAGTGTGAAAACTGGAGCAGAACACTTGAAAGGTGAGAATGGTTATGAAAACTCCTTTTTTTGGGTGTGGTTATTTGAATTGTAGACCTAGCGCGTTTTCGCATCCAACGGCATCCAACTGGCACGAGCGCAATTTTAAACGCCAAAGCTACAATCCCAGACAAAAGTAGTTGGGAAGGTTGTACACAACTCAACTTGGTCCATTTTAATCCTCAAAAAAAGAGAGTTTCCTCTTTTGCTAAATATCCCAGAACAATTACGCGTACAAACGTTAAACTTTTCCTCGACATTGGACCAGGGGCGGGTAAAGGAAGGAAGGGAAAAAAAAGAGGTCAAAAGTAGCAGCCTGGCTTTCCAACACTTTTGACGATGACTGTAAGTCCGCGTGCCAGGTCTTGGTCCCACCAATAAATAAAGTTTTCCTGGTAAAACAAAATATGACAAAGAAACTTCGCGGTCTGTCCTGTGATAAAGTGTCGCCTTTTCTTGCTGTTGGTCTAGTTTTTTTTTGACTGATTATTCCTTTTTGTTTTGTAAAGCCTACCTAAGCTCAGTAGATTGCACACATGTTTACTTTTTGCATAAGCTTAAATAAAACGCAAGGGGTGAACAAATATTTGCCGTTGTGAAAGAATTAGCTGTTGAATTTTTGTATTATCAGCCTTTTACATCAACATGAAAAAAAATATCAATAATTTTCACATCGTGGTCCACCCCCTAAAGAACTTTTATTTCACAAAGAACTAGATAAAGTAAATGCTAGTGAAATGGATACGTCTTCTGGTGTTATTGAAAATGAGGGTAAAAATGTAATATGTGTTAAAGGCTAAGGTGGAAGTCTAATGAAAAGGTCAAGAAGAGTGTAACAACTGTTAATTCAATTTTATTTGATCCATTCAATAACACTCAACACACTGTTCGAATACAATACAATGCCATATGACTCTATGTGGAAGAGGATGCCAAGACAAGTCAATCTTCACAGATTCAGCATGAACAAAGACTGTCACGAGTACATTGAGATATCTGTACAATAATTATTCTTACTAATAATAATTCAGTAATACTAAAAAGAGATGTTTTAAAAGGTTAATACGGCCCTAACCTTAAGAATGTTACACAGCAAACTCAAGGGTCATCCAGATTTTCCTGCGCTTTAAGCAGCTGCAGCTCAAGTCAAACGGCCCGTGTCATTCAAAACGGCAGGAAAATGGGCTTAGAAGTGGGTATAACAGCCTGTCTTGGAGAAAAATTTCGGCAGTTGCGGCATACTTCCAGCAATGGCGGAAGGTTCGTCAACAGGCGAAAGCCTCACAGGTCAGTTTACCTACTGTGTTTTCCCTCTGCGTGTAAATTATTCACATAAACACACCGCTTTTCATTTTCCTATCTGTTAGGGCAACTACTTGAAACATGTAGCAAAAGAAAAGGGAAATACCTTGTCTTTTATCCATAGGGTGCGCCCCAGAAGGGGATGTGTTTGCAAGATTGTCAGTAAAACCAGGTAGTAAATTGTTGTCAAACTTCGCCGAAAGTTTAAAGTCACAGGATAACAAGGACGATGAAGACAGGGCGAAGAACATGTATTTGGAGAGTCTGGCCCCAGGAACGGTATGAAATTTTGAAGGACGGAGTTACGCACTCCTATGTCAGTTATCTACACATTGTGGACAGTGAAAAAAAAAGGGGGCAAAGATGCACAAAACCTCGTTTTAAATAACCCCAGGCACAGATTCAACTCAGTCCCTTTTACTGCCAATGAACATAAGCACTCTATTCCACTTTTAAAATTGATCTTTTCACTTTCTCCATGACCTAAGGTCGAAAATTTTCGTAAACTCAGTCAAATAGTCAGCAACTGTTTGCCGTTTAATTCTTCTTTCCCGCTCGCCTCGGGTCTCTGTGAGGAATGAATGACAACCGTTCAATATCTAGTTTCACCTGCAAATGATAAGAAATGACATTAATCTATTTATCTATTATCTCAACAAAAATGTGATGTTTTATATTGATAGTTTCTAAGGCAGATATGAAAGTTATGTATAGGTATTAAAGCACATAACACTACAGTCAATGGGATAACGTTTTGCTCTTGTGAAGTAAAAAAAAACATTTCTCTACAAAGCAAAATAGTGTTACGTTTTTAAGCCCATCACTCCCACATGTTCTACTGCGGCTCCCTTAGGAACATAAGAAATCCAGATCTTGCACACAAAGCATTGCCATGACCTACAATGTTTTCTTCTCTAGATAAAGTCAATTGTAGACTCCCGAGGACTGTTTCTGACGTGGTATAACCACACATACCCAGGCAAGACTGTCACATTGCCGATTAGCGAAATGGAAATAAAGACATTTTTTGTCTCATGTGCAAAAGCTGGCTTTACATACACCAGACTCACTAATAACATCCTCCGTGGGATCTGTATGTGGGTAAGTATACTACCTAACAGGCACCCTCCAAGAGAGACCAGTCTATGATGGCCCTACCTGAAAAGGGCAGTTTTGTACAGCAATGTGGTATATGAAAGGGGAGAGACTTTCACAAGTTGCAGTATTTGAAATGGAAGGGAATTCTGTCCGTTTGGTTTGTAAAATGACCTAGAAGGGAATTAATGGTATACAGATTTAAATGGGTTAGGGGGTTGGATTTGAGTGTGAAGCTTCCACATGCATAACCTTTCAGCACTATAAATGCCCCACCCATCCTCTTCCATCCCTGGTCAAAGACATTACATCATTGTCTTGAAAACCCAAGAAAGTTATTAGCCTAATCAGATTGATCAGGTGGAAGGGTTTCACAATCAACATGACATTCCATTTTTCGAAGAAGATGTGCATATAGTTGGCCATACAATGTCAAAGTTAATGACATAATGGACAGATTTTCAGAAATAATAACATTTCACCGAAAATACATATCCTGTTTAGCCTTCCAATTTGGGGCATGTAGCCTCATGTGAAATTAGCTGTAACTAAGTGTTAGGGCCCTTCATTGTAATAACAGCTCTGATGAAGTGATTTTGACACTGACAGTACAAATGAATGTCTAAGTTGATTACATTTCAGAACACAGATTCCTGTCCTAAACCACCCTAAACATATGGATTGTTTCCATTTTCTGCACACAGCAAACAATCAACCCAGCCCAGCAAAAACATATCCTGAACTGGGCTCAACCATCATGAAATATTTGCGCAAAGAGGTGGGAGAGATGGACATCTTCCCAAAAAAACCCCTGTTTGAGCAGGACTTAGAACATATTGTGGACTCCACGGGGATAGGAACACCCGCAGCATTACAATGTGAGCAACTAACCAATAAACAAATGCAAAATTAGGAAATCCATGGCTTAGGTTAATAATGTTGGTAACAATCTTCAGTGTTATTGTCTGAATTGTAGGTGTCACATTCATCTAGGAAGGAAAACATACCCTAGAACGGTGACACAATGGCGTTCCATCCACGATCACACAGAGCATTTCATAGCCCTTCATCTTTTTGTTTGAGTAAAGCAATAATATTAGAACTGTGTCCACTTCTGCTTCTCCTAGGACGCCTGGAGAAATCAAAAGAAACATTTTAAATGTGGTTATATAAAATGGACAAACCTTTTGACATCACACAACCAAATTCTCTAGTACAGTGGAATCCGACCATGCGCATTTTCTTTTAAAAAAACCTTTGTTAATAAGGTCACCTCATTATTACAGCCACATTTTTTCGGCCCATTGAAGACTGTATTAAGAGGGTTCCACTGTCATTAAAAAATCCTTGTTATAACCATGCTAATGAATAAGATCACTCACAGTCTTAGGCAACATTAAAACTGAGGATAATGTATTATACAACAGAATGAACTACAAAGAAATTGGTACAATACACTTACAGAAATACTGTTTTCATTGTTGTAGTATCATTCCTTCACTGCTTGTCAGCCAGTTGTGGTGCCAGGCCAACGAGTTTGGCAGAGACCTATGTGCGGGAGGAAATTGATGAAGTCCACCAAGAACTGGGCCTCGGCTCGTATCCTGCCGGGGCGGGATTAACCATCCAAGATGTGGAATTTAGGTGTGTTCCTTCCCTTTTTTTCCAGCAAGCACAACAATGAAGATAACAGTCTACTGAGAAGCGCTGTATTCTACCGAGTACCTGACAATAGGTTGATTAGAAAGTTTACATCTTGATTGGGTGTTTTGTTGCATAAGAAAATATGAGAAGGTTCTTTTGAATGCCTAGGCTCCATGTCCATTCCAGGAATGTTTAACCAGTGAAACTTGACAGCATAGCAATGTCCGGACCTGCTGTTACATTGTTTATTAATTACAATTAATGAACTAATTCCTAGATCCGATCCGCCTCTGGAGGTTCAAAAGTGCATCACATTCTCGCACGAAAAACCACAAGCGAGCAACAAAAGTCACAAGTAAGAATTCCTCTAAAGTAATGTGCCATAAAACTATTAAAATAAACCACTCATGGTTAGGATAGTAAGACATGTATTGGGGCCCCTTTCATGACATTCTGAATCACAACTGCTGACATTCTTTCCGAACTGTCTTGTATTGGAAAACATGCCTTTGCGCGCCTAAGATAAGAAAGACACAATACAATCATGTGTTACGTTTCTCTTGCACTCTCCAAACTTCTCCCATGCATTCATGGGTCAAAAGATGCACACTTATAATCGACTTGCTGATTCTGTCATAAAAAAATGATAGTTGTGTTAGCTGTCACATGGACATATGATTTTCTCCACAGGCACGTTTTTGTTGTGACTCCGAAGAAACCAGGCAGCCCCTACTGCCCCGTGACGCTTGGGTTTCTTCACATCGCAAGACGTGGAGCCTTCAAGGAAAATCCGGCCAATGCGTGGAGGAATAAGAACTTCATATACAAAGATGAAGCAAAAAAGTGGCCATTGTTTGCTCAGGTGGACACGTCCACACAAACTTTAAAGGTGTGTAGCTGCATGGTATGTTGATCTTTTACTTGCACGCAGGTGAATTGGCATCACTGTGATTGGAGACAGCAAATCACTGACAAACCACATCATCAGTATGCTAAATATTTCTCCAGCTCTGATTGGCTCAAATCCAATTAATGTAACCATCTTGCAATGGCTCACATGTGGTAGGCATCTGTGAAAACAAAAGACTGATGTCAAGATCGTGAGAGTATAGCCAGAAAAAAAGGTCATGGCAAACCAAAATGGTTGGGGATCACCTGGTGTTTATGTCAGCTCGTATAAGGCAAGACTTAAGTGTTACGCATTACAATCAAACTCGACAGGAAAAAATTATTGGTATTTTAAAATGAACTTAAACAAGGCTCTACTCATTTCAGAACACAATGGCCATCACCACCAACCAGCTGTCAAGAACAGTAACTTCAAGCATCAGCAGTGTTGGGTTTAATCCCCGAGAAGTGTCGCACCGATCGTATAGATCGGTAAGTAGGCTACAGTAACATCCATTAAAGAATAGCATAAAGCAGCTTGTGTACAATACAGGGTGCTATGTCCCTATGCTGATATGTTAATGTGATAATCGCAAAGGATGAATTCCAATTGCCATAGCTGACACAGAGATCGACAAATTGTGTTCCCTTAATTATTCCACAATCATTAACCTGCAAGGGAGAGAAATGTGACATTGATAGATGTGAATGTCTAATGCCGGATGAAACCTCTATTCAAACAGATCACAGTTGAAATTCCATTTTGCAGGATTTACCAATTTTTTCAGTCAGCACACAATCTGCATCCAATAAAGTATAGTTTGTTCCATGAGTGAAGGGTTCTAATGCAACTTTTTGCCTTTTACAGGGTGTTGCCACAAGATTTGTCCTCAATGCCGCCATGGAAAATGGCAGCCATTTCACTGACAATCAGGTGGATCAGTTAAGAAGGCTGGGGGGGTGGTCCCCCAAAAGTGCCATCGTACACTTACATATAAAGAAAATTATTGAGGAATATTCGGACACTCTGGCATTGATAACTCCAGGTAGGCATGGCCTGATAGCTATCACTTTTAACTTCACAGTCATTTGTCTGATAGATAAGTCACACCAATATTGTACTCTTTTAAGCTCTTCAAATGTCAGGACTTTTTCTATGACCTTAGAAGCTGTCACTGTAAACTTTTTCCAAAACTTTCCTTTTGTTATGGGTTTCCTTTTTAACGTAGATCAGTCAAACAAACACAAGCTCTGTTTTTCAATAAGATTGGTGCCATGATTACTCATCTCTATCACGCTTGCAATTTCCTTGCTTTAATTGACATCTACAGTATCTAATCTCTATAACATAATATTCTAATTTACCAAGAGCTTTCATGGCGGTCAATTCAATTCCATGACTATCCAGGCCTGGCAAATGAACTTCTTTGACTTTCCAGCTTTTCCATGACCTGTGAGAACCCTGAGAAATGAAAATTTTCTCCTGAGCCTCGTGCATAGCTTTGGCATAAAATATACGTCTTTAGTAGTAGAGCTAACATAATGATAAGACATAACAATCTCCAAACAGAAGAAGAACGGGTGAGGAGGCTGAGGAATATGCCCACTGCATATAATTACTGCCTTGTGCTTCCGCAGAAAAACATAACCACACAAACTGAAGCAGAAGCATTATTACCTGAGGAATACGAGAAATTCCTCAGGGAATATGAACCGCTGAAAAAACTGCAAGGTAACCTTTCATAATTCTTGCAACCATTTAACAAGACATGTTTCATGAAAATCGATGAAAACCCTGTTTACTTTCCCACCCAACTTATTCCTTGAGATAATTGAATCACCCAAATATAATAAACGCTGCTTCTTGAGATTTAGTGACTAATCTAGGTTTCCCTGCAGCTGAAGACCCAACGAACAGGAAAAAGATAAACCATGTAAAAGAAACCGCGACAAGTCTTTTGCAGAAGAAAAAACGAACAGCAACACGAGGAAAGGAGGAAGCAGCCTGCTACTCCTCCCAAACCGGTAACTTGTAAAGATGTTGTTGCTATTACATATGTTGCATCTAGTCATTTAAAGGACAGTGTCAGTCAACTACAAAATGACTTTCACTGGAGTGTAATCTTGTTTGTACACCACAGACACTGAACCTGATGATACATTGATTGTTTTGAGTGAAATGTCATCCCACTCCCTCCCAAAGCTCTGTGATTGTTTTCTCATTCATCTCCTTTGCCTTTTTCT